AACCCCCTCCCTCGACCTTTGATTGTGTGTAAACCCCCTAATGGACGAAACCTTTTCGACGTCTCTGCCACAGCTTGCCATGCGCTCTCGGCCCTTTGCCAAGATAGCCTCATCAAGGAAGCAACCACCGCCCGAAACGAGCCTTCTAGGCTCCAGCCGTGCCGTTCGCCTCCTTCTCTCGCTGCCTCTTGACAATGTAGTATGTGATCAGGCTCTTTGGATCGTCCCGCACGTCCTTCATGACATCCCAGAACCTGGCATCGCCCGCTCGCGCATGCAGAGCCACGCACAGCTGGACCGCATCCATGCGGACCCCGGACTCACTGCTCTCTAGGCACCGTGCGCACAATGTCGCCATGCTACTCAGCTCGCTGTCGGTGGGCATGAAGTCCGTCTTCATATCCACCATCTCCTTGAGCACGTGTAATCCCATGCTCAAGGAACGACAGCCGGCCGGATCACGGGCATCCACCTCGGCCATCCGCCTTGTAAGGACAGTCGCGATTTCCTGCGCATCGCCAAGCGACACCAGCTCGTCGGCCAGCAGTTCCAGACCCGAGACGATGTGTGTCCGCGCGTCATACGCCGCACGCGCGGCCAGCAGCGACTCGAGCGCCTTGGAGATGTGTGGCTGGAAGTGGTCACGATGCTTTTTGAGGAGCAGCTTGATCGTCGCCAGGATCTGTGCTTTCACGTCCTGTACCTTCTCGGGAGCGACGCCTGACTGTGGATCTTCCAGGTAGTCGAAGAGGCCCAGCAATAGTGCGTCGAATTTCTCGTCTGCAAGAGGGACCTTGTTGTCGCGAATGATGCCCTGGAACTTGCGGAGCCCGTGGACATCGAGGGTCTTGGCCTTGATCTTATTCAGCGCACTGTCGATAAGGCGCAATTGCTGCTTCGCTTTCTCAGTGGAGACATCATCCCCCTTGGCTGCTGCGTCACCATTTTGCCGTGAGACAAAGCTGGCTGCATCTTCGTTGATGGGCTTTTCCTCCAACACTGCTGCTGCTACTGGCCGTGGGGGGGATTGCTCTCCCGTCACAGGATCCTCGTACACCTTCAGAGACTGAGAAGGCGTCTCGCTCGGGCTCGGCACGCGGTTTCGCACGGCGGCAGCGAGCCCAGAGTCTTCAGCGGCAGCTGCCTCGGGCGACTTGCTCTCCTGCTCCTGGAGCAAGGGAGGACCCAGGCCTTCGAGAAGCGGTGATCGGATCACGGGGGTCGGCGAGTCCGCCACGTCGGCAATGTTGGGCATGTCCATAGTGAAACTTTCATCAAGCCTCGAGCTGCTCGCGAGCGGTGGCCCGAGCTGCAGCCTGGACGACCGCATCGGACTGGGGCGGGGACTCGTAGCGGGCGATGGCCTCGGGCTTGGTATTCTCGTCGGCGTGGGCAGACTAGACTCGCTCGTCGTTGACTTGTGGCCCGGAACGACCCTAGGGACAGTGCGCTTGGGAGAGGCGATCATAGTTTTGGGGGTCACGGCCTTCCTCAGCTGCGGTGGGCTACCCAACGTGGATTCGGTGCCGCCTCTGACATCGTAAGGTCCCGCAGTCTTTGGCCGTGGAGGAATGTTCGGCCGCGTCGCAGTCCGAGGTCTCACTGGCGCCCCCGATAGACCGCCCACCTTGAGGCGTGTGGCAGCAGATGCTGCAGAAGGGGGGCCAGAGGCGTTCGAGATGCCAGACGTCGTCCGTGGCACTCGGGGTGGTGAGAACTCCATGGCTGATCCTGGCCTCGACGGACGTGACGCTTCCATGGCCGAGCCCGGTCTCGTTATGGCAGCTTTCTGCGCCCTTATTGTGTCTCGGATCGATGGTTTGGTTCCCATCGTGCTACGTGAGAATCCCAGGCCTGGGCGGACTGCGGATGCCGTATCTGGCCGCTTCGATGGATTAGGGTTGTTGGGATCTTTGTCCAGGAGCTTTTGAGCCGTCACGTCCAGGGTATCCATGAGTCTGGACGTAAGGTTAGCAGTCAATCCTGAACCACTCCTAGAGAGCATTCCCTTCTTGAAGAGTCGTGTACTTACGCATCAGCTCTTGCGGGCCATATCCCGTGGAAGAGCCAAAATGTGCCTCTCATTTTCTCCCTCACCCCCGGATTCGCATCCGCCAGCCCTCTCTTGATAGCCTTTTCTAACAATTCAAGGCCTCCTCCATGTTCAATATGGCTCTTGTGCTGTGCCTCTTTCTGGAGAAGCGTCTTCAACCACCCAGTCGCATACGTCCTGGGCTGGACATTCTTGTCTGCGCAGGCCGCTGTGAGATGATCCATGATCCGCTTGGTATAGGTTACACGTCCGACTATGGTATCAACGCAGACGTTTGCCTGTTGAGAAGCAATCTTCTTCGTTGCACCCGCCAGCACGATGAACGTCTGCATCAGCAGTTCTACCATTGGGTCCATCCCGGGACCGTAGACAACAGCAATGTCCTGGACCAGGCTGCAGCCCTCTTTTGACAAACTTGTCCTCAAGGACTTGACGGCCTTGATGATGCCGTCAAGAAGGCCTCTGAGACCTGCGAGGAAAGGATCCGCGTAGTCCGTCGGGGCGTTGCCGGCCAGTAACCTCCGGAGTTTGGTTATGCTCTGCTCTCTCAGCTTCCAGTTATGCTCGGACTCATTGCCGTCGAAGTAGCCATGCATATCTCTAAACATGTCGTCCAGCTCGCGCGTAGTATTGACGTAAGAAGGCTCGACAGGGTCCGCTCGCGTGTCGGGCGCCGGCGTAAAAGGTCGGTCGACAGACATCGTAGACAGGGATGATACGCTCGCGGTCAAGTTGGGTCGCATCGCAGGCACTGGGTCGGCAGCAGGCACATCCGCGTCGAGACCAGGTGTGGTAGCCCTCGGTATCAGCTCCTTGAGTATGGTCGTCTGCGTAGCGGGACGAACGTTGAACTCGACCAGCTTCTTCTTCAGGTCGACCTTGGCAGGCCCAGACGAGTCTCGGAACAGCTCGATGACGGTCTTCCTGGCCGTGTCGCGGACGCCTGGGTCGCCATTCTCCAGCAGCTTCATCAGCAGCGGCACGTAGGTCTTGAACGGGAGGCCGGTCTCCTGGTGAGCCTGGAGCAGCCACTGCAGGCCTGCCTCCCCAGCTTTGGCCTTGACGGTCTTGCCATCCATGATCTCCTTGACTGCCGCCTCGACTGCCGCCCTGACATCGTCCACCTTGCACATGGTAACCATGGACTGCACTGCGATCGTGCGAAACTTGTCCTTCTGGTCGCCCATCTTGTCGACGAGCAGCTTCAGGGTCTCCTTGCGCTCCTGGGTGATGTACCTGGGCTCCTGCCGCGACAGGCGCGTCAACAGGTGGTTAAGGGAGGTGAGTCCAGCGTTGATGAGAACCCCATGAGGGCTCCTAGAAGCTCTGCGCAGGGCGTCGAAGAGTGGCGCGACGCATGTGTCGGGGACATTGTGATGTTTGATGCCTGTCTTGACGGCAGTCACCTGTGCGACTTTCTCATCGATGGGGCGGTCGGAGGCGAGGATTCTCTGCAGGGCCTCGACCTGCTCGTCCGTGATCCTCTCGGCCATGTCGTCTTGCCCTCGCAGTGCGAGGACTCTGTTGGGGTCGTTCGTTTGGGGATGGCTCTCTGGATATCGGTGCTGGTGAAGCTTTCGATGGATGGATCGTGTGTCAGCGGCTGCGCACTATTTGCGCTGTAGCCAGGCGCGTGATCTGTAGAATCCTGTGTGAGCAAGTTGTTGTCGCTGTCGGACATTACGGAGAACACGCGCGATGTTCGTATCGACATGACAGGCCCTGCTAAGATTGCGCTCGGTCGGGACGCATGTGTGGAGAGAGGGGGGAAGGGAGGGATACTGACACGAAATTGGTGGAGTACTGCTTGGCCGCGGTCGAGTTCTCCTTCTAATCGATCAGCAATTACTAGATGAAGGAGAAGTTGCAATCGAAAATGCCTTCTCGAAAAGAGATGCCGCGATTTTCCCTCAGTTGGGGAAGGGAATGTAGAGCGGGAGCGAAATCATTTTGGGTATTGATTTTATTAACCCTGCAGCAACCGGCAGCGGCAGGTGGGCGAGCATGCGAACTGGGGTGGAGGGGTGTGACATTACTTTTGGGACGACAACAACAAAGCTAGCTCTTTGGTAGCATCTGAGGTTCTATCACCGTTGCCAGGGGCGCCCAGACTCCACATACACCCAACTAGTACAGGCCCATGGGTGGTAGTAGTAGTATGTACCATAGTACTTAGAGTACTGTACTGTCCCATTAGCATGTAGCGTACATAGTGCTTTCGAGGTAGGCGGCCTGTAACTTACCAGGACCTACGAACAGGGGCCTGTGGGGTGGTGATTACCAGCATGGCATGCCCTGTAAGCCCCACCCCCACGCCCCCGCTACCCGATCTCCCTGTGTCAATTCACTTGGTGGTTGTATCTAACTTGGAAGACTTCATGAACCTTTGTGTCTCTTATAAACTCTTTGAGAGTCTCAATCCCTCTTTTTCTCCTCACCGACTTTTCGTATCAAAATCTAAAGCTTTGAATCAGTGACGAGGGTTTCACGAAATCAAACCAGCGTCTTCGTCTACGTCCTCTCTATTGACCGTCCAGTTGACTCGACCGGCCAAAGCAGTAGAGTGGGAAGGCTGCTTATCCAAGGGCCCCCATCTCGTTTTCAAATAGCTATCCTCCTCCCTATTGGGACTACCGGCCTGTGGAGCAGTCGCCAGTCTCCTGTGAGACACTCGACATCCACCGTGCTTACAGCCTCATCACGTACTTACTCCCCCGTCTGCAACTTTGTAAACAACATGACTCGTCTCCCACCTACATCTGCAGTTCCCAACCCAGCCTCCATCTTCCTTCATCCGACCTCAACAGCCATGCCCGCACCAGCTGGACCAACACCCACTCCGCTCCCCGTGTCACAAGCAGGGGCTGTAGAGGACGGAGGGGCTCCTCACCAGCCAGCAGGCCAGGCTCGCCATGACCACGAGGACCCAGGCGAGGACCACACCACCTTCAAACTGCCCAAGCTGCGCCTGAACGTGCCAGACCTCGCCCACCCAGGCGCCTCCCGCCTCCTATCCGCCATCGACACCTCGGCCATCCTAGCCGAGAGCGTACAGACCGTGCTGCGCCTGCTCTACCAGAAACCCTCGCCCAGCGTACCCGGCACCCGCTCCGTCACGCTCTACCTGGAGGACATGGGTGGTGTGGCGTACACCAAGGGCTCCGACCTCGACGACGACCACAAGGAGATCCACTTCTCCCTCCGCTACATCCACGGCATCAAAAAGGCCCCCGAGGGCGCCAAGGGCGATACCACCGGCGCCTACGAGATCCGCGGCGTGCTGGTGCACGAGCTGGTGCACTGCTTCCAGTACAACGGCCGCGGCACTTGTCCCGGCGGACTGATCGAGGGCATCGCGGACTGGGTCCGTCTCAAGGCGCACTTGGGAGCCCCGCACTGGAAGCGGGACAGCCTCCCTGAGCGTTGGGACCAAGGCTATGAGAAGACGGCTTATTTTCTGGAGTGGCTCGAGGCGCAGTATGGCGAGGGGACGGTCAGGCGGGTCAATGAGACTCTGAGGACGGAGAAATACGACAAGGACCAGTTCTGGAATGACCTGTTTGGGGCCGGTATCGATACTCTTTGGCAAGACTATAAGAAAGCCTCTTCGATGACCGAGGCTAAGGACTAGAAGAAGCAGATAGGGCTATCAAGGGTTTCCAAGGTTATGATTGAGCAATGCATACAAGATCTCTTTGTCGATAGTTTTAGACACCATCATGGGCGGGGGCGTTGTGAGATGGCCATAGTTAACATCATCTTTATCACTCATCATGGACATTTTGATAGTGAACCTCCAGTTGGCATAAAATTGTACGCCAATTCATTTTCTCCTCAACGCCGAACAAACCGAAACTAGAAGATCCCTCGCCCCTCCCAGTTCACCATTATATAAAAACAGCCCTTTACTCCAGGAAAACAAACGAAACCCAATCCATCGAGAGCCTGTTCAAGCGGTGTAGACCAAGTACAAAATGTGTTATCTTCTACGCGTGCTGAGCGTTTTGATGTCCATCCTCGCTCTCACTGACGACGCTGCCAACCTCCGTCCAGCTGTGCGCAGGAGTCGCGATACCATCCTCATCCTCGCTCATGATATCGTAGTATTTCGAAGACCCATCCTGCGAGGCGACTTCGTGTGCGACATCCACGCCGGACTCGGCAACGGAGGCAGAGTCGGTAGGCGTCAGCTGCCCATCACTGATCAGCTCGCCATCAGACATCTCGCTCAGAGGCGCGTTGGGCGTTACGGGAAGAGGTGAGTAGAAGTCAAGGCCGGGCTGTTGTTGCTGAGCCCAAGCCTGGATCGAGGCATAAGCGGCCTGTGGCTCCTCCTCGTCGTGGTCCTGGCCCGCAGTCATGTACTCGTCCGCGGGTAGTTCGGAAGTGGTCTCGGACTGTGGAACGGATCGTGACTGGGCGAAATTTCCATTGTCGGAAGGGATAGGCATAGGGTCGACGGAGATCAGCTCAGGCAGGGTTTCAGGGCTCATGGTACGAGACGCTAGGGAGGCAGGTGTTATTTGTGGCGTGGCGTTGTAGATATCCTGAGACATGACATCTTCCTTCTCTGACAAGATGTGGTCTTGCTCCATCTGTTCATCGTAATCGATTCCGTGCTCGTCCGCGAATGGATTGGCGTACATGGAAGGGCTCAGGCCGCGAACACCGCCCTCGGTAACTCGGCGTCGAACCAAGCCATCATCGTTATTTCGGACGTCGGTCCCGGTGTTGAAGACGTAGGATCCCTTCTCGTCGGCATCCTTGTCCTCGGTCAGGAAATCGTCAAAGCTCGTCGGAGAGCCGAGGCTCTTCCGTTTTTCGTTCTCGGCGGTCTGCTGTTCCAGCTCCTTGGAAAGCTTCACGGCATTCCAGTACATCAACTCCTCGCGCTGTCTCCGACGACTCTCATCGTCGGCATCGACCTCGGTTTGGAGGAAGCCCTGGGCATCTTCGGGTCTATTGAAAAGAGGCTCGCCGTCGGAGCCCTCAGGTCTAATTCCGTCGCCGAGGGATTGGAGGGCCAGGGCGATACGTCGTCGAAGGTCATTTGCCACACGCTGAAGATCGGGGCTCTCGTAGATGGCGATAGCGGCGGCCACCGCTACCGAGGCGACGATGACGCCGGCTGAGATGGCGGCATTGTTAATAGGAGGCATTTCCACAAGTTTCAAGTGTGAGACTGGAGGGCGATGCAGAAACGCCACGCGTTGGGGAGGGTTCAGTGGCGAGTAGCCTTATAAGTGGGGTAGTATGCGGTTGAGACGTGCAGGTGAAAAGTCGAAAGAGGGAAGGCCGTGCAAAAGCAGTCTGCGTGACTGAGGGGAAAAGAACAAAAAATGTCGTCTGCAGTTGGAAGATGCTTGAATTTGTAGGGGAGGGGGAAGCAAGGTGCTGTCGCATCAGGGAGTAGGTCATTGCGTGGTTATTGCCACCCAGACACCGCAGGAGTGTGTGGCCAAAGCAGCCCTGGCCTCCGCACTTGTCTGTAGAGGCAGCCAAGGCGAATCGCGCTGACTCCCCTTCCCTACTCACTTGAGCCCCGCCATGATCAACGGTTTTGGAGATTTCCCATCATCACCAGATCAAGTGCTGAATGAAGTTGGTGGAATTGTTGAAGTACGGCATAAGATGTGCAAAGACACATGCATGAGATGGTAGAAGCGGGCATTTGAGAATCGTCTAGTACACACCTTTTGCGGCTACAGCAACGGGCATCTTGACTGCAGGATCCCTGGTTTGGAGTCGAGGCTGACCCAAAGATTTTATGAAGCTTTAAATCGTGAGCCCCCTCTGCCAGGGCTGTCTCCCTGGAGGTTTTGAATGGGCAACTCGCTCGTGAGCTGGAGAATGCAAAAAGGGCTGAGGGAGGAGGATGAAGGTGTCGCAGGAGAGGATGAACTGAAGAGGGAGGGAGTCCGGACTTAATCTAAGCTCGGCTCCTTCCATAACCACCCAGGCACCCTGCCATCGCATGGGGAGGGGGGAGGGATGCATTCGGCGGAGTAAGTGCCCTGCCCCTCTTTTCGATAAGCGATAAGAAAGTACCTGATCTACCACACAATTTAGATGTATCCCTAGGTCACTCTGGCCCTTGGTCATTTAGCCCACCAGGTAGCACTAAACACTATGTCTACTTATGTACGCGTAGTATGTAGTGTTTCGTAGGTCTACGTAACCAACCCCCTGGCGTCAGCCTCGGGCGAATTCACTGCAGCTTCTTACGTCCACCTCTGCTTCACAAAAAAACATATTTGAGAACTTGGGTACTGGATATTACTCAAAGCTGTATGTGTGAGCTTAACACCCAAATTGCGGCCAACGTCACTAGAAACATGCCCTCGGAGAACACAGATAAGTAAGCTGGGTTACTTGAGACTGCTATTCAGTCATGTGCCTCCACTTTGCAACTTTTAGAGTAGAATTTCTACACTTTGCCGCCTGGGCAATACATGCTCATGTTGTAGCTTTTCCCATTTCCTTTCCCTACATTTACCATTAGTGGTTTTTTGCGATATTACTCAGTACAGACAGGTTGTGATTATACCTCAGTATCTATTATCAAATCAGCATTATTTACCAGGATAAGGCTGGCCTTGGTCTGGGTACTGCATGGCATGATGTGTACTACTCAGAGAGCGAAGTATTAGAATTGTATTCTGCGAATTGCGAGCCATTACGATTATCTGCTATCTAGGTATGGAGCACCCTGGCGTGGCATGCGCGCAACATCTCAACTACTGAAGTACCCAGTTACTCCACGTTGAGTGATAGGGAAATGCTCATTGGAACTAATCAGAACGAGCCTCATCGAGAACCTCAAGACATAAGGATTACGTACAGATGTAACGTTGGCATAAACGTGTTGAAGTAAGGAACAAAGATGTATGCGAGTAAGAACGAGTCAAAACCAGAAAGCTTGCATCATTATGCCGCATCATATGAAGATAGTACGAATCATCTATACTGTGGTCAATTTCAAAAAGGTAAAAATGGAAGCTGTGTAAAGCCATTACGAGTATTCTGTGTATAAAACCCGATTTAAGTAACAAACATACACAAAGCACTTGGAAACCTGGGAAGTAATGTTCTAGGCTGAGGACTCTATATTTGTAGTGCTGGACCCAGACAGTGCGCAAGTGCTCTCTATCTCTGCTATGTGTGCAGTGCTCTTGGAAGATGTAAAGTGTTGCTTGTTAGAATATGTATATAACTGGGGTAAATCTATGTCCTTGATTTAAGCGCGACGCCCTATGTACTTAGGTCTCGTTGAAATAACAAGAACCTACTTGGTAATAGAGCATACATTATTAGGAGTTGGTACTAATTCCAAGGCAGTGATAAATGAAAGTTCCTGAGGGGGAGAAGGAAAAGAAAGAAAAAGAAGAAGGGGGGATGGAGCGAAGTCCCTCTCATGTTTTTGAGACAAGTCTTGATACCTCTAAAAATATGAAATGGTAGTATGGGTGTATTGAATCCACCACTGGTTCAACTTCACTTGCTTTGAGATGCGGATACCCAAACCTCAATTTGGGACATTTCATTTTCTCATCGACAGCCAACAACGTTGAAAGCGAATGCAATAATTACCTTAGCAATCAAAGCTGAGTATGAGAATCCACCATAAAGTGTGATGATTGCGGGTATTGTTGTCAAAGCATGTATGAAGTCACAGTGGGGACTAGATGAGAAGAATCTGTTGTAGCAGACCCAAAATTAGAAGTGGGTGATAGAAAACGCCTGGGCGTTAACTGACCGACCATATGACTTGGACTAGATTTCGCCTTGGGCATCAATCTCCCAAGTTCAAGAGTGACTTGGGAGGCGCTAATTCAATGTGAGAAGGATAGCAAGTGGCAAACGGCAGTTCGTAAGGTGCTTTCTCTGTGTCCTGTACAAAATTTGGCTTGCATTACTTGTGCAAGAGCCATTCAGCCTTCAGTAACTCGTCTGTGTTCTCGAGTCGGCTAGTAGGAGGCTGAAGGATCCAGAAGTTTCGGTGATGTTCTCTGATGATCTAACACCCTGTGGGGTCTACGTAGTTTGGCTTCCAAGGCTGAGATGCAGGGGTGCGCGCTAAGCAATACCCAGTAGGCAAAGCTGGCACCGGCGGGCAACCAGTTTTTTTTCTGCCAACGCCCCAAACCGCATCCCAGGCATCCCACCAGAGACACCACAGCAATTCTCGACCACTCAAAACTACATCTCCATTCCCAGACCACCACCACCACCACCACCAACCCTTCACCCTCCCTCCCACAACACACGGACTTCTTTTCTTGTTACCTCTCTTTTTGACACTCAAACTTGGCAAAGACCATTTGCTTGTAAGCAAAATCAACAAAGAACAAATCGCGAAACCAGCAGACACGCTTGTTTACACGATATCAGCTTCCTACTACCCCGCCATACCCATTTTCTTCTAACCGATCCAACTTCACACAAGTCGCCATAATGACAAGTGTAGTGGGTATGTTGAAACAGCCAGTTAATGCTACAGATGATGATGTCCTACAAATGGTCTTGTATACTGACTGTCTATCTCTTTCCAGGTGTTGATTTCGGTACCCTTAACACGGTCATCGCCGTTGCCAGGAATCGTGGTGTCGATGTTGTACGTACAATCCACCCCAAACGACCACACCCCAGCCTCATCTGGGCAGACATACAACGAGATGATTGCGCTGCGATGATACATGGGCCTCTTGATGCTGACCCTTTCTTTTGTGACAGATCGCAAACGAAGTTTCCAACCGCGCCACACCGTAAGTTCTTTTCGACCCTCGTTATCCTACTGGCCTACCTATTTCCGGACTGCTGCTAAAATGTTGTCTTAAAAACAGATCCCTGGTGGGATTCGGCCCCAAGTCGCGATACCTCGGCGAGTCTGCGAAGACACAAGAGATCTCCAACCTCAAGAACACTGTCAGCTGTCTGAAGCGTCTGGCTGGCCGTTCTCTCAATGATCCCGATGTCCAGCTTGAGCAGGAGTTCATCTCAGCGCCCCTGGTCGATGTCAACGGCCAGGTTGGCGCCGAGGTGTCCTACTGCGGCAACAAGGAGAAGTTCTCTGCCACGCAGCTGTGCGCCATGTTCCTGAGCAAGATCAAGGCCACCACCTCCGCCGAGATGAAGCTGCCCGTTTCCGACATCGTCCTGAGCGTTCCCGCCTGGTTCACCGACATCCAACGGCGCGCTCTGATTGACGCTGCCGAGGTTGCGGGCCTGAAGATCCTTCGTCTGATGAACGACACGACCGCCGCCGCCCTGGGCTATGGTATCACAAAGCTCGACCTGCCCGGCCCTGAGGAGAAGCCCCGTCGCGTTGCCTTTGTCGACGTTGGCCACAGCAACTACACTTGCTCCATTGTGGAGTTCAAGAAGGGCGAGCTGGCTGTCAAGGCTACTGCCTGGGACCGACACTACGGTGGCCGGAACTTCGACAAGGCTCTGGTCGACCACTTGCAGAAGGAGTTCTTGGGCAAGTACAAGATCGATATCTTCTCCAACCCAAGGGCTGTCGCCCGTGTGCAGGCCGCTGCCGAGAAGACCAAGAAGATCCTGTCCGCCAACCAACAGGCCCCTCTCAACATCGAGTCCCTCATGAACGACATTGATGTCTCCGCCATGATCACCCGGCAAGAGTTTGAGGCTCTTATTGAGCCCGTCCTTAACAAGACTGCCGCACCCCTGGAGCAGGCTCTGGCCGATGCCAAACTCACCAAGGACGACATCGATGTGATCGAGGTTGTTGGTGGCGGTTCCCGTGTCCCAGCTGTGAAGGAGCGCATCCAGGCCTTCTTCGGCAAGCCCCTCTCCTTCACGCTGAACCAGGACGAGGCCATCGCCCGAGGCTGCGCTTTCAGCTGCGCCATTTTGTCCCCGGTCTTCAAGGTTCGCGACTTTGCTGTCCAGGACGCCATTTCCTACCCCATCGAGTTCGCTTGGGAGAAGGCTGCCGACATCCCTGATGAGGACACCAGCCTGGTCGTCTTCAACAAGGGTGGCATCCTGCCCTCCACCAAGATTCTTACTTTCTACCGCAAGCAGCCTTTTGACCTCGAGGCCCGCTACGTCAGGCCCGACGAGTTGCCCGGCAAGACCAACCCCTGGATCGGTCGTTTCTCGGTCAAGGGCGTTAAGGCCGCCAATGGCCCTGATGACTTCATGATTTGCAAGCTGAAGGCCCGGGTGAACATTCACGGCGTGCTGAATGTCGAGAGCGGATACTACGTCGAGGACCAAGAGGTCGAGGAGCCGATCCCCGAGGAGGAGACCAAGAAGGAAGATGGAGAGAAGAAGGACCCTGATGTGAGTGAAACGGCGACAGCGAATTTCGATGAGCTGGTGATATCGCCCGCGAAGCGCAAGCCGACGTCTTCCCCACCAGTGGAAGATGACGACGCGACCAAGCAAGCAAAACGCAAGCGGCCGTCTGCGCAGAGTAGTGGCGGCGAAGCTGCTCCAGTCTCATTGCCCTCGAGACACACAGAGAGAGACGAGCTAACAGATTCAAAGGCTATGGACACCGATGGCAAGCCCAAGACGCGCAAGGTTAAGAAGCAAGTGCGCAAGGGCGAACTGCCGATTGTCGCTGGCACAGCCTCTCTCGACACCAACGGCAAGAACACCTTGACTGAGAAGGAGGCTGCCATGGTCATGGAGGATAAGCTCGTCGCCGATACCGAGGAGAAGAAGAATGAGCTGGAGACTTACATCTACGAGTTGCGGAACAAGCTCGACGACCAGTACGCCGAGTTCGCCACTGATGAGGAGAAGGAGAAGATCAAGGCCAAGCTGGAGGCGACTGAGGTAAGTCACCAGTGCCACTGATCCTCCGCTAGTTTTTTTCGAGAGGAACCACAGTTTGCTGACAACTCTTAGGACTGGCTCTACGACGAGGGTGACGATACCACCAAGGCCGTCTACATCGCCAAGATGGACGAGATCCGCGCCATGGCCGGCCCCATTGTGCAGAAGCACTTTGAGAAGGTCGAGAAGGAGCGACAAGAGGTGCAGGCCCGTGTCGACGCCGAGAAGGCTGCCAAGAAGGCCGCCGAGGACGAGGCTCGCAAGCAGGCCGAGGCCGAGAAGGCTGCGCAGGAGCCAGCATCAAAGGCCGATACGGAAATGACGGATGCTACTGACGCACCCAAGGCTGAGGTGGAGGAGGCCGACGATCCTAAATAAATCAGCGGGCTCTAGCCTTCGAAAGTTCGACCCGGTTCCGCCCAGATAGAGAATGGCTGGGGGAGGGGGAGGACAGCATTTGATTCATGACATGATGCACTAGGAATACAGGACGAATGCCATAGAGGGAGGTCTCGATGCACATTTAAGAATATTCACACAAGAACGCGCGGCTTTCCGGTGATGGTTGAAGGAGTGCAGGAAAAGAAAGGCTTCATAGAAAGGGATCATGATGGGGACAAACACCAATTCTTTTCTTTCCACACTGGGTCTGCCTTTTTTTCCCCATTTTTTCTTATTTCCCACTTTGTCCTGTGTATTTGTGATTCGATGATGATAATTGATGGCTCGAGTTTAGAAAGAGAGAGCTTAGATTTGAACAAGGAACATGACTATTACTAGGCAATCTTTTACCTTCCACAGCACGCCAATGGCCTTCTATGCCCCAGGAGGTTGCCTTGCTTGATTTCTTGAGACATTGTATCTTTCTTCATGAGAGCACAAGAAGGAAAGGAGGTACGGGACAAGTTGCTTCACAAGTAGAGCAAATAAAGTCCAGGCTACTGGAGATGCCATACAAAGACTGAACATGCGTGTGAACATTGCGATCGTCACTAACCAAACTGGAGCCATTTTTCTACGTTCTGATGACCTGGATAGATACAATACACTTTTTGGACCAAACTACGCCTTCCTTTCGTCGTTTTCCCCGGTAGGCCTCTTCAAGGAATGTCGAACAGGGGCTTGAGCTTCACGATGAGCTTCCACTCTTCGTTACTGACGTCCTTGCGGTAGAACTCCTTCAGACAGTCGATCGAGGCACGCGAGATCATGCTGTACAGGGTATCGGCCTCCTCGAGCTGACGACCGTACGATGGCTGGTGGCCACCCATCTCGATTCTTGCGGCCACGGAGGGCTGGCCCTGCTTGCAGACATCCATCTTCTTGTGGTCACGCTCGATTGACGTTCTGCCATTTATAATTAGTTACAATCCTCAAAAGAGCAGAATGAATGGGTGTGGGAGAAGAAAAGAAGAAAGAAAAAAAAAAAAAGGGGGGGGGGGTAAGATTAGGTGACTTACACTCTGCCCATAGACACGATTTCCTTGAGACCCGTCGTAGAGTTGTGCTTGACTGCGGCAATAGGTGTGTTGACCTTGAGTTGGCCCTCCACCACGTCGACACCCACGACGATGGGATTGTGCCTCATGAAGACAGCCACGGGCTTCAGGACGCAAGGGAAGACGGCCAACATCTTGGAGTCCTCCTTCTTCTTCTCTAGGAGTTCGTCCATGTGCTTCGTGAAGGAGTCGAACAGATGGTAGATAATGTCTGCTGTGAAGATCTTGATGCCGTTGTCTTCAGCATACGCCTGTGCTTCCTTTTCGACCTTGACATCGAAGCAGAGCATGACGGCGTAGTCGGGCGCCTTCTCCAGCATGACACCACACTGCATGACATCGCGCTTGGAGACAGGACCAATGCCCACGTTGGCGACGGGGATCTTGCAGTCCTTCAAGAAGTCCAGCAGGGCCTCGAGCGAACCAAGGGTCGACGCCTGGACGGAGACACCGCGACCGGTCCTCTCGACCCTGCTGAAGAGCGACTCGAGATCGCTCTCGAGCTCATCCTCAATGTCGTCCTCATCATCATCAGGACCTGCGACGAGGAGACGAGAACCGGCGATGGCCTTCTCCAGACCTGGAGCAACAATCTTGACACCAAGGGCAGCTTTGACCTCCTTGTTGTGCACGTATTGTGACTTGAGACGCAGCTCCTTGAGTTTCTCCGGGGTGAGCAGAGCTCGGACGTTGGTCTTGATCACGCCTTCTGTACCACACAACAGAATCCTGTCGCCTTCGCGCAGGATACCGTTCGACAAGATGACATCGATGGTCATACCGAAACCCTCGATCTGCTTGACCTCCAGGACGGTAGCCTGCACCTCGGAGAGATACATCAGAGAGCCAACCATCCTCTCCTGGGTAAGCTGGATGATGAGCTTCAGCATATCCGGGATACCCTCGCCGGTGTGGGCCGATGTGGGAATCAACGAGACGAATTTGGCCATCGACTTGTTCTCGTAGAAGAGCTCAGCGTTGAAACCTTGTTCGGCAAAGGCCAGCTTGGTCTGGTCCAGCCTGTTCCTGAACTCATTCTGGACACCCTTGGTCTGCAGAGCCAGACTTTCCTGGAAGCCGTTGTTGTCAATCTTCTTCCAGCCGTAGAGACGATCGATCTTGTTGAGGGCCACGACGAAGGGGGTTTTTCTGTCGCGAAGGAGCTTCATCGACTCGAGGGTCTGGGGCTCCAGGCCGTGCATGATATCGACGACAAGAATCGCAATGTTACAGAGGGAAGAGCCACGGGAACGGAGATTGGAGAAGGACTCGTGCCCAGGAGTATCGATGACCAGGAGACCAGGAACCTTGAACTCAAACTTGCCGTCTGGGTTGATGACGGCCGTTTTCTGCTTGATGGCCTCCACGGGAAAGTACGTAGCACCAATCTGCTGCGTGATACCACCTGCTTCGCCCTCTTGGACGTTGGTTTGACGGATCTTGTCGAGCAGCTTCGTCTTGCCAGTATCGACGTGACCAAGGATACAGCAGATGGGTGACCGGAGGTTGTCTTTTGACCGTGCAGCCAGGGCAGCCTGGTGTATCTTCTCGCGTCTTGCCAGAGCCTCCCGCTTGCGCTGTGCCTCGGCGTCATCTTCCGATGAATCCGACTCCGACTCTGAGTCTTCATCCTCCTCCTGTGGCTTGGGTCTCGAAGGGAGGGATCCTGCGGCGGGCGTAGGCTTGCCGTTCTCAGCTTCTGCCTCCGCCTCGTCGTCGCTGTCGGCATCCCAGCTCTCCTTGACATCCTCGTCTGATCCGGCGGCAGCCTCCCAGTCGTCCATGACCTCGTCGTCGGCGGCTGCTTTAGCCTTGGCAGCAGCCTCGGCATCGGCCTTCTCACGGGCGATGCGCTCCTTCTCGGCAGCTTCTTTGGCAGCAGCTTCGGCCTGCACGCGGGCACGCTCGGCAGCCTCGGCAAGTGCCTTCTCCTCGTCCACCTTGTCGGCCTTCTTGCCCTTGCCCTTTTTCTTGTCGAAAGTGGGCTTCTTGGGCGCAGGGGCCTCGCCGTCCTTGAGACCGCCGACCTGTATGCCGGCAGCCAGCATCTGCTGGAGCTTCTTCTCATTCCGGGCCTTCTCCTCCTTCTGCGCCTTGGTGAGATATTTGCCTTCCTTCTTGAGCTGGTCGATCCTCTCCTTCTCCTTCTGCTTCTTACGGGCCTTCTCCTCCTCCTTGCGCTTGACCTCCTCCTCCAGCTTGCGCTCTTCTTCCTCTAGACGGGCGCGTTCCTCGGCGTCGAACCGGGCAGCCTCTTCTTGTTGCTTCCTGAGCTCCTCCTGTTGCTTCTGGAGCAATTGCAGATGCTTGGGCAGCTTCTTGCCGGGCTTGGCAGCCTCGGGGGCAGCCTCTGGGGCAGCAACAGGCTCGTCCTTTTTCTCGACGGCGGGCTTCGCAGGCTCGGGCTTGGCTGGGGCGGTGGTCTTCTTCTTGGCTGCCTGAGAACTATCTGTGAGTGTTTGCTCTCTCTGGTGCATGGTGATGCAGACACCATCAAAAAGGCCGGGGGTGACAAGTCTCTTTGTTTAAGAAGAAGAAGAAGAAGAAGAAAAGGGATTGTCTGCATACCTGCTCCTTCTTGCGCTGCTTCTCCCTCTCCTTCTTGAGCTTCTCCTTCTCGGCCTTTGTCAGGACGCGGCCAGATGCATCAACTTCGTCGTCATCACCACCTTTTGCAGGTGCTTGCTTGTTGGGCTGCTGTTTGCCCTTGCCACCCTTGCCCTTCTTGTCAGGCAGGTTCCACTCGTCGTCCATGGTGGCCTCCTCAGGTGCCTTGCTGGCCAGATCCTCTGCTGGTTCTGCACCGGGGGCATCCTCGCCCTGGACAAAGTCTTCTGTCAGGCCCTTCTTCTTCCTCTTTTCCTTATTCTTGCGCATGATGGCCATCAGGCCACCTGCTGCGGGCTCATCATCACCGGGCGCTGCAGCATCACCACCAGCAGCAGCTTCAGTACCCTCAGCAGTGGCCTCGCCGGCTGGTGCAATGCTCTCGCCCAGCTCAGCCTCCCAGTCATCCTGGGCCTTCTTGTTACCCTTCTTCTTAGGCGGCATCTTGTCAGGCAGGTCTTGTCGTTTCTTGATGAGAGAGGGGTTTTGAATGGGGGGAGGAGGGGAGGGAGTGATTGTAGACAAGGTGCTGCCTGGGGGGTGAACAATGGCAGAATTATTATGGATTGTGCAAGGTCTAACCTGCCGGGCCACCAGAGGTGCGAAAGTGCTGCTGCTTTGCTACTTTCTGGATTGTGTGGGGTAATTTTTTTTGGGAGTGGAGTGGAGTGGCAAGGCCAGGGTAGGGTGATCTTGTGCTTGACCGGTATGGATCGCACCAGTGGTGCTGGTCAGTCAGTGGTCAGCGGTTGGTGGCCAGTGGGCGGATAGGTATAGGATGTAGTGGGGCCCAGGACACACAGCAGTGACAGCACCGTGCTCACAGCGCCATGACGCTGCTATCCTCAAGCCTGTCAGGCTGAGTCACCCACTCCCTAACTAATTACTTAACCCAACCATGCTTTTATATGGCAATTTGAAGATGGCAACTGAAGAGGTGAGAAACTTCATACAATTGTGCGCTAAACCATAGAAGATTTACTGTCCTGTTACAGATACCAGTCTGGCAGCGCAACCAGCAGAAATATAGTATGTCGTTGTATATCTCCCTCGGATGAGCATTGCACACAGATCATGTTGATTTGTCAATGCCAGTGTGAATACTGTTTGACGTAGGATCATCCGTACACATGGGCAGATAGATGGGTTTTATGATCCATAGTTAAGTAAGTATCTTATCAGGCCAGCCCTGAGCAGAACAGCAGCAGGAAGGAGCGAGTAAAAGGACTGGCAGTGTTGACAGGGGAGGGGATCAAATCTCCGCAGGCCCAGCTGGTACTAGAGCACTTTTCCATCAGCATCATTATCGACCTCAACAACAATTTCCCCCTTCATCGTTTCCTGGATGATGACTTCCATCTTCACAAGCTAATGTATCATTCTTCCTATACAGCTCAAATTCTCTGTATCTACCTGTATTGTTCATAAGTATGATCATAAAATAGCAAGGCATAACTCATAATTCTCATAACTCACCCCAGGAGACCTTTTTGTTTTTATTCCCCTTCTCTCTCCAAATCAGTCCCCATTTTCAAATACCAAAGACTTTCACCAAAATCCTCTTGAAATTATGCATGTAGACCACCTGCCTAGAAGATCACCTCCCTCTTCCCGTCGAAGCAAGCCCTCCAGGGTCCAAAGGCTCTCCCTCACCCTCCTCCCCGTCCTCCTCGTCCTCATCCTGTGCCTCCTCATCATCTTCAAACGGGACCCTGACAAAGGTCTCGCGAGAGAGTGGGCTCCGACCTCTTCCGCTCCTCCTGCTCCTCGGATCTCCTCCGGTCGATGGCGGCATGAGGAGGCTCTGCTGGCCATCCCTCCTCTCCCTCTCAGCACTACTACCACCAGCAGAACTAGGCGGACTCGCCCCTCCCCCTTCGACCTCGAACCCGAACTCGGCCCTCGTCGGTGTCGTCCCGCCCATCCCCAGCGCATTCACCGGCGTACCAGGCAATGTCTCGGCGTACCCAGCCTCCTGCATCGCCACAGTCTCCATATCCGAGCTCGAGTCCGCGGTTCGAAGGAGGTTGTCATCGTACGTCCTACCTTGCTGCTGCCGCTGCTGCGTCGTTTGGTGTCTCGGCCTCGGCCTCGTTGTCTGTGCCCGCGTTGTCATGTATGTGCTAACCTGGTTCGCGTGTGCCATCTCGTATTTGCGCCTGTCCTCCTCGCTCATGAAAGGCAGCTCCTCGCTGCCCACCTGCGCAGGCGCCCCGCTTGGCATGTACACGGGCGAGCTCGGCTCATCCCTATACGGCGCCATCACTGGTGTGTAGCCCTTTGCACGTGCGTACGTGCCTTGTGTGTTGGTTGACCTCATCGTGCTCTCTTCGTCCGAGTCGCGCCACAGCCTGTCAACTCCACTGTCCTTCTTCAACGGCGCCAGGGGAACTCCCTCTTCCTCCTCGTCCGTCCTCCTCCTCCTGGCCTGGCCACGCTGCTGCTGCTGGAGCTGCAGCTCATCACCACCACCCGTAACCGTCGAGGAAAAGTCCCCGCTGCCGCTCGAGTCACCCGCTGGGTCGAGGTACCTATAAAACCCGCCCGCTGTCCTCTGCGGCGCGGCGAACAGTCCCTCGACCTGCGGCGGCGGCTGCAGCACGCTTCGCTGGCGACCCAGGCCGTCTCGCCTGCTGCCCCTACTCTTGCGTCTGCTGGCACGCCGGAAACCACCGCCAGGTCCTCCCACCAAAGGATGGCCAGTCTGTTGGGTCTGGATCTGGGCCTGTTGGGCCTGGTCACTGTCGACGTCCATGTCGCCACCAACCTTTACGGCGTGTTCCTCCCTCTGCGCAATGACGGCGGGAATAAACGTCTCGGGCACAACATTCAGATCATCACCCGTCTGCTCAGCATGCTCGATGGCTTCCTGGACAGTCGTGTTCTTGTCCGCAGCCCCAGCATCTGCCCTAGGCCCGCCCCAGGTCCTTTGCCCCGCTGTGAAGATGCCATAGACCATGTAGTACCAGTTCAGGAACGGGTTGAGCACGAACATCATGGGATACAGCCAGATCTTATACCTGCGCAGCTTGGCGCCAAAGTAGATCATCATGAGCCAGTTGAGGCCGAGCGAGATGGCGATGAAGCCCACGGGCAGGTCGTTGATGGACTTCTCCGTCGACAGCAGGGCGAGCACCATGATAAAGAAGAGCAAGGCCGTCGTGCGGATCGTGTTCTGAAAGAAGCGGTAGGCGACCAGCACGGGATACCGCCGCCACAACCGCCAGTCGGTCAGCATGCAGGCCTCGTTGGTGATGAAGCCCAGGAACCAGCGCCTCCTCTGCTTGACCAAGGACTTATACGTCTGCACCGCCTCGGTCTTGCAAAACGCAGACGTGCACATCTGGATCTGGTAGCGCTTCTTGGCCCCGATCATGAACAGGTGCGTCAGGTAGCGGTCCTCGCCCAGGTGGTCCTTGGCGAAATCAAAGAGATCTTCGCACGTCTCGGCCTTGTCGGCGAAATAGTACTTGGCCATGCGCCGGAACGCGCTGAAGCGCAACATGGTCAGCGCACCGGGGAGGCAGGTGACAGACCCGCACCCGGACTCGACGGTGCGCTCAAACAGCTGACCGTGGATGTACTCCATGTCCTGCAGCAGGGTGAGGATGCTGTGCTTCTTTGTCGTCGAGGTGATGACGCCCGTCATGGCCAGCATGTTGCGCCTATTGCCCGGGGAGAACTCCATGTCGTAGAGGAAGTTCTGCAGGCACACGCGGTCCAGGATGCAGTCTGAGTCGATGAAGAGGATGAAGAGGTTGTCGTTGCGCTTCAGGTACTCGTTGTACACCCGGTCGATGAGCTTGAAGGTCGCCTTCTGACAGTTCCGCTTGCCGCCGTGGGGGAACCGCGAGACTGTGATGCGCGCGTCCTTGTAGGCGACATCAATGCTCTTTGGGTACGACTCGAGGGTCAAGGGGACCCCGAGCCTCTCGATGCAGTTGAGGTACAGCTCGTCCTCCTGGTCGCCGTCAAAGGACAAAAACACGTGGATACAGGACGGCGGATAGTCGGACTCGACCACCGAGTTGACGGCTGTGATGAGCACATCGAGGTCTTCCTTATAACAAGGCATGACGATGACAACCTTGGGCGCCGAGTCCTCATCCAGGAGCTGCTTGATCCGCTTAGTCCGCCCAAGCTGGTGCGTGACCAGGTAATACACGCAGAACAGCCACGGGATGGTCAGCAGGCCGGCAAAGGACCAAAATGCAAACCACATCAGGACTGATACCATCTCGTCGGGCCAGTACCTGACGATCTGGCTGGGCAGGGGGAGTGTCACGACCATGATCGGTAAGAAGATGACCCTGTCACAAAGGAGCGAGAGGAAACCTCTGATCAGCTGCTGGATAATGAAGCAAGCAACTTTGGCAAAGAGAGGGGGAGAGAGAGACAAGAAAAAAGAAAGAAAGAGGGAAAAGAGTTCCTGAGACGTACCTGAGAAGTAGGAAGCCGACGGATATGAGTACCGCCAAGATGTTGACTGTCCAGTGTTCAGATTTCCTAAACACCTTCCACAGGCAGTACATGAACGCGCCGATCCATAGGAACCATTCCAGAAGAGCTGCCAGCATCACCAGACCGACAATGGCAGTGTAGACTATCTAATATTTCATACAGACAGTCAATTGTTTTGCCGCCAGGTGCTCCCCCCGGGCGGCCGGGGGGGGGGGGGTCGGGAACTGCATATATTGTAAGAGAATAGAGGGAGAACTCACATCTTTGACAGCCCAATGCACAGCCATCTTGACGACCGTAACGAGCACAACGCTCTGAGCCCAACCAGGAGCAAGCGTTATGTGCTGGCACAAACGGGCAGAGAGATAGGGAAGAGCAGAGGGTGCAACCCTTAGTGATGCCTGGAGCAGATCATGAAGACACGGGGAAAAACAAAATCGTTTAGAGCAGCCAGGTACAGAAAATGAAGCGGCGGCACATGCAACGGGAGGGCATGTCTCTGGAAAAATCCCACGCCCAACAATGAATCAGGAGAGATGTATGTAATACGCCGGGCAGTTGGTCGGCTGCCGTTCCAAAAGTGTGGCTTCGCTGTTCGGCTGCTTGCAGGAGACCCCAGGGAGGGGGGCGTTCACTGAGATATGCTGTCGTAGCCCTTCGAGCCTGTCTAGCAAGGAAACGTTCGTGCTTCTTCTTCTTCTTCTTTTAAGGTCTGAAGCCCCCAAAACTTTAAGAGCCAAGGCAATTGGGATGGAATGGGATTGGATGGTGACCACGGTGAATAGCGAAAGTTTGCTGGTGAGTTGGCGTGGAGGTGCAAGTCACCTCACCGACAATCCTTGTGTGTGGATGTGTGAGGAAATTCAGACAAAAAGGTTGTCAAGAGCGCACTGCACCACGGCCTCTGTCCAGAGAGAAAGTGAAGGCGATATTTTTTTTAATTTTTTTTTTTGCCCCTGCCGGGTGGGCGCTGTCTCAGAAGCAAAATGCCGAGGATGCGAACGAAGGAGAAAAATGAAGGAAAAAATAATGAAAAAGAAAAAAAAAAAGTGATATTGCGGCGGTTGGATGTCTCAGACTTTTTGGTCAGTTTTGCGTATGGAATAAATAAACTTCAAAAACCTACAAGCACCCAACTAAGGTGAAGTGATAAATTAAGTTAGAACAAAGTATGTCGTGGGCGTCTAAACAATTTCAACAGACATCTGAATCATCACATGATCTTTCTCTCTTTTTCTCCTCTTTTTTTCTTTCTTTTTCCGTTGCTCTCTATTCTGTCGTTACCTGGGGGCGTTTTAAGCCGTTACTAGTAAGTGAGAAAAAGGAAGAAAGCCCGAAGTGAGTGGGAAAAACAAGAACAGCAACGCAGGGAACAAAATCGGTCGTACTGGGGCTGCTCCGACCCGAGCCCCCGAAAGGGGGTCTGACCAAACCCCAGCAGAAGATAAAACTTGGAAGGAGGGAATAGAGAGAGAGAGAGAGAGTAGTAGTAAAAAGAGTCTCGGGGCGGCGGCGGCTACGAGTGTCTCGAAGGATTCTCGTGGTACAGAATCGAGACGGCCTTGGTTGTAGTGGATGGGTGTGAGCTGCACCTCGGTGGGGTGGGCCCCCCCCGCCCAACCTCGTGTTGCCCAAAAACCGGGCGGCACACCAACACAGCAGCAAGCAGCAGCAGCAAATCAAGGGCTATACTGTTAGCTGCAAAGAAGCGCCCCCTGCTGCAACTTTTGTCGCCCTGGGATTACTCACTGGCGCTGGTCACTGCAGATCTGATCCCACTTTTTGAGAGGTATCTTTAACTCCAGAGAATAAAAGAAAGAAAAAAAAATAAAAAATAGGATCGCCCAACACTGAACTCAGTTTGGAACACAGCGTTCCACAGCCAGCGTGGGCGCGCGCGGCAGTGATGATTATGGGGGTGGTCAGCACCAAAGAGAGATCCAGAGCCGATTACCCGATGTGATTACTTTCAACCTCGAGGGAATGTCAATCGTCACTTCTGAGATGCGGTGCAGCCAAGGAAGGGGGCACAAGGCTCACTCCTGAGTTGATCTTTTTTGAGCATGATGAGAAATAAGAGGAAATTGACTCAAGTCATGGTTGTACAAAGACACATTCCCACCGCCTACGAAAATAAGTTTCGGGTTCAACAAATAGTCAAGTCTTGTTCAACATTCCCCCAGTGGAAGCACGGAAGTAGAAACAAGATGTCGACCAAGAGAACCAAAAAAAAAAAAAAGAGGCACACAAGAAGATCGGACGAAAATCGCAACTGTCGTATTGCCCTCCCCTTCCTCCCACGTGTACATTTCTGTGCCAGCCAGGACTCTTTAAATCCCTCCCGATCCGTTCCACGACGACAAGTTAGAGCCCAGCACGTCGCCGATGCTTTGATCCCGTGTTACCACAGCTTAGTCTCTCTTCAATGAGCGAGACTTGGAGAAGGTACCAATGCCCGTCAACAAGGGGACTGCTTTCCACACAAGGGCTCTGGTATTAGTAGGAGGGGGAAGGGGGGGGGGGGAGAAAGCAACGTAACCCCAATGCACAACCTAGGCACACATGGGAGAAACCGTCCACATGGGTAGTAGTGCTAAGCCTTATGCATCACCATGCAAGCCAAGCCATGTCTGGGCGCTGCTGGTTCTTCTAGTTTTCTGCAGGACGGGAAGAATGGACCGCAGCGTGGCAGTCAGGGATTGCTGTGTGTATCTTGGCGTACGTCCGTGTGCGTGTGTGTCTGTGTGTGTGTGTGTGTGTGAGAGAGAGAGAGATCGCGATGCGGAGGCTGACTAGGCACGCTGGCAGTCATGAATTAAGTCATCTTGGAAGGTGTAATACCTTCGCGATGACTGATATCCTCCTGCTGGGGGTCATCCGTCCTCACGAAGCCATATCTCACGAAAAACACTGACCTTTGGCCGGCAATGCTGATCGGCTTGGGGCAGCTGGCTAGGCTGGCCAGCGGTGACCAGGGAGGATCACGACATGTAGGCGTAACTCCGCAGATATTGGTTCAGGTCACACAGCCTATACATCTCTGCACTCTGATGCTGTCCCGATCTGTGAAGGATGCGAGAGGCGGCTAAGAAGGCCCATGTTGACTGGAGTCAAATATGCAGAGAACATTGAACGGAAATGAGTGTCAAAGGATTGGTTCAGATTCTTGCACTACCTCTCTACCTGCCTCGGTCATCCCCACGGGAGTTGAGCGTCAGGGACCTGACGCCACACCCCGAAGCAACACCGGCAGTGGAATTCCAAAATCAGTCGTCGAGAAGAAATGTCAAAACCATACCGCTGTGCCATGCTTTCACACAGTGCCAGTGGCGTGAAGAGAACGGGGTCCTAACTATCTCCCATCGATGTTCCCCATACAAGACCTCAGAGTCTTGTCCGGACTCAGTCTCTCACCCCTTTCTTGCCACCAAGTGCCAGCGTTCAAAGGAGTTCAGCGTACTGCATGTGACGTCTGTGCGGACTGCACAACGGAAACCTGCATGCACTGGACGATCTCGGCATGACTAAACCTGGAGCGAGGATGCTTGCGAGCCTTGGGTGCATGTTCTGTCCAGAGCGTGCTCTGCGATTGGACTGAACAGTATCCTCCGTCCGATTCTTGACGCCGTCGTACTTACTCCGTTAGGGCAGAGCCGCACGCACGGCTTGGTGGTTTATGCTGTTCCGATGGCGGCTTGGGAACGCGGTTGACGCAATGACGGGCATCGCGCAGCTGAAAAAGGAAGCTGAACACAGAGGTGCTAGCCAGAGGTTTTCTCAATCATTACGGCGGATCGACCAAATTGTGGTCACTCTCATATCAAGTCCTATAGTAGATGCCGTAGCCCTTGTATGTTAGCCAAACGTTCTCGTCCATGTGCGGCTGTCGGGAAACAACAGCCCGAGAGAAAAAAATTTCATCGCGATTGATAGCCTGGGTTTTGTCGAGGGCGACGGAGGAATCGTGCATGTGGACGCGACATGACAAGGTCGCTCATGTTTCCTTGTGAGTTGGTATCCACACTCAGATAATCCTGTCTTCGCTCTGGTCCTGACAGTCGTTTTGGCAACCGTCGACCCTCAACACTGCCAGGAATATCGCCGGACTTGTTTGCATGTGATGAAGTCTCGTACCACTCAAAGTCTTCAAACTGAAGTTTTCTCCCACGTTGAGCCTGGCCTTTGTTGGGCTTTTCGAGCCGGTGATTGTGATGGTGTGATATGGGCTTGCTCTCGTGATCTACGTAATGATAGTTGATTAGATCTTGTAGTGCATCGATATTGCCCAAGTGTAGAACGCTCACCGTCTGGCTCATCATTTTCGCGTAGATCCAGGTTCAGAACAAGGTTTTTGATCCTCTGCTGCTCCTCACGCTCCGCCTGTTGCTGGTTTCTCATAGCAACCGCAAATTGGGAGTCGGTCGGGAGTTCGAGCGTCCGAGTCTGCAGTTCGTTAGATATCTTTTCCATACAACCAAGAGATCAAAAATTAGATACTCACCTGCTGCTTGTTGCCCTTCTTGGTAAGCACTGAGAAAGCCATCTTGGGAGTCGGGGCCTCGACACTGCCATCAGCTTGATCGGCTGTTGCGACGGGCTCACGTGGTCTCGATCGAACGGGCAGCGCGACATCGAATACGGTACGGCGCTCGAGTTTCCGGGACTCCAGGCTTTCGGACATCATCTTGGCGTACTCCCGCTCAAACTCGGCGTCCAGCTCTGGGTCGAACTCTTCTTCTTGCCGAGTGACAATAATAGCCTCGTCATCTGATTCCCCTGATGAGGATTGCCGCTCATCGTCCTCGCCGTCATCATCGGCGCCTTCTCCATCGTCAGATGCACCGCTATCATCAGCATCACCATCGGCGTCGGCATCCGCCAATTCGTCCTCGGTCGAGGGCCCGCTTGGCTCATCGTCTTGATCTTCAGCCTCCGGCTCGTCCAGGCCGGCAGCTTTTCTGTCCTGAGCGAGCACCAGTTGGAATGCCTTGCTGGCCTCCTCAAGGTTAGACGCGAGTTTCCACTGAGGCCTAGTACCTGTATAGACATCGTGGACAAGGAACTCAATGTCCATCGGCAAAGGATTCTTGGTGAAGATGTAGTACTGGTCATAATGTTAGCTACGACGAGTCCGCTCAGTATCGTACTGAATGCGGCACTGACCTGGAAGAACGAAAGAAAGTAGTCGAGCTTCTTGCCTGCAGCCCCCTTGTTGAAATAAACACCAGAGGCCTCGAGAATGAAGTAGATGAGGCGGATACGGAAGAAATCGTCAGGCAGGTCAAAGGGGTTCAGACGCCCTGGAGCTGGCGGGCCCCCATGGCCGAACGTCATGATCTTGTACATGACATCAAAGATAACAGCATGCTCCACGAGTCGGTAGTTGTAGATCTCGGCCAGGTACTTGACCTCCGCAATGCGACGTTGGTTGTTCTTGAAATCGTTTTGCTCTAGACCAACGCATATCGACTCGATGACATTGTCAATCACCCGGACGACGAATTCTGTTCGATATCTGTAGAGGTGCGCCAACAAGGACGCGAGCAGGTGGATCGTGCTGTACTTGACCTTCCCGGGCTTGGAGAATGCTTTCTCGAGAACCTGTCGAACCTAGAGGCTGTTTGTTAACACAATACCTTTGCGAGTGGTCGGTTCATACGTACCTCTGCCTCTTCCCAGTGCATCCTACGAATCTGCCTCGCGATCTTATCAAGAGTACGTTTAGATAGGTCAACGTAGAGTAGCTTCCTCACAAACAGCTCCAGAGGCGTCCGTTCCTTCTGCTGAATGGCAGGCCTCTCAGGTGGGTCGACATAGTAGATGGCGTTCTCAATAAGCATCCGCTCGGCCGGTCCGATATGTTGCACAGATTTCTTCCGCTGGAGAGTATCCATAAACGAGCTCATCCGCGGGGCGGTCTCAGGGTTGCGAAGGAGATAGCGGCCACAATTTTCCAGTAGGTCGCAGATGATCTGGATGTTCATCTTGGAGAAGTCATCCAGACAAACCTTGAGACAGTGGAACACGGTGTAATCAGGGACGTTTCCAAACTTTGTCAACTCAGCAAGATAGCGAATGTTTGCGATCCGGACCTGAGCGAGGAACTCTTTGCTCTTGCGAGCCTGGAGGCTGCGGAACTCTGCATCCAAGTACTCGATGACGCCTTTCGGAATATCGGGCATATATTGCCCAAGAGTAGCAATCAGCCTAGCCCAGGATGGCAGCAGATCGCCGCGATTCTTGGGCACGTCCGTGAGAGCTTTGATCAGGCGGTTTCGGGACGCTTTGGAGTTGAGGAAGCAGAAGTCTATGGCGGTCTGGTCGATGATCTCCTTGTGAGTGAGTTCTGGGAGACGCAAGATGATGGCATCGACCTGGGCACCGATGGTCTTGTTTGCAATCGCAGTCGACTGGTCGTCCAAGGAAGTATCGACAGGCTTCGAGACCTCGCCGTTCTCTGCAGGCTCAGTCTTTTTGCCGACCGGCTCATCATTGTCCACTTTCTTTTTCTTGCCGTCCTCCAGGAGGATTCCCGGTACTTTGCCCTTCAGGTCGGCTAGATTTTCGTAGAAACGGCGTTCCTCTTCGTCCTGCCAGATACCAGCCCCATCGCCCTGTCCTCGCAGGTATTCGCCTGCCTTGACAATACCAATCGATCCGTTGGTCGTTGCGTTCGAGCCATCGCCGTCCTTGAGCTCCGGCATATCAAGTCCCAAAGCGTCGGCCAGAATCTGCGCGTTGGCGACCAGCCGCTCTTGGGCCTTGCACTGCTTCTCGAAATTTGCCTGGCGGTCTTCGAATACCTCTCCGGACTTGACATACGCCTCCGCATTCCGACGAGACTGGCTGAAGATGGCTTTTTGATCGCGAACAAGATGCGCCTTGACGTCCTCAAAGTAACGCTTCAGGATGTTTCTGAAGCGCTCCTGTATTTCGGAGGCAATCAGAGAGGGGTCATCGGTGGGCGCATCGCCTTCCTCTTGCTCTGCAGAGCCTTCAGCAGACTTGCCCGCGCCCTCGTCGTCTATGGCACGTCGGCCCTCGGTACCAGCGGCCCTTCCAACCCCCAAGATGTCCCAGCTAAAGGTCTTGACAAATGTGACAAGCAGGGGGAGGTTGGCATGGTCGCGATCGTGACCCAACAGATCCTTCAAGACCTCCAATGGGAAGGGCTCGGCACCGCCACCCTTGCTGCTACGGGTCTTGAGCTCCGGGGCCTTGGTAGAGGCTGCTTTGACGGTATCATCAGGGATCACATCTTCGAGAGTCCGAAGGGCACCGACCAGCCACAACTCGGTAATGACGCGCAGAAGGGCCTTCTGCCGGATGGGCCGCTGTTTCTCCTCCTTCTCACGAACATCGGGCGGCAGGCTTTTGAGATAGCTCTTGTCCAGAGTGGCAATGCCCCGGCCCAGCTGCCAGCCAAGCTGCATGGTGAACTCCTCCGGGCCGAAGCGCTGGTGCAGAGCACTGACGATCTCCACTCCGGCCTCGACATCTCCTCCGGTGGCCTTGAGCTTGGTGAGACCCTCGTAACAAGCGGAAATGATCTCGGACAAGTATCTGTGCAGGCTAAGGGTTCGGATCTCCTGGATGAAGGTGGGCAGAGTCGCGGCGGTGACGGCTGTGCGCAGTCGCTTGATAAATGCAGTGTGCTTGGCCAATTTCGAGTCGAGAGACTTGCTGACTTGGAAAAGATCTACGCCATGCCAGCCCCCCAAAAGATATCAGCGACCAGTGCAGCAGCACGCCAGAAACGGATGATGGCGAGGTACTCACCAGTCTCGCCGGCCCATGCGCGCTCGTTCAAAGAGCGCAATTCACCTGTTGTTCCGCCCAATGGTTAGCTCACGTTGTATTCTTTTTTTCTTTCTTTTCTTTCGCGTCGACCTCCCAGTCCTGCTTTCCTTTCTCGCTGGGTTTCGGGGCTCCTCACGTTTTCTAGCGCGATCCATGGTTGATGGACCGCGGTGCGGTATTTGTAGTGGGTGTAAAAAGATCTTTGCGAAGGGCTACATTCGTAAGATGAAATCGTGGGCCAGTCTAACTAAGGGTTAGACAGCCCAGAGCATTGGAAGCGACAGTCGGCGTCAACTTCGGTAGGCATTGGGGAGACCAAGGCGACCAAGAGAGCCTTGTCACAAAGGCACCCTCAGGCTGACTGGAATTGCGGTTGTTTCTTCGAGGCTTTGATTCGCAGGGAGGATGGAGGGGATGGGGTGTCGGTGTTTGGGAGGAGGGAAAAGAAGTTGGACGGTTGCCGCAGTTCGGTGCACAACTGACTGCCGGCGCGGAAGAGGTCGTTGCCAGTGTGGCTTGCTGATGGGAACCCAAGAGATTGGAGTCGAAGGAGAAATATTCAACCAAGTCGGGAGTCAGGATTGAGAACCTGTCGTTGTCGGCAGCAGGATGCACGTGGAGAGAAACCTTGCAGGTGATGACGGGTGCTCGCGCGCACTCTTTCCCCAGGACAGGCGCTATTGGAGAATCTTCAAAGTGCTGAAGCAGCAGGCGGCATTGGGGTCCGGTGCAGGGAGTCTTGGTTGGTTGGATTGCTGCTGTTGGAGGCGACCTAGCTCCTCTTGTAGTGGGGGTAAGCTTGGTAGCTACAGCTACCTTGGTACATGCAGCCATGCCCTATAGTATTGTGAAGTAATGACTGGCTTGACTGACACACTGACTGATCTTGACTGCTTTGTCCCAGCTTCACAAAGGCAGATTCGTCACAACCCAAGTCTTCATTAGCTGCAGATTTTCAGCGTGAACAAACCCCCCAATCTCCGTTGCCTTCAGAATCAGTAATTACTTATTGTGTTCTTCTCAATGGTGACAGCTGCAGCTGTACGCTTCCGTTCTTTATCCGCGTGCTTTTCCTCTTCTTTTTCGGTGTTGATTTGCTAGAAAGGAAGTACCCTGACTTTGATAGAGCGAATTCAATCCTCGTACATACATATGGGACATCGAATCTTAGACTGACTACCTCGTCTGCGTGCCCTGATACTGAATGAAATTCTTCTCTCTGTCTGTCCTGATCAGCGGTAGGGGGGGGGGGGGGCTTTTCTATATCGGTAGCATCTAGCCAAGAGGCAACTGCGTGTGACAATGATGAAAAGGAAGACACAAAGAATCAAAGGCTTGAATTTGCACAGTACGTAATAGGAGGCCTGATCGAATGCATCGTTGCACTTCAGTACTTCTCATCTTACAAGATGTGTCCCGTCATTCATTCCTGTTCGCCAATCTTCCATGCCGAGAAGAGAAAAGTAAGAAAAAACTAAGGAAAAAATCAAAAAGAAGTTCAAGATCAGGGAACAACCAGAAGCCACAACCTTGCTGCCATTAATTTTGTCCGAAGCGCCCGTCGACAGACATGGATATGCCAAAATAAGGGAAGACCACAGGGTGTCATCAGCAGGAGATGTGGCCAACAAGTAAAAAAAGAAGAAAGAAAGAAAAAAGAGAAAGGAACAGGTAAATCATCCCTTGCCGTCATGTTGCAGCCGAACTGAGGATGCCAGATCAGAACACCAAGAAAGCCCCAGTCTTGTCTGACGGTCTAGATGGAAATCGCCCCCGCTATGCAGAATGTGAACGTCGTAAAGCTGTCGTGAACTTGAAAGTCGTAAAGGCCATTTGTAGTAGAATGCTATGCATGAATTGAAAGTCATGATTCCCGCTCCTCCAAGTCGCGGCATGTCATCGTTCAGCACCACCGACTGTCCTGTGAAAAGCTCACCTCGCCCGGACTCCACGTCAATAGTAGGGGCCTAGGTGGCTATAGTAGGGGTTTGCAGGCGGCACCCGTCCATAAGAGCGCCTCCGCTCCGGCTCCATGGGTCCTGGCGTCCGGCGATCGGCCCTGGACGGTGCGAAGCTGGGCGGTGTCCTCCTGCCGGGCAGTCCTCTTTCCATGTGGCCAGACGCTATCGTCGGAACGCCGTCGCCGCCCAGCCTACGTTTCGGCATCGGCTGTCGGCTGCCACCGAGCGCGGAGAGTGGAGGGTCACGAACACCAGGCTCGTCGTCGGCAGGAAGAGTGAATTCGACTGTAGGGCACCAGTTAGTTCAGCACGAAACCCCCCCAAGGGAAAATAACAAGGCAGATCGCTAAACGGACCCAGACTGTAGAAATACTGTAAGACCTCAGGGTACCGCTGGACAGAGGTCTGCCAGTCCTCGTCAATGCCGAGCTTCAACGCCTGCTGAGCGGCGTTGAGCTCTTCCGGGTGCGGCGGTGCGTGGTAGTAAGTTGCAGCATGATGGGTGATGCGGTCGATGTGGGCGGTATGGGCTTCCTTGCGCCTGTCGGTCAGCAGGCGGAAGTATTCGAGAATATAGTCTTGTGCGTGAGCCCTGACCCAACTCCTGCAAGAAGCATTCACGTCAGCTCGTCCCGTGATGATGAGGACCTCGTAGATGCCACTGCATCATGCCAGATGGAGGAAGAGAGGTCGCATCGCCGAAGCTCAGATAAGAGGTAAAACGAAGAGCAGCCTTACCGGATTTCGTTATAGATGTTCTGCATCATCCGTGCTTCGGCTTGACGAATGGCTGTCTCGAGGCCTTTTGCCTCGCAGTCACACGCCATTGTTGCAGGAGCGTGGCATATTGCACAGTCAGGGTCCATCTTGACCGAAACCTTCTTCGTCACGAGCAGTTGGTGGTGGTAATCCCTGATAGGAAACATGGTTCAGCAGGCGGTATCCGCAGAAGGAAAGCAAAGAGAATGGATGAGAAGAGAGAACGAGAAAAGGACAGCAAGAGCGAAGGCGAGAGTAAGAACAAGATGATAAGGACAAGGCCGAAAGGAATAGATTCATGAGACTGCTCTGAAGTCGGACAAACAAAATCAATTTGCAATTGTACAGAGATAATTAAAGGTAGACACAACTAAGACAACAACTCCAGCAAACTTATTCCTCTCCTCATTACATCTCAAAAAGGAGGGCATGAAGAAGAAGAAGGCGGCCAAACGGTGTAGTGACCGGGGCTGCTGGATATGAAGGGGCCTCAGAGAAGAGGGCGAGATGGAGGAGGATGGATTCAGGGACGCAGATGGGGAGGGAGAGATAGCAGATGACATTGGAGAGACGGATGGGGAGGGATATGTGGTTGACCACTTGGCGGGCCGTCAGGAGACAGAAGGGCGGCGCGGTAAGAAGGGTAAGGAGAGTGGAAATCGAATCGATCTCCAAAGTCAATGCAAGCTGCGGGAGGTGCAGCAACATCGACCTAAAGATGCAGACACTGGATGATGGGAGACAGACTACCACCCTCCATGCTTTGGTGGCGGCGTGGGTTGTAGTCAATTGACGTGTTTATCCCACGACATGATCCGTGCTTGTGAAGGGGGGGAAAGGGCCCAACTGGTGGTATTGGTATGTGGATCGTGAGGTGAGTGGTCGGAACGCATTGGGGAGTCTGCAAGACGACAGGTGATGCCTCCACCTCGAAAGAGGGCCTTGCAGAAGAGAATTCCCCCGGCCCTGCTTCGCATGCAGATCTCGCTGAAGAACCGAAACAGCTGAGGACTTTTTGAAATACAAGAAAATACGTACAGACGCGAGGCAATTGAGTTTATCGCGGTTGTGGAGGCTGTGCTGTTGTGCTGCTGCTGCTGCTGCTGCTGCGACGAAGGGCAGAAACCAGGTAGCAGCAGTGAGGGATGTGTGATGAGGTGGACGACCGGGAGTTGTGTGAGAAGTCTAGAGGAGGTTTTAATTCTTGCCCTCTGGGGCGCTCGGGCTCTGGACTACCCACATTAGCCTTGGGGAAACTTGTGTCGTGGCTCGAATGCGGATGAGATGTGTCGCGACCTTATGCAGCATCCAGGTTCCATGCTGCATATAACCAATAGAAAGAGGATCTCCTTCTTGGATCTTTGGGCACCGAGCGGGTCCAACGGTCTTCAGAGGAGACTGGCCACCGAGGGCGTTGCTTCTGCGACTTCTCCCAGTCCCGCCTGCATCACGGGGGCATGAATATCACCCTATCTTTTCCGCGCCCGGTTGACAAGACAGCCTGAGCCTGCATGGCAATTTTTTATCAGAGAGGCACGTACTCAAACAAACCAGGAGTATTCGGCGTGCTTAAAGTCCTCTTGTCCATCCCGATGTGGCCGGTCCTGGGCAAACGACGAGCCGACCCTGAGGTTTAGACCCTTGACGGGCGAGAACAGAGATTAAGTTTCTGTGTGTGTGTGTGTGTGTGTGTGTGAGAATGAACTGCTCGGCAATACCCGATACGAACAAAAAGCCAAACCATCAATTCTTCCAGAGAACATGATCCTTTGGCGGCATTCTCATTTTCTTGTTAGGTGCTCGATACACTCTCGCTGAGACACTGCCCTGTTGGACAACAGCAGCACACCGCCAGATTCCGGCCGGGGCAAGGCTCCCAGGTAGATTGGTTTAGTGTGAGACAAACTATTAAGCTGACGGTGGGATAGCCTGTGTGGCCCGCAGCAGCTTGTGTTTCCCCAGATACATGGGAGAGGGGGGGAGAAGAGGGAGACCATGTTTGGATGGCGAGATGGGCTTATGTGGAGCGAGCGGCAAAGAGCCGCATGATGAGATGCAGAAAAGTCCGTGGCTGGTGAGAAGTGAAACACGCCCTAATCAGGAGCATCAAGCGAGGCGTCTTTGCTTTGAATGAGAAATATTGAGACCCTAAGAAACGCATTGGCTGGAGAGCGCATCTTGGAAATTAATCCAGTGTTCAAATGCGTTGAGGAAGCTTTATTCAGGCACTGTATTGAGGTATCTTAAGAGGGAAGGAGTCGACAGGGGAAGGAAACCCCGACAAGGATGGTGGACAGAGGCGAGGAGGGGACGATCCTCTCCCGTTCTCACACCCCTCGGGAGTGGGCGTATGTGGTTCTCTTATCTTATCGTAACGCCCAAATTTCTCCCCATACCTCATAGTTAAGAGTATCCAGCAACTCGATCAGCTAAACCACGACGACGTGCATGCATTTCAAGCAGCCAATCGCACTGCTAAAGGCCCATCATCTCAAGTGGAGATGGCACCTTGCTGTGCAGGAGGCTCACCAGCCTTTCTTCCTTTCCTCTACCCATCTCTCTTTCTCGCCAGGTTCCCAAAGACAAGCAGGGCCGTCAAGGTCAGACACCATGTAACGGAGACGGCGTCGGCAGAAACAACCTCTCCGTCGTCGACATCATCTAGGCTTGACCCCAGTCCTGACGACTACTATATCACCAACTTTGCCGACAAGGCCAAGCTGAGTTTATTTGCTGGTGCTGGTGGCAATGGCTGTATCAGTTTTGCCCGCGATGCCTACTTGCCGGATGGCCCACCGAACGGAGGCGACGGCGGCCATGGCGGCAACGTCTACATCCAGGCCGCCTATGGCGAGACGTCTCTTCACAAGCTAGCACGACGACAGTTCTTCAGGGCAACGAGAGGCACCAACGGTCAGGGCGGTACTAGGTCTGGGAGGCGAGGTGAAGATCTCATCATCACCGTGCCCGTGGGCACCGTTGTTCGTGAGATCAGCCGGGAGGATCCTGAAGCAGACGAAGAATTCCGCAGACGGGCAGCACGGTCGCGCAAATCCCTCGCCGCACCAGGAGATGGGCAGTCGGAAGAAACCTCGACAGCACAGTCATCATCCTCCTCGTCAGCAGAGGAGTCACAATACGACAACCCCGAAATCGAGAAGTGGGTGCTGTACCCAGGCATAGCCTCTTCCGAGAAGAAAAAAATCTGGATTCCCGACCTCCCCAGACGCGAGAAGCTCTTTGCTCAACCACCTGCACCTATCCAGCTTGATCTGTCCAGACCCACACGGACCCCTATTCTGCTCGCAGCAGGTGCCCTGGGCGGGCTCGGAAACCCCCACTTTGTTTCCAGGGAAGTACCAAGACCGCTGTACGCGACCAAGGGGGACAAGGCCGTCTCGATGAAGATCGAGCTGGAGCTGAAGCTTCTCGCGGACGTCGGGCTCGTGGGCCTCCCCAACGCGGGAAAAAGCACACTCGTGCGAGCCCTGACCAACAGTCGCGCGCGGGTAGGCGCTTGGGCTTTCACGACTCTGCAGCCCAACATTGGCACCGTTGTGCTTGACAACAACCGTGGCAGGCCCATCGTCACGAGCTATCACCGGCAGGACCCGGATGAAACCTGGGAGGGGGATGTGGACGTAAGGCAGCGCAAGAGGTTTACCATCGCAGACATTCCTGGTCTGATTGAGGGTGCTCACCTCGACAAAGGTCTGGGAATTGCGTTCCTTCGTCATGTAGAGAGGGCCGGCGTGCTGGCTTTCGTGATTGACCTGAACGCCGGGAATGCGGTCGCGGCACTCAAGTCGCTGTGGAATGAAGTCGGCCTCTATGCACAGATGCGAGAGGAGCAGGAGCTGGACCGCGAACGCGAAGCGAGGATTGAATATGACCTCAAAGCAGGGCTTGATGGACCAAACTTTGGTCAAGAATGGCCGATTCACTCCGAGTATCCGTCCGCGCCGGAAAACCAAAGGGGTCTTCACATTGCAGCGAAGCCGTGGTTTGTCATCGCCACAAAGGGTGACCTGCCGGGCGCGAAGGAGAACTTCAAGGAGCTCCGAGAGTACTTGACCAAGGTGACCAACGGCGACGCGCCGCATCCCAGCGGGATTGAGAAGGCATGGATCAAGGACTGTGCGGCTATACCAGTCAGCGCTATCAAAGGACAGGGCGTGGACAGGATCATTCACTGGACCGTGGGACTGCTGGACGACTAGCTCCGTCAAATCTATTGGAGACTGCAGCTTGCCATGATTCTAGCAAAGTGCTGTTCGAGATAATGAGATTGGATTCCTGCCACCATAAGAACATGAAAACTCTGACATTGCATCATGAAACGTTCCAGGGCAGACGAGTCCGGCCGCTCCCCTTCGCACACACACTCTCTCAATCGTCGAAACAACTTGACCCATATCTTCACTGCGTCTCGTCGAGCTCGGCCTCTCAAGAGGACCTCGGTGCACCACGGTCTTGGTGCGCAGTCCCTGCTGCTTCTGTGACTGCTCTCCTGAAGTCGGCGTCGCTCTTGTTCATTTCAAATTCCTCCATCTTGTCCTCATGCACTTTTCTTTTGCGAGTGAACTTCAGCATGGGTATCGAGCCGGCGATGATCCCCAAGCTGCACTCAATGACGGTCCACATGACGATCTTGCCTGTGCTGTACAGGTAGTTATCATCTGAACTGTATGCATCTGTGTACACGGTGCGCAACACCGACGCGACGGAAGCACTTATTTGCGCCACGTCAGTTGTCAGCTAACCGTCGAATCACAATCGGGCAAGCGTAAAATGGATTAAGGTTTTAAACTCACATGATACCGAAGCCTAGAGCCACACCCGTCATGATCTTCGACTTGACGGCCATCTCAGGACTCCACAGCAGGAGGGTCGAGATAGTGGCCATGGCCAGGTCCGACACAACGTCAAATGCATACCCTGTCTTTGCGAGGGCAACGAAGATGTCCGAGTCCATGCAGGTCCCATCACCAGTCCAGTTCGACTGAATGGGCCTGCACTTCGCTAGCAAGGTAATAACGCCTGCGATGCACAGCACGATGACGAGTGCAATGAGGCCCCAGACGATGTAGACGAATCGTCTTGTAGAAGGCACTCTAGGGGCTGTACAAATGGTAGAAGGGAAGATGATTCTTCAATTAATCTATCTCAAGGCACGCTTGCCAATTGCCTTCTATATAGAAGGCAATTAGCACTAGTCCCAACTGAGCTAGCGTACCTGGCGACTCACTGCCTTTCCATTGAATGGCCCAGGCCAGTGAGTCAGGGTGGCCACCCAGGCCTCATTCACCTAAGGCCCCTATGGCCACTGCCACAAGTGCCGGCCACGGAAAAACGTTCCTGCTGTCCTCAGCAGCTATCTAGGGGTCACGTGTCCACGTGTCAGTCTCGCGCTTCTTCGGAGGCCAGGAGAGGTCTCAGGGCCCTGTTTTCCATCCTTTTCAGGCTCAGGGAGGCCTCCAGACGCGTTGTCAGACGCGTCAATGTTGACAGCCGGGGAGGCTGTGCCCTTGGCAGGCCGACCTCGCTTCCTCCGTGCTGGCACGGCTTCTCCATCCTCATTGCCGTCAGGCAACAGTTTCTTGGAAGGCCGGCCGCGCTTTCTCTTCACGGGGTCAGCTGGGCTGTCTTTCACGAGGATTTCTGTAGCCTTGTCGGGGTGTGCGCGTTCGTATTCCTCGATGAGGCCAGGGCACTTAAGGCTTCTCAAATCCTTCCAGCGATCGTGCCGCGAGGACCATCCCTTCCATCGCACCAGATATCGCACTGTATTCTTGCCACCTCGTCGCTCGATCTTCTTGTCTACGATGCGATCGACTTCGTAGTAGTCCTCATCAGGTCCAATTGAGTCATCGCTGTCTTCGTTGTGCTCGATCGGGCCAGGCTCAGGTAGCTGGCGGTTGAAGGGGTCGTCGGTAGGCTTGTACCGACTCAGGTACTGAATGCTGACCACTGGGTGTACTTGAACGTCAGCATCACGGTCACCAGTTTTGAAGTCAAGTTCATAAGCCAAAGGTGACACTTTTCTGATGATCGTAAAAGGGCCTTCGCGAAGAGCCTGTGTCTTGTTGGCCTGGCGCAGCAGTGGCTTGTATGCCTTGCCAAGTTTTAGCCAGACTTTGTCGCCCTTCTCGTATTCTTCGTGTCGGTGTTTGGCATCGTACGTGCGTTTGTTGTCTGCTGCGACGATGTCCATAGCCAGTTGCGCGTCTTTTCGCAGGTGTTCACGCATAAAGCGTATCTCGGACAGTTGTTTGGTGATGTTGACTAATCGGTCGGACGGTGACTGGATCTTGAATCCGAACAGAAACTCGTGAGGGCTCGCGTCAATGGAGCGTTGGTGTGAGTTGTTCAGATTCCACTGCAAAGAGGGAATTAGGTCTATCCAAACCTCGTCAGGGTGTTCAGCAGCGTGGTATCTGATAGCCAGCTCGACATCCTGATTCTTTCGTTCAGCTGCTCCATCAGCCTGAGGGTGGTGTGCTGTAGTCATCTGTAGACGCGTGCCAAAGGCCTTCCATAGGCCCGTCCAGTAGTCTGAGGTGAACTTGGCGTCGCGGTCAGAGATAATCGCTCGAGGGCATGCCCAGTCGCTCAACAGCAGCTGTCTGCCCAGGACAGCTCCCCATTGCTTGGCTGAGTAGGTTGAGTGGCCTGGAATCAGTAGAGTCCTCTTGGAGGTCTTGCAAGTGACGGGCATCAGCGAGTTGTAGGCTTTGGAGCCTTTTACCTGCCACGGGGTGCCTGTTGATTCGACTGAGGGCAATCCAAGGATGAAGTCGAGGGAGATCGTATGCATAGGTTCAGAGGGGGCCTGAATCGGTTGGAGTAAACCTGCTGGCTTCTGGTTTTGCTTCTTCTGAGCGCCACACTCGTGGCAGTGATCGACATACTGTGAGACAAGCAGTCGCTTCTTCCTGAAGTGAAGACCATCCAACTCGGCCATCATGCGGTCTCTGCCAAAGTGGTGCTTATCGTCGTGTGCGTCGCGCAGAAGTTCCTGCACCAGAGGTCGTGGGACGACAAGGCGTTCTTTTCCATCATTGTCGTAGTTGTACAACAGTTGGTCCTTCAGGCGGAATGGGTGGCCGGGCTTAGAAGCAGAGACAATGTCCTCATTGTTTACCAAGGTAGGAGGCTTCTTTCCGGCTGAACCGACCTTTGTCAGGTCTGTGATGATGTTCCCATAGACTGTATCCTCCTTGTATCCTCGCCAGAAGCGCTGTCGCATATCCTCAGACATTTGTGCTTCCGACAAGACAAGGAAGACTGTGGGTAGATCATCAACTACCGTGTCGAGAGTGGCTGGTTCGTCGCTCCGTCGCGCCTCCGCATCTCCTGTTGCAGACAGCCTTGACAAGGCATCAGGGACATAGTTGAGCTTCCCAGCCAGGTGGTGAATGTCGAACTGGTACTGGCTGAGGTAGATGGAGGCGTTGACAAGACGTCGGTTAGCACGGTCTGTAGACGAGGTGTCAAGGCGCGTTTGGGTAACGATGCCACGCGTGGCGTCGTGATCTGTGAGGACAACTACAGGCTGCGCTTGGTTTGATTGAATCAGCTTGCGCAGGCGTTTCGTTGCCCAGACCAGACACGCAACCTCTTGCTCAGAGGGACCGTAGTTCATTTCAGCTTTCGTCAAGCAGCGGCTGAGGAACATTACTGGTTTGATAGCGTGCGAGGGGATCGGCTTGCCAGGTTGCCAGATATAGTCTTCCTTCAACTGAAAGACCATCACGCCAAATCCTCGTTGCAAGCATCCATCTACTTGGATAAACAGCTTCTGCAATGGTTCCATATGGTACAAGCGCATCTTTCTGCAGATAGTGTTCTGTAGGTCCTCGAAAGCTATCTTTTCAGCGTCTGTTGGCTCGTAGTATGTGCGACGTGTATAAGCTTGACGCTGCGACTTCTTCCCAGGTGTGATTTTTCCAAGCTTACGGCCTTCAGCCAGCAGCGCTGTCTTTCGCAGTTGAAGCGGTTCCACGAGCTGCGCGTAGTACGGGATCATCGTTCGTAGGAAACCGGTCGCGCCAAGGTAGGTTTCGAGGTCCTTGAGGTTTCTAGGGAAGGTCATCTTCCGAAAGGCCTCAGTGCGTTCCTTCGTGGTAGACAGGCCAAGCGCGTCGACATAGAAGCCAAGAAGTTCGACCGAGGGGAAACCGATGTGACTCTTTGTGGGAGAAATAGAGATTCCCTTCCTGTCGAAGATGTTCAGGGCGACGTCGAGGTGCTTCAGGTGGTCCTCAAACGAATCTGAGAAGATCACGATGTCGTCGATAAATGCCTTGACGAAGTGCCTGTGGTCACGAAGTAGCCTGTCCATATACCTCTGGGCGTGAGCTGGCGAGTTGCGGTAGCCCATCAGGGCCACTGTTGGTCGCTCAAGGCCACGGTGCGTGACCATGGTCTGACGGTCACGATACTCAGGGTGGACAGGGAACTGGTAAAAGAAAGCTGTGGCGTCGATAACCGTGATGTGCCGCTTACCGCGTATAGCCTCGATCACGTCTGACTGAAGAGGAAGGGGGTAATTATCAGGCACTGCCCACTTGTTGAGGGCCCTGAGATCTGCAACGATGCGGCCCTTTTCCTTCCCGTGTACTGTTCGCCAGACCACGAAGATCGGCAATGCGAACGGACAGACGTCGTCAGCGAACTCGAGGCGGCCAGCTTCGTGCATTTCTTCGTGCACCTGGTCGATGAACTTCTCGTCCTTGCGGGAAACAGGGTAGCGGGGACGATTCAGTTTTGCGTGTTGCCATCCTTCCATCAAGGGGATCTTCATCATCTGGTCCTCAGGCATGTCAAGAGGGCCTTTGTTTTCCCACACAGCAGGGTACTTTTCGACAATCCTCTTGAATTGTCGAGCTTTGACCGGGTCCTGTGAACAGATGCGAACGCCGTTATCAAGGACCATTGCTGGGGCTTCGTCTGGGGCTTTGATGCCCAGGGATCCCTTGATAATGGTCGAAGGTTTCCGTATGTCGAGGTCGTGGTCGTCGGACGGTAGTGCCTCGGTATCCGTCGAGAGGTCGATGCCATAGGCCATTCCCATATCGCCGAGGGAGTGACAAACAGCGTCGCTGTAAGGCGTAGAGGACAAGCTATCCCTTAGCAGGAAATCACCAATAGGACGTGTCTCTGTTTCTGCGCCCTTGGCTGTTGCGATGATCTCTGGCGTGAGGTCGAATTCTCCGTTCACTGCCACCTGACCAACAGGAACCTTCAATGAAGATGCGAATTGCACGCTGTGTGCACCTATCGCGTGGGTGTCGGCCGGCTGGTAGGTCGACGCCAGTCCTCCCAAGGCAGCTGCCACTGCCAGGGCCTTTACAGCGCCCTTGAAGGTAGCTTTGAACCATCCCGTGTCCTCACACTCGTGGATAGTTCCCATGCGGGTGCCTTTGGGGATCTTGACAGCTCCTTCCGTAGCGTTGTGCAGGGCTACTACAGGGGGTGAAGAAGCATCGACCTGCGCGTTCAGCGCGGTGCCGTGGGTCGATGTGAAAGAGAATGAGCGGCCTTTGGGCAGTTCAGCGTACCTCACAGCCACCTGAGCAGTCTCGCCAGGGCTGACAACATAGGCGTGGGCCATCCTCACCTTTCGCACCGTAGGTGAGAGGGCCTGACGCTGAACCTCGAAAGGCACCTGGAAGTTGCCTTGCCCTGGGTATGTGATAGCCTGGTCCTCGTAATTGATGATGGCCTTGCGGGCTTTGAGCCATCCGTTGCCGATAAGGGCTCCAGCGGGTAGGTCATCCACGATCCATGCCCCAGCACGCTGGCACAGCAGTCCAGGAGAGCCGTCGGCACGCCTGCCACAGGCGTAGAAGTCCCATTCAGCGTATTTGGACAGCGTGATCGTGCCCTTTCCCACACCCCCGATCTTTTGAGGCTTGTGAACCGAGACCTCAGCGGCAGGGAACTGACTGAGGAACTGTCGGTCCACCAAGTCGTGACCAGTGCCAGTGTCTTTGCAGAGGGTCATATCAGGTCCGGTGGGAGTAGCTCGTACGGTGATTTTCATGTGAGTGTAACCGCCGATAGGCTCGTTCGGCTGCTTTTCGGGCGTGGCTTCCGTGAGGATGTCTTCATCACGGTATTGGACCGGTGGTATGCTTGTCTCAGGCGAAGTAGTTCCAAAAGACATAGCGTGCTTCAGACGTCTCTTGACCTCTTTGAAGACGTTCGTCTTCTGGTCTCGATCCTGGCAAGCGCCCACGTGCTGGAACATCTGGCTTCGAGAATCAAACTCTCTGTCACAGAAGATACACGTGCGGTTGACTGGGTGGTCGACTTCGCGTAGGTTGTAGACGCGGCCTACAGGGCTAGGCGATCGAGAGTAGTATGACGAGGTTGGCGAGGGCGATCGTCCAGGACTATCGATCCAGTGTACCTGCCTATCGCCAGGCGAAGGTAGGTCGTCACTGTCGTCCTCAGAGGGCGTGTCTTCACCCTTGTCCTCGGTAACGTTGTAGGCTTTCTTTTTGTCGGAGGTCGCTGGGCGACTCCAGTCGCGTTTCTTGCGATCCTCAGACTTGCCATCCTTCCTGGACCGATCGTAATCACGGTCGCGGTTGCGATCCCGAGGCTTGTCGCGGTTGGAGTCCCGGTTTTGGTATGAATCGCGATCTCGAGGCTCGTACCTTGAGGAACGAGTCACGCTCTTGTCACGATAGCTTGACCGATCTTTGTCGCGGCGGTCATGACCACGATCCCTTCCGCGATCACGATCGCGGTTATCTCGACGATCTCGGTCGTCGCGGCGGTTGCTGCTGGTGCGAGAGTCGTACTTGCGGGCTGGGGAACGGTCTCGACGACTACCCTTTCCTCTGTAGTACTCAGGGTAGCGTCGATCAGCGATGTTGACCAAGATGCTCTTGGCCTGCTCGACCTCCTCCATATACTCGTCCAGGGTGTTGTAGCGACGAGGAGGGGCAAGGTGGTGCTGAATGCGTTCATCCATCTTGCTCCAGATGTCGTTCAAGGCGCCCTTCCAGTTGAGGTTCTCGCGGTCGAGAATGCCCATACCGCGCGCGTATCGGAGGTTCTTCTGGATGAACTTTCGCAGGGCAAACTCGTCCTCAGCAATGTTTCTCAAGGTCAGGTAGCTTTCGCGGAACTTTCGCGTGGCACGCGTGGGTTCCATGGCGAATCGCTGAGCCAGGAGATTGGTGACGACGCCATATCCTCCTCGACGAAGCTCGGCGCGCTTAGTGTTGGTCAACTCGTTGGTCCACCAGTAAATGGCAGCGCCTTGCAGTAAGGTGCTGAACATGCGCAATATCTCGTTCTCAATATCAGCATCATTCGTGCCATCTTTGAGGGACTCAAGACGGTCTAGAAAGGACCAGACATCAGTGAAGACGAGGTCCTTGCCGACTGTAACCATGCCAACATCTTCGGGGTCGTCGTATTCAGGGTCGAAGACTCCCAATTCCTCCCTCTTCATCTTGATGACGTGCTGGGTGCTTGATCGGTTCGAGAACGGGGTATCGTCGCGCTGGCTACGAGGATTGCCCGATCCAGGTCCTGGAGGCCTGTCGGGAGGATGACGGCCACCGCTACCACTTCCCTGGTCGTCGGAGTCGTCGCCCGAGTCACCAGGGTCGCCTCCTCCAGCGCCGTAGTGAACAGTTCGTCGGGGAGCGGTTGAGCCCTGAGAGGGTCCAGGTACGGCGGGGGGTATATTACCATTGCTGACCTGAAAGCGAATATCCGAGGCAGTTGCCTCAGGGCCAAGTTTGAAGTGGCGCATCAGCTGGGCTAGCATGTCGGTCTGCCTACCGACCTGAGTATCGAGGGCTCCTTGTTTGATGGCTATCGTGGCTTGCTGGGTCTCAAGGCGAGCTACAGCGTCGGCGGTTTTCCTGATCTCCAGGTTTGCGTGCACCGCAGCCATCTTCGCGTCGTCAGCCTGCGTCTTGATGTAGCGAATATATTCCTTGAAAGCAGGGTTGTTCGAGAAGTTGGCTGGCTCTTCAAGGTCCTCGTGCTGGAGGGTGCCAGTCTCGCGTTGCGCAGCAGGGGACTCGAACAGTGCTGAGCTGTTGCCATGGTAGTCTCCCGCCTGGAACGGGTTGTCCTGACTGGCGGTCTCTTCTTCTCGAGAGGCCATCGCGTCTTCACTCGTCGAGCGTCCGTGAAGAAGTTTGGGGTCTTTGCCTAGCTGTGTCGCCAGACTGGCAGCCAGGTCGGCTGTGGTAGCACGGTGGATAGGTGGTCGAGTTGGGTTCTTTGAGAAACCGCTCATAGTTAGCTCAGCTTGTCTGATTGTCTTGCCAGGGTTAAAATCAACAGTGAATCGCTGTTAATCAAGCCAATTGGCGACAAGCAACAGATGGATATGAAGGCTAGGGGATGGTTTAGGCTTCTCAGGCGAGCGTGCCGTAACCAGGGTAACTCGTGGCGTCTGCGCGAGGATGTCTATGGTGCTCGCGAGGATCAGAGTGTGCTTGCTGATTTCAACTGCCAGGGCTTCCACCAGCGACGGGGTAAAAGGAAAAAACAGCTTAGCTGTGAATGCTTGTGAATGCCCGTGGGCGTGTTTTTGATGGTTTTTTGTGGTGTTTTTGATGAAAACGCCTGTTTGCGAGGTCTCAGGTGAGCGTAACGCGTCAGGGAAGTCCGTGGCACAGTCTCAGGTGAGCGTGGTGCCAAGGGCTTGTTGTTTTGGTGCCACGATCTTCACGATAGTGGGCTTTTGGTGTTTTTGGGTTGCCAAGGCCGCTGATTTCCCAGGTGGGCGTATCAGCGCAGTGGCTTCGTGGGGTGAATCCTCAAGGAATTCCTCAATGCAGTGTATGATCGTAGCTACCACTTGTAGAAGGCACTCTAGGGGCTGTACAAATGGTAGAAGGGAAGATGATTCTTCAATTAATCTATCTCAAGGCACGCTTGCCAATTGCCTTCTATATAGAAGGCAATTAGCACTAGTCCCAACTGAGCTAGCGTACCTGGCGACTCACTGCCTTTCCATTGAATGGCCCAGGCCAGTGAGTCAGGGTGGCCACCCAGGCCTCATTCACCTAAGGCCCCTATGGCCACTGCCACACGTCTCTCCTTATCGATCCGCTTCAGAGTAATGAGGATGCTAGTCTTTATGAACACGAGGTTGATCGTGTAAAAGATCTGCCAGAGAAAGAGATACTGGAATCACAATGTTTGTCAGATCAGGACCACAGGCGACGTTTGACGGGCTGAGAAGGGGTCGCAAACCTTCTTGCCCTCGCGCTGCAGCTCAGAGTTGAGCTTCGAGTCCGGCGATCCAATGCCCACGAATGTCCCATGCATCACGATGGCATTCTGCACCAAATTGACAACCTGAGCGAGGACGAAGATTAGCCTTGCTAGGGTCCCCTCGAGCGCTACGCCGGTAACGTTGAGATCACAGCAGGGAGGGTGAACTTGCCAGTGCCGTACACATCAGGTAGTCATCGTTGCCAAGCTGTTTGCTCCGGAACCTCAGCCAGGTTCGGAAGCCGACTACATTTGTCGAGATGATAGTGAAAGCGAACGTGACGCCAAAAATGGCTGCGGCAAACCTTTCAGGCTCGAGAAGATCGGCCAGATACTCAGAGGCGAGCGCAGCCATGTTGAAGAACGAACGAAGGAAGGGAAACGAATGGAAGTGAACGAATGAGAGAAAGAGGTAGCGAGTGAGTGAATGAGTGGATGGATGGAGGGATGGATAAACGAATGTATACTGAGATTGAGGCCTCACAGTCCCTGCTGCGCGCTACCGAGACCAGAGCTGAGGACTGGATGCCAAAAGGGAGAGAGACTCTCTTCTCTCACAAGCCAGCATGAGGATGCATGGCATCCTTTTAATGAGCCTGAAAACACATGCCATGCCTCGCAATATAATAACATTCTCTATGTTATAGCAGAAACAAAGTGGTACTAGGGAGGGAGTGTCCACTTTATTCTCCCGGGAGGTCGTCTCCGTCCCTCCTCCCCTTTTCCTCACCATCCCTTGCCCCCCGCTCCGGTGGTCCATAGCATAACGTTGATAGGCTCTATGCCTCTCCCTGGCCAAGATGCACGAATGGTAGTAGCATATAAGGAGAGAAAACGGCTTGGGGGCGCTTTAAATAGGTGCATGATGGTGCATGTCAAAGCACATCGTGGACCACTTCAGGACAGGGGTCGTTGCCGTGGGGTCGATCCGTTCATCCTGTTTCGAAACACCCGCCTTTATGCCGGGATCTCAACAAGGGGATCTGTTAGGCATAAATCAATTTTGATCTCCGAGACCCAAGCATGCACTACCCCAGGTTTGTGCAAGGTGCCTGGTAATTTCTCGAAGACTTACTTTGTTGCGACTGTGGTGGTTTTAAGCATATGTATTGAAAGCCTCCAGACTTTCTAGACTTGTGAAGGCAAGACACTACCCCAAACTACAGAGCAAAGAGAGAAGAAGAAGAGAATGAATAAAAAGGAAAGACAGTCTTGTAATGAGGGGTAGGAAACCCAAAAAGTCTCTTGAGTTTCGGATCCAGTTCATGCCTGACGCCGCACCCTGGCGAGCGTTGAAATGCATCGTGAGAAGACTGTCGCCCTCTCTGCTCAATTTACTGGCACTTTCGATGCGCATCAATCAATGTTTTCTACTGCAAAAGATTGGACTATACCTCTGTATATATACATGTTGTCACAATACACATGAAAAAGATCCTGTAATTAGCAGCCAGAACATTAAACTCTATTTTCTAAAGGTTCAGCCCATAATACTGACTTCGTCTACAACCTTGGAACACAACAGATATTTGTGTGGGATTCAGCATTGAAACATCACAATGTCATGGGAATGTTGATTGCACGTAAAACTCCCGATCCTCATCTTTCACTTTGACAGGTCACGTTGGTTATGAATATACAACCAGCAAAATCACCCTGGGCAGTAACATACGAAAACCTGAATTGATGTTGACAAAGAGTCATCTTTACTCTCCAATATCTCCTCTATATGCGCCTTTATCTCAGACCAATGGTTCTCTAAAGTACTTCAAGTGAGGCGATGATTTACTGGTTCTGAACTTGGAGCTATATCATCTTTTTTCATCTTTTTCCCTTTTTTTCACTCCTTTTTTTTCCTTTTTGGAATCATAGAGTGACGCCCTGTTTCAAGGCCTTTAAAGACACCGATATTGCCGCGAAAACGTGCAGCAATGTGTAGCATTGCATCAGAAAGTATTAACTAGAGGAAGCGAACGAGACAGCTCATATATCCAATAATGATCATACTACTGACACTTGTTGGGCCGCACAAAGCGGCCTATATCGAAGGAATGTTATTAAGCCTAATATCACTCGGCTGTCCGTAGAGTGAAAAGTGCAAACTCTATTACAACCACCCCAGAATTGTCATCGGATCCCAGAGGAGTGAATCCAGTGTGTATTACGCGCCCAAGCCTCAGACCTTGTACTGGTCAGCTTGCGGATCCAACGGGCCGAGCCTGATCGAATGTCGGGTGTCACCAGTGTGTCGGTGAGATCAGTTACATCGTCTCTTACAATTAATATGCATATTCACACAATTGACGTGCCATATATATCACAAGCTGAGGACTCGCTAGCCTGCAAGTTAATAGACGATCGCCCGCAGCTTCGCTTCGAGTGAGTCTAGGAGCAAGTTTTGGGGGCAGACTGATGAAGTGTTCCCTCTAGTCTGACGCCTTAGAGTTACAGTGCAGATGATCGCTGTTTGCCCTCCTTCCCCTTTTCCCTTGGCCCCACATCCCGGAACCACCCGCTAGATATTGACTGAAAGTTTGGTACAGGAACCTTGAAGAGATCAAGACAATACGAACTATATACCCTTCTCAAAGGGCATCTCATAACCAATGAATTCTTCTGCACTAAGAGACCGCAGGCATCAAGTTGATCAACTCTACTATCGATCTTCATTTAGGATACTGAACATGGCCACGAGAGTCAGTAATTTTCCCCATGATGTAATTCATTCTCTCAGGATCGAATGAAAGTGCATATATAGATTCTTATACATATACGATCCCGTTATAAATTGACAAGCTGAATCACGCTAGGGCCCGATCATCATGGTCCAAGGCAGCAGGGCTCATGGCAACGAGCTCAAGCTGCTTCGTCTTGTGCGTTTCTCCTTGTCAAGCGTGTACCAGCCTCGCATCGTGTTTGCGAAGCGCTGCATTCAGCGGTGAAACGGAAGCCCAAGAGTAGTCGGCCCAAGATTGGTCGTCGACACTTCGTATTCTGTTCTAGAACTGTTGCTTCTGGCTTATTTATAGCATCTTCGTGCAGGAAGCGGTGTAGGTTCGACATTCCAGCGCGAGAGCTAGGCGTGTTCATCACCGCCAGGCGCGGGCTATTAGCGGGCGTGTGGCCATTCAAGCCATGTGCTGTCGTAGCTACGTGTTGCGCTTCCCCCAAGACAATACGCCGTGCGCTAGCTGAAAAAGCTGTACCATAGAAATGATCACCCAGCGGGAAGCCGGCCGGGTGGTTACGAAGGCTAAATATAGAACATTTATGACGTAGTAGCCAGCATGCCGTTGCCGATGAGGGTGGCACGTGACGACTTGGCCTGCAGTAATTGTTGAGAACAACAACCTTCCCGTGGTTTTCCCTTCATACCTAATGACCCAGCCGCAGTTGATTTTCGGAAGCCGTGCAAGCGAGGTCTTGAGAAAAGCGGGAACAGAGTTTGATTATTCACTGTGGGGGAGTCTCTTGCCCCTGGAGAAGGAAAAGATAAAGATGGAAAAAAAAGAGATCTGCTTCCGCTGGAGGTGCTCTGAGGCTCCTCTTTTTCGAAACGTCCCTGCCCCCCTCCCAGCCTTGACGATGCATGTGATAGGAGAAAGCCCGAGTGGAATATATCAGCTAATCGCATTCATCATGCCAATCCGGTTATGTTGCCGTTTTACATTACTACAGTGGTATTGGGACCGTCATAACCGCATCGAGGCGAGAAAGCAGTTGGATATGTGATATGACGAGAATGGATGAAATTCGCTCGGTGCTGACTGCATGCATTAGGCCCACTCACAAAATGTTACGTTGTATGAACCAGAGCACCCTATTGGCAGAAATATAGGCCAGTTGACCAGCAAATCCACCAATCTGACGTGAAACGTAGGGAAACAGTACAGTGCACCCCGTACACCATAAAGTGGTCAAGGTCGTATTTCGACAGCGGTCTGATTCAGTCACACACGCAAGCGACATATCACTGAAAGTTTCTTTTTTTTTCTTCCTCTTTCTTCTTCTCCCTCGGCCTTGTCTCCTTTTACAAGGGACCAGCAGCAGTGGTGGTCCATATAATGCGAAAGGAGCAGACCCCGGTTGGTGGTCATCTGATTGAGCGGCATCCCGTCCAACTCTATGTCACATACGAGGAAGCGGAATCCTTCAAGGACGGAGTCGGAACAGCGGGGGTATCGAATCACCCGCAACGGCGAAAGAGTTCAATTGTACTTACGGGCAAAGCCAAGGTAGTGGGGGCCAAAAATCCTTCCGCTCCCATCCATCCTTACGGCCAAAACAGGCAGAGCTGCAAGGTAAGTACTTAATAGTCGGGGTTTGTGGCATTGCCTGGCGTTGGTGGTTCAGTCATCTAACACACGGTCTCTGCAATCAGCAAACTTCTCGCAACAGCTAAGCCTTTTCACAGCATTTTCTTGACTTCCTTTATCTGCGTTCGTCCTCCTGCAGCCTGCCTTGCCTGTCCCTCGCATCAATCTCCCGTCATACCGTCTCAAGCGCTTGAATCAACATTTTGTCTCTCTCTGGATCTTACCGGCTCAAGGCGAGAGGCACGAAACCGAAGAAGAAAAAAAAAGACCGAGTTGCGGAGTCTTGAGAACCCCCCCCCCCTCTTGGGGTCCAGCGCCTCTCTCGCTTGGGGAATAACACATCTCCCGACCTCACAAGCCACAAAGCCCCGGCAGAGGTCCAGAACACACACAATGGCAGCAGATTTTCCGCAGAAGCTAGAAATGTCCTTCGACCAAGACGACTGGGAGAAGCTGGGCATCACTCCTTGGTTTTCGTACAAAGTTCGACTGCCTCTCCGGCCACTGCCGCCCATCTCTGCCCGACCAGTGATCCGAACAAAACGGCTCATCATACGGCCGATCCTGCCGTCTGACCTGGAAGCATTCTACGAGCTCCGGCGGATCCCCGAGACGCAGATGCATTCCACGTCACGGGGCCGACCAGACCGGAGCCTGGACGAGACGCGGCAGAGTATCGCACGCCTTCAGGCGCCGTACGACGAGCGACATTGGTACTTTGGGGCGTTCCTGGCATCTACAGGGGAGCTCATAGGCGAGGGCGGCCTCCCAGACACCGAGCACCAGCCTGTCTCGGGGTGGACCAGGTGCGAGGTCCTGATCAAGCCGGCATACTGGAGACAGGGCTATGGAACCGAGTTCTTCAAGACCGTCCTGGACTCGTGGTGGAGCCTGCCCCGAAAGCTCAGGAGACACCAGCTCTTACCCTTCTGCATCGGGAACCAAGAGCCTGGCACCGTGGTGGCGGAGCGCCTCGAGCTGATCTGGGAGGCCAGCAACACGGCCGCCTGCAACTTCTTCCCCAAAGCCCTCAGCCAGGCACCGGTGTCGCATGAGGGGTTCTTCACAAGCCTCGACTGGCGCGAGGGACGTGAGGGCGAGCTTGTCCGGTGGGCCGGGACAATGGTGGTGAACCCGCTACGGAGAGAGCCCAATTCCGACTCGGAGGATTGCGACTCGGAGGATTCGGACTCCAAGGATCCCAGCTCTAATGATGACGATTCAGGTGCGGAATAGCCGGAAATTACAAAGTCATTCTGTAATCGGTATGTGTATATGTCTTAAAAAACTTTGTGTTATATTATTATTGTTATCATTGTTACATCTTTAACCGCTGGAGCGGCAGCATTTTTGGTCATTTGGGAGGGAGGGGGAAGTTGAACGGACCACAAATATTACAGAATCCGGTGCATAAACTGCCGCGGCTCCCGAAAGAGAATATACCCTATACGGCACATGGCCTGGACCCCTGCCTTTTTATTTTATTTTATTTTATTTTATTTTTAGGAAAAGGTACGAACTATAGAATTCCGCCCTGCATAGGAACACTATGTACATAGGCAACACTTCCCAGAGCCCCGCAATCATGTACCATACTAGGAATATCGACTGGCCTGCCCCCCACATGCCTTGGAGAGGAAAGAAAGAGAAGTAGGGAGGGGGTGAGAAGGAGGCTTGCTGTATATAGGCACATAGTACCTGGCCATCCAAGTACTCAAGTACGTAAGTAAACCAGAGTAGTAACAAAACAATATACGCCTACAACTAAAACGTCAAATATGAATTCGCATCAACATAGGCCAAATGGAGGGACGGATACTATATCAAGCCCGCTCCAAGCAGTCACCCGCATGTGACGACACTCTCATCCTCTTAGCACTTGTGGTCTGCGCCGCACATTCTCTAGTATCCCGCATCAATTTCCTCAAGCTGTGTAAATTTCCCAAAACAATCAAGTAGAAGTGCACTTCTTGTTCTTACTCTTTTGGTTCAATTATGGTCTTGAATGCAGAGCCCAGCCCTCGACGTGTAAGAAACTCGTAATCATGACTTCAGAAGTGTGCTGAGGATCCGTCACGCCCCTCCCCCCCATTTTTCCATCTCTTCTCGCCCCATCTTCATGACACGGTGTCATTGCTGCAGGTTTGACTGACGACCCTGTAATATGGCCCGATTTATATACTATGTTGATCAACTCGGTATGTCACGTCCCCCCCACCCCCCCCCCGGTTTTGTTTGTTGTGAGCGCAGGAGCGTGGTTGCAATTTCCGCAACTTGTGATGCGACAAGTTTGTTGTGTAAAGATCTTCTTGGCTGCTGTTGTTCATGGTCTGTTCAAACTGATTGCAGAATTTCCGTCCAGCATGGGTCTAAATGGCGTACTTCCTATCTAGGAGGCCCACTCTGTAAAGCGACTTGTCACTATGAGCACGCAGGAGGTAGGCCCTTCTCCTGCATGAAGCATAAACAGGGGCCGCTTAACTTCTGTGCTCAGGACGGGCCAAGATAGTCCCAACCAGAGTTCAGTAAGTACCGAGGAATGAACTAGCATCTTTTTCTTCTCTTTTCTTTTTCTTACCTCACCTTTCCTTCTTCTTCTTCTTCTTCTTCTCCTTATTGGAACAAGCTTGCAAAGGGCCCAATACATTATCGCGACAAATGAAAGAAAGAGCTGGGTCAGGAGGTTCGTTCGAGACATCAAGTGATTGTCGTATGACGAATATGTCAGCAGCACATCGCTAGATAAGTAATTCCCCAGACTGATCCACAGGCTCCTCTAGCATGAATCGTTTCAAAGCCCGAGGGGTAAGTCGATACCAACAGACGCAGCCATGCTTGACCTAACTGTGTGTGTGTGTGTGTGTCTTGGAGGTAAAGCTTTCAGCGAGCGCATACGCGCGGCATAACTCTTTGACCGCACTTTTCTCGCGCTCTGGAAGCTGATCCCAATTTTCGCTACCCTCAGAGGACTAAACTATTTTCACATTTGAGTTGTGAATCTTTCCTTAACACGGCAATTCGAAATTGTTGACACGATATTGAGCGGTGTGATGCACATGGTATGAATCAATCTTGTTCCAAAGCATCGTGCGAACGTTGGCTTTAAGTCTTATAGGGAGTAATGGAGTAATGGTGTAACTATTGTACACTGGCGTATAGGTCGTGCATATTCCCAATATCCAGTCTACAATGGTAGAGATGTTTGGAAGTCTGGAAGTGCTGGTTGAACTCGAAGTCATGTTCTTTGTGAGTCGAGCCTGGGATCTATCGATGACGATCCTCAGCCATGAACCTGGCAATCGACGTGTGCTTGGGTAGCAAGTGGCTGTGCTGCATCAATGCTGATAGTATTTGAGCACTCTTCTGTGCTTGTGTATCATCGAGTCTGGCTTGATTAAGGATGACCTCCATTTGCACCTCATTCAGCCCCATATTTTTACTTGCTTCCTCTATTAGAATTACGTTGCTAGAATGTAGCAGCAAGTATGATTATCCCCTTGATGTTGAGACTTGGCAGATTGATCATTCATTATCCAGAAGGAAGTTCAGAGATCATCACACAATGATCAAGAGATTTTTCTCCATAAATTTGAGTTTCCCAAGGATGGGCTTTCATCAGGGCGTTAGCAACAATTTAGTGACAAGAATTATCTACCAAATCCCGAGAGACAGACACTGCACTACCACACAAATGTAAATCCGTGTGATTCTTGCACTCTTTGTGATCAGAACAGGGTTCAAGCTCTTCCTTTTCTTTTCGTTCTTCTTTTTCTTTTCTTTCACGATTTCTGGCTCGATAAGGCAAGGGAGTGCTTTTTGATATAGGATAGGAAAGGGTCGTATGCCTTCCGAGATTTGTTCCTCTTGAAAGGACGGAGCCCGGTGACGACTTTGGAAGGTGGATCCGGACTGACATCGATAACCACAGCATGGGGAGATCCTACGGAGGGAATTTAAGTAGAGGGGTGTGGGTCTCACAACTGGCTGCTGTTGAGGTGGAGTGAAAGACGTGCCGCCTGTGGAGCCTCCGCTGAGGAGACCAAACACGAGTGGGAGTCCTCAAATATTGAAGCGAGTGAGTGCATGTGATCATTCCCCTGGATGGGAATAATGTCAATTTCTGCGAAGCTTCAGGCTTGAAGGGGAGTAATTAATAGCTGAGGGGGCATCTAACTTCGGACGTGATCACAGAAATAAGGTCTAATATTAATTTACTGAGATGTATGGAGATGGTGAAGGCACAGATTTGTGTATAGCATCAAGTAGACGAGAGGTCAAAAAACGAGGTGACGTTGGGGAGAAGGAGGGAAAGAGAGAACCGAGGGAAGAATAAAAAGAGGAAGGAAACAAGAACAGAGAAATGGCAAATGGTCAAGGAGGGAGGAGGGTGCCTTCCTATGTATTGGATGGACCAGTCTAGACTATACTGTACCTGGGGTAGTCTCTACCGGTGGGGGGCAAGTCTTCCTTGGAGCTCTTGCCGCGATCCCCATTCCGGCTCTTCCCCTCACCAATAGCGCCATAGGCTTATCCCCCTATTATTTCCAGCCCTTCCAACACTTCTTTCCCCCCCCTTAACGAAACCCCCCCTCTGATTCCGTCCATTTGGTTGTTCCTTTACTGCCTCGTCTCCCACATATGCTCAAGCGGATCATGGTTCACTTCTTTCTCCTTGTTCAACCTTATTCCCAGTACAAAGCCGAGCTCTCTCTCCTTTTATGATTTTCTTTTTTTGGTCCTTGGCGACTCACAGCCAAGGGATTGGATTTACCTTTTTGTCCGCTTCGATCCGAACCGAAAAGCGGCTCTGACACAGCCGAGAAAAAAAAAAAAAAAGAGCGCGTTCGTCCCCAAAACCCAACGCCCAAACCTTCTTATTCCCGGATAGCCGTGCTACCCATCTGGGTCCCGAATCCACGGTCCAGGAGCCTGGCCTCTCTCTGGGGGAGGCTCGTGCTACTTGAGGGAAGAGAGAGAGAGATAGAGAGAGTGTGAACCCCTGCTTCATGTTCATGCTCACTGATCGCCAGTGTCACCGGGAATCAACCGGTGATAAGAAAATATATTAAAAAATTATTGTCCTGTCCCATGGATCATCATCAGTCAAGAGGGGAACCCTCGAAACCGAGATATAATCCTATGCCCATCGGAGGCCCGGATCGACCACCCATTACACAGTCATCGCCCAGCCCAGGGACCATCTATGCCTCGACGCCAGGACACAAGGATAGCTACTATGACCGCAGCGAGAGGCGCTCCGTGGACCCCAGCCTGAACAACAACGACGACATCAACAACCCCAAAGACAGCAGCAGCCCGCCCGCCACCAGGGGGAGTGGAGGCCCAGCAGCCTTGTCCAGCTGGAGACGTGATTCTGATTATCCACCCGAGCCTCCAAGTGCGACGGCCACAGACTACACAGACCGCAACTCGACCACGACCACGACCACCACTCTTACTGGCTATCCTGAGTCGAGAGGCTATGCCTTCAGTAGTGGGGTCGTCGACGGCGATGGTGAGCCGCAGAAGAAGAGACAGAAGCGCAACAAACCGACTCTGTCATGCTTCGAGTGCGTGGAGAGGAAAACCAAGGTAAGCTTTCATTCATTTGGCCTCCCCTGATTGTTGTTGTGTTGTGTGTGCGCGTTTGTTATATCAGCAATTGGCCCTGGTCTTCTTATTCCTTTTTTTTCTTTCTCTCTTCTTCTTTTCTTTGGGACGACATTCTTTCTCTGTATCCCTTTCTTGCTGCTTGCTTCTTCTGTTGGTTCAGCTGAACTACATACGATGCCGACAACCAGCTTCACCCTCGTCTCTGCATCATGAACTTCACCTAAATCTCCAGCGGTGCAAGGGACAAAGTAAAGTGATTGATGACGACGACGATGACGACGATCAAGATGTCGACCCCTCTCCCATCGTTCTGCCACACGCACCAACGCTCATGTTACCATCTCGTGATGGTTTGTATCTCCCTCCTTTTCACACAGCTGACATGGCCATAGTGTGATCGGGGTCGGCCAAACTGCCTCGCATGTATCAAGAGGCAGACGGAGTGTCGGTACGCTCAGGTGGCCAACCTCCTGGAAGAGACATCTCGGGCATCCGCCAGCGGCAGGCGGACGACTAAGCCGCCCAAGAAGAAGCCTGGGCCAGTGATGAACCCGAGGTCAGCCATCCCTAACATCGCAGACCGCGGTGTGTTCTCCACCAACAACTACCTTAGCAGGGCCGCGGTCGCCCTCTCAACGGGCCTCCTGTCCAACATCCCCTACTCGCTGGCCACAGGCTCCAACATTTTTGGCATCGGGGCCGGCCACCCTTTTACCAACATCTGGACGCGCAACTGGGGCCTTGACGAGGTCATAGTTATGATGCCCAACAAGGTCCAGTGCGACATCCTCCTGACGCGCTACTTTGAGTGTGTCGACCCTGTCTATCCCATGCTGCACCGCCAGGCCTTCCTCGATGAGTATGACCACTTTTGGGCTCTCTCCGTCGAAGAGCGGTGCCAGTCGGACCCGGCCTTTGTGGCCCTCATGTTTGTCATGTACGGCCTCGGCACCCAGTTTCAGCGTATCCCCAACAGCAACGAGCAGTCCAAGGCCAACACCGCCGAGATGTACGCCTCGGCGGCGAACCAGGCCCTCCGCGCCGCCTCGTACCTGTCGTGCGCCTCCATCCGCTCCATCCAGGCCATGGTGCTGATGGTCTACTTCCTCATCAACGACAACCACGCCAGCGACGGCTGGGCCTTTGCCGGCATTCTCATGCGCCAGTCGTACGCCATGGGCCTGCACCGCGACCCCAACATTGTCACACCCGAGGCCACAGCCTTTGAGAAGAACGAGCGCCGCAAGCTGTGGCAGGCCGTCCTCCTGCAGGACACCTTCATGACTGTCCTGCTGTCTCTGCCCCCCAACGCCACCCACACCGATGTCAACGTCGACGACCTCTACGACGAACCCGCCGAGGCCTACACCACCCACAACGGTACCAGCCACGCCACTACCGACACCGCCTACATTCGCGGCAGCTGGACCCTGGCCAACCTCGTCCAGGAGTCCATCTGCAGCCCCCGCTGCCTCGACATGCCCATCTGTGCGACCCCGCGCCACAAGACCAAGCTTGTTGCCGACTTCCGCGCCGTCTACCGCTCCTTTCCAGACGTCTTCCGCTCTTGGGACGCCGAAAGCCTCACCTCCCTCGCCATCCAGGACAGCCGTGCCGTCCGCCAGACCCTGTTCCTCACCAGCAACTACTTCCACAACCTCATGCTCGTCCACGCCAGCGAGAGCACCGAGGTCCCCGTCAATGTCCGCGGCACCCTCGAGGCCGCCCACGAGGCCATGAACGCCTTCTTCATGCTCTTCACCCTCTTCGAGCAAGAGGCCCGCACCTGGTGGGTCTTTAGCCACCGAGCCTTCCTCGAGGCCATGTGTATCGGCAGCGTCCTGCGCGAGACAGCAAAAGAGCCAGGCGGGGACGAGACTGTTGCAAAAGATCAGCTTTTTGTCAGGGGCAAGGGCGACATTAGTAAGTTTCCATTACCACAACAACGCCCAAATCATCATCATCATTACCAACAACATCTTGGCAATTTGGCTGACTGGGGCGGCCCCTTTCGGATGGGGGCAAAAACTTAAAAACAGATCGCATGGTCCAGATCATGAACCGCATGGGCGAAGGCGAAGACGGCTCCGACGTGGCGAGGACGAGGGCGCAGGTGCTGAGCGAGTTTTTATGATCATCATTCTATCCCTCCATCTGTTGCGTTCTATAGCATGTTTCTCTCATTCTCACTATACCTCCTCTTCTTCTTTCCTTCGATTTCCTTCCTCCAACACACATAGTCGATGGTGACTCATTACAATGTCCATGTTCATTGCAAAAGGGGAAGGGATTGGTTGGCTGGGCTCACATTTGTTGTTGCTTGCATTTCCAGATGCTTACATGCCTTGCCATGCATGGTCTCACTCTCATAATAAACAGCGGACAAGAAAATAATCAAACAAACGCGACAGGATCTCTACAGAATGAGAAATGGAGATTTGTACAGCCCTGGACTACGTATCTACCTGTGATGACTAACCTTAGAGCCCCAGGGGTGCAGCATGTCATCAAGCTCGTTGCCAATCAGAAACCAACATCTGCCGGGGTCTGTAAACAGAGTCATGTTGTTTCCCCATTCCCCACCTCTCATCGCATAAAAAGAGATGTGCTGTCTAATGTCATTCATTGCCTCATGGGCTGGTCTATAAGCCATCTCCATAGTGTCCTGTTGCAAGCGACCTCAACTGGCCTGATGTAGATGTCCTCCCCTAATCCCATGTCTCCAAAGCTAGGCATCAGGCCTGAAAGAAATGAACAAGTCCGAGTAGCAGGTTATGCTGATAAACGGTTTCCCACACTGCCCAGGAGACATGACTCCCTTTCGAGGCTCTTGCCCAAAAACCCTGGTCCCTGTATGCCAGAGTCGTGCCTCAGGATTGATGAGCAGTATCTGCCCTGGAACGTGCTTTGGTGTGTGTTGTGCCCTGGGTAAAGGGCAAAATCAAATCGAGTCCATTAAAGAGAAGTAATGGAAAAATGCTGACGAAACATGATAACTTGCTCGCTCGCTCCCTTCCTAATGTTGTGCCAACCTCGAGACAGTGCGTGCTGGGTTTCTGCACATGACCTTTCCCCCTCCCTCTAATCTGTACAAGTAATTTGATGTACCCGTGGTACCAAATGTGTTCATCTCTACAGAGTGAGAGAGAGAAGAACTGGTGCTGAGCAAGTGGGGCCCCTCGAATAAAAATTGACCACCTCACGTTTCTCAATGCCGGGGCAGCTGCACAACGTACCGGTCCTGCTCTAGAACCAAGACCCCAGGTTCTGGCTCGTACCCTTGTTCCACCAAAACCACCACCTGGGATCCTGGTGGATATGAGCCTGATCTGAGGATAGAAGCGATAAGCTCATCATATGATTGGGTTTCACTCCGTAGTACATGTCGCCAGAATCTGGACGTCGTAGCCGTAGATCGGGAGAAAGAAGGTCGTGCTGAGAGGGGTGAGACGACTTGTCTCAGCGCCTCTCGAAGTGTCCGTGTTGGAGCTGGCTGCCTCCTCTAGGACCGCCGCCGACTCTGACTACTGTTGTGACTGTTCCCGCCGCCACCGAATCGATCTCGGAACCAGTTTATGGGGCCTCCTCCTCCTCCATGTCCGCCGTCCTCGCGTCCATCTCCAGAGCTGTGCCTGTTCCGATCGCCCCGCTGAGAAACGTAACTCGACGAGTTCGTCCGACCAGCACGAGGACGAATAGGGGATCTATCCCTAGCGGACGATGCACCCGGCGGTGGGCTCGTGGGAGACCAGGAGTCCCGCCTAGGCGAGGTGGAAGAGGCGGGGACTTCAGTGTCAGGCCATCCGGCCCTCGCGGTCTCCCGGAGAACACGCGTCCGTCGTGATTGTTCCTCGTCTGTTCGCGGTGCAGATGAGCTGCTACCGCCGCCGGCCGCCCTAGAAGCCCAGGATCCATCACGGCCGCTGGGAGCGGTCCAGCCACCGAGAATGATGGGATCGTTGCTTTGTCGCTGACGACCGAAGCTGCCGCGTCCACCGAGAACGCCAGAAAATCTAGGGCCATCAGGACGGTTTTCGAATGGGCTTGGACGTTGACTAAAGGGCCCGCCGGCAGCGTTTCCACCGGCTTGGGCATCGCGCGTCTCGATCGGCGCTCGGCAGATAGGACAGGTGTTGTGCTCGTTCAGCCACAGCACCACACACTCCCCGTGAAACCAATGCTTGCAGGGCAATACGGTCACCTCGTCTCCGATGTTCATCTCATCTAAGCATATGGTGCACTCGGCCTTGCCGCTCTCGCCCGTCATTTCCTTGTCCAGCTTTTTCTTAAGTAGGTTGTTGATGGCTGTCTCGCTTGCGGGTGGCGCCGCGTTCGACTGGGGGCTGTTCTCCATCAGCTGCGTGATTATCCGGTCCAGAGCCTCCTGAGAATAGACGGCATCACCATGGACGGCATCCTGAGCGCCTACGCCCATACCGGGGCCGCCCAACAGGAGGGAGAACAGACCCTGCATGCCGCCATCGAGGCCTGGATGGCCTACGTTGGGGGCAAGGATGCCGCCGCCGCGCATGGCATGGCCAAAGATCCTATTCATATAAGGTTGATTAGCATCGTGGCCCACCGGAGTAACCATGATCCCGAGACTGCTGGGCGGAGGGGCGAGGAGGAGGAGGAGGGAGGTACTCATACATGCCAAAGTTGTCTTCGAGGTCAGGGTCAGGGCCGTGCATCCCGCGGCCTCCAGAGCTGGTGGTGATAGAGAAGGTCGCACGCCCTCCTGGCGTGGTGTAGGTTCTTGTCTGGGTACCACCGCCTGCTCCACCGAAGAGGGCCTCGCGATCAGCTCGGAGGCTCGGGTCCATCGTATGTATGGGTCCCATGAGCATGTTCAAGGTCTCTGAGAAACGGGCGAATATCTCCTGCTCACTGCTGGGATCGGTCGGGCCTCGTCCGCCCTGACCACCGAAGTGGTTGTTTGGCGGCCGGTGCAAATGGTCGGGAGGAAATGCTTCATCTATGGGCTGCTCGCTTGGGTCTGGAAAGGAGCCAGGCGATGGCATCTCGTGATCGCGGGGGTCATGATTGGGGGAGATCTGTAGGCACTTTGTTAGACGATGTATTGCTATTCTGTATGTGTGGTTTGCGCCTCCTGTAGGAAGAGAGGAGATAGGAGACTAGACTTACAATTTCACAAATCTCCCCCTGACACTCAGGGCAGTGTAGACCATGCTCATCCTTATACCACTCACTGTAGCAGCCATGGCAAAAAACAATCTCTCTGTCGTCGACAAATTCAAGATGGCCACTACGGGACATGTTGGCCTGCTGTTGTCGACGATATTGCTGCTCTTGGTTTCGTTGGTGTTGCTGATGGGCAACCAAGGCTGTAAGTCCAAGGCCTGCTAAGAGGCCGGCTGTGCGGAGAGCTCTGAACGCCACGGTGAATGGGAATGGAAAGGACCAGTGATTGGCAAGGCTCTGTTGATGTTTGGAGGTAGGGCGACGGGGTATCGTTACCGGTGGCTTGTTGGCTTGTCTGCTGACTATTCAACACAGAGTCACAAACGTCGACAGGAGGTAACCTTGGCTGATGCGTCCTGGGCAGAGTCACAAGTATTAGGTACCTTTGTAATCGTGGTAGTGCAAAAGGGTCACAAAAAGAAGGAGAAAAGAGAAGGCAAATCAACAAGGGACAAGGTATTAGGTTGTTTGTAGTGCAGTGCGTGGAGATGCAGGTGAGGGAAGACGGATGGATCGATGAGGTGATGAAGTTCAGGTCATGGAAACCTAACCTGGCGACGTCAAGTAGACAAGGTCCCCAAGCAGAGTGGTTGCTTAATGGCTAGCAGGGCACCTAGACAGGGATCGGTGAGGCCCACTTGTTTTTGGGAGACCGGGGGGCGTGGCGGGGTTGTTTAGCTGGCCCTAACTCTTCTCATACCCACAGCATTTTCTCTGACTTGCTACCTACTTAGGTTCACATTAGATGCAACAGCTCCTACTCACTCCCAGTAGCTTAGTCTACAGGCTACAGATATTTTGTGTGTGTGTGTGTGTGTGTGTCCAGCTGCCCAATCAAAGTCACAAGATAGCAGACAGGGCAGGCAGATAGCAGGTCACCTCAATGAGGAGGGGAACGCCCAAGCTTCCCAGACCTGTGACATCCCGTTGAGGGACCACCTCAAGGAGGTAATGCAATTCAATTTATTGACTGGCCAGATCACACCAGCAAACATGCCTCTATCAAAATGCACCAGTACCTCATATTGACTGCTTGATATTCACAAGCAAGGAGCTCATTCAAAGGGAGAGTGCGCAGGATATAGACAAGCTGAATGTCTCAGGTCTCGGGGAATTTGAGTGCAGCACAGACTGGACTAAAGGCAGGAAGCCCAAGTACGTAGTGACCAATCTTTGCTGCAGAAATGAATGTATAAGTATATGTATATATATATACACCAACCAACAACCAAACATTGCTGGTTTCCAGCAGAATCAGCCCTGGACCTCTGGCCTCGAGCTCCAAGTAGGTTTACCACTGACTAGGTTGCTCAAGCCTTTTTCCAAATCAGCGAATCTCTACTTCTTTCTACAGGCGGCCATCTGCAACAAGCACTCACATCAAACCACGAGAGGCCTAGCCAGCCAGCCTTGTCGTCCACGGGTCCCTGAACCAGTTGTTGCACTGTCACGGAACGGTACAAGTGCCGTGCGTGCCGCAGCCGTGGGGAGGGCCCCCTCACAAGGGGGGGGGTGGTTGCCTCTGTTTGCCTACCATGAGCAGGGTTTGGTAGAGAGCAACGGGCTGTCCCGTCTCAGCAGCGGCCTGCTCTACAGTTTGATCAGGAACCATCCGAGACATTTTCATTGAAACCACGAGACATCAAAACTGACGACTCTACACACGAGAAAATCTAATTGTTGATCCCATTGAATTCTTTTTCATGGCCCAGTATGCAAGTCAGCCCACTCACTTTCTTTTGCATAGATTCTAGAACTGAAGAGACGTGACGGCGTAGGAAGTCATTCCAAGAAAAAAAGAGTTTGCCATGCAGCAGTCTTCTCCCGTTCCCAGGATCGCAAACTTGGTCAAACCCCATGATTGTTTGCCTTCTCCCCTTTTCCAATGCTTTGCATCGCCAAAGTGTACAAGATTGCTTTATGCGGCAGCGACGGCCTCACCGTCCTTCTTGTCATCGAGACTAGCCTCGGCAACATCCTTGGTAACATCCTCGACGGCCTTATCACCGTTCTCAGTCGTAGCAGTGGCCTCTGCATCGGGCGTGGCAGAGCCAGAAGTAGACTTCTTGCCGTCCTTCTCCTTGGCCTCCTCAGCTTCGAGCTTCTCGATCTCTTTCTTGGCCTTGTCAATGTTCTGCGGAAGATAGTCAGTAAGGCGTGTGTATCAACAATAGGCGCAGCGACCGAAGGACTTACCCGCTGGGTCTGGGCAGACTGGTCGGATTTCCAGTGGTCCAGCTTAGCCTTGACCTTCTCGATGACGGCAGGAACCTCATCGGCGCTCATGGGCGGGTCAATGTTCATGAATGCACAATCCTCAACAACAGAGGGGGGGCAGTTGAAGGTCGACGCGGTCTTGGCGGCGTTCTTCTTCTTGCCCTTCTTCCCCTTCTTGACAGCCGGCAGGTAGTCGTCATCGAGATCCTTCTTGCTGACGATCTTGGTGCCCTTGATACCGGAGTCGTCAACCTTGCGGTCGGCCTGGGCCTCGAGGCCGCTGCTAGCCTGGAGGGGAGCCTTCTCCTCGGCGACAAAGGAGGGGTCGAAGAAGTGCAGCAGACTGTTTGCGCGGCGGATCTCATCCAAGTAGGCAGCGTCGCTCGCCTCGGCAAGCATCTTCTGGGCGCGCTCCTTCTTGCGCTCCTTCTCCTGGCGCTCGCGCTCGGCTCTGTTACGCTCCCATGCCTTCTGCTTCTGGTCGCGCTCCCAGTTGTTGAAGGCCTTCCGGGACGTGTGGTAGTCGTCCTTGAATTTCTTCATCTCGTCCCACTTCTCCCGCTGCTGAGCCTGCAGCTTGGTGCGCTCATCGCGGAGTCCGCTAAGCTCCTTGTAGGCAACATCCTGCTCGGCCTTGATGGAATCGAGCTCGGCCTGGATCGTGTTGTACTGTTCGGAGAGGGCCTTGGCCTCGGGGTTGTTAGACTTCCCCTTGGTCTCCTGAACCTTGGCGACGAGCTCATCGACGGCCTTCTGCTTCTCCTGGAGGACCGGGAACTGCTTGCGCGAGCGCCTCAGCTTTCCGATCTGCTCGACGGTCTTCTTCTCCTCGAGCAGTGTCAGTCGGCCGGATGCGACCTGGGCATCGAGCTCCTTGATCCTGTTGTCCAGGGCGGCCTCGTCCTTGAACCCTACGGTATCCTGCAGCGTCTTGAGCTCCTTCTTGCGCTCCTTGATCTGCTCGTCCAGGCGCTTGACCTGTTCCTGTGCCGCAGTGCGGGAGTTCTTGCCATCACCCTGCTTCTTCCGGATCTCGCTCAGCTGGGCGATGAGCTCCTGGCGTCGCTTCTGGGTGGGATTTTCGGGGTTCTTGCCCGGGTTGGCGAGCTCAATCTTTTGCTTGATGGCGTCCTACAAATTGAATTCATGGTGAGTGTTGAAGCTCCTCAGACCATGTGTAAATAGGAGAAGGAAAAACGGGCGGGGGGCGTGAGCCCGTCCACTACGACAGGCCACGTAGCAGCTGGGAAGACGCAAAGAAGGGGGAAAGGAGGCAGGAAAAAGGGTCCAGCATACAAGTTGAGTCTTGACCTGAGTGTGCTCTTTCTCGAGCTTGGCGGCCTTCTCCTTGAAGGCAGCCTCATCAGGCTTCTGAGGCTTGGTGGCAGCAGCCGGGGCAGCAGCGTCTTCAGCCATGTCTGAACGAATGAATTGACCTTATAGAAAAAACCGAGAGGAAACAAAGCAGGTAACCAGGTCCTGTATGGGGAAAATACAGGAGGAGGGGATCAACAGGCGATCAGTCTCTATACCAGGGTGGCACGATGAAGTGAGAGAAAGGCGTCAAAGGTTTCGAGTCAAACAAAGTGGAGGTGGAGATGGTATTGTATTAAGTAGGAGGAATTGACAAACCATGAGCCGGAGCTGTACATCCCCAAACATTTAGGTGACCCTCGAACTTTTTTTCTGCAATGGACAAACTGGCCCTGTCCGCCCAAGTGTGTGGGGCTTGTTGGGCCAGGCCGGTCCTAGTTGAACCCCGGTTTAGAGACCCTGATGCGCTAAAACCTGGCTTGCTGCTGCAGGTGGTCGAGTGTTTGGCCCTGCCATTTGTTAGATAGCGTGGCACCGTATGGTTCGTGGCCAGTCAGGGTGTGGCTAAGCGAGTTTGCACGGGACAGTGGCACCGGTGCTGGTCACCAATGTGCTGTCGGTTAGCCCAGCCTAGCATAGCCTGCAACATTGCACATCCTAGGGTTGCCGCCGGCAAAGCCGCTGAATTAATTTTCGACTAGATGCTCTCAGCTTCTTTCAACTCATCCAGCACTTTTGACCTTCCACCACGCGACCTTGATCCTCACCTTGTGGCAGGACAACCACGTCTCGCCGTCTCTCTTCCCTCTCACAACGTAAACACACACACATCCTCTCCTATCCCAGGGCATATCCTTCAAGTCACCCAAGATGGATGATGCAGCAGCTGCCACCCGCGAGGCCAACCTCAAAGAGGCTATCCGTTTCTGGCGGGCATGGAAGACTGTGCATCAGATGTGCCAGGACCGAGTATGCGACAACTATCCTATTCCGCCCACCTTCTTACGCAACCTGGACCCAAGGCATTCTCTGCATGCTAGATCTCTTCTGGATAAGGTTGCAGGTGGGATCGTGCGACAAGAGTTTTCGCTAACGCGATCGCATCAAATAGGGATATGAGCTTACCGATGAGGAGGTGAACATCCCTCTCGACAGGTTCCGAGACGAGTACACCAACCATGACGGCAGCGTCAAGTAAGTTTTAGCGTACCTACTACTCCGTTCCATGTCCTTGCAGCATAGAGACGAGACACACACACACACACACAGAGAGAGAGAGAGAGAGAGAGAGAGAGATAGACACATGATACTAACCTCAAGTTTCCCTTCCGTCCAGCCGCTCCAAGCTACAATTTTCCGCCCGCCCTTCCGAACAGATGGTGAAGAAGCACACCAACCCCCCAACTGCCGCCAATCCCAACCCCGAGCCCGAGTGCGGCACCATCTACGTCGAGTTCTTGTCGGAGAACAGCCTCGGCGTCAAGGAGATTAAGAAATTCGCGACGTACGTGGCGACCAACAACTTCAAGGCCGGCATCATGGTCACGATGGGCACGCTGTCGCCCCAGGCGCGCAAGGGCATCAACGCCACCAGTGCCCTCACCACCCTCGAGTGCTTCCTGCTCGAGGACCTGCTGGTGAACATCACGCACCACGACCTGGTCCCTACCCACGTCGTGCTGAGCCGCGAGGAGAAGATCGCCCTGCTCAAGAGGTACCGCCTGAAGGAGACGCAGCTACCCAGAATCCTGATGAAGGACCCCATCGCGAGATATTACGGATTGAAGAGGGGACAGGTGGTCAAGATCATCCGGTCCAGCGAGACGGCTGGTCGGTACGCCAGCTACAGACTCTGTGTCTAAATTTTGAGAAGCTGGAGACGGGGTATATTGAGGCTAGGTTCAAGGGAGAGGGCTCTGACTATACATAAGGCACCTATTTGATGGCGTGGCTGCCGTTGCTGCTGTTGCTGATGCAGATTGAGAGGAAAAAGGGGGGGGGGGCTTTGGTCAAAGGGAAGCAGAAGTGTTTTCGAGGTCATGTCTTTGGCCGTTTCATTGACGGCCTGGGCCAGGCGTTTACGACGCGGAAGGGGGCAAAAAAAAACTTCCGGCATCTAATGGCGTTGAGGGAGTTTTCGGTCACGGAGAATGGTCCGCCTTAAAGAAAGACCGAGCAAATTGAAGATTCAAATGATACCACAAGGTTTTGTAACCATCCCACGTGGCTCGTCCCTCTGTGAACTACGGAACTCCATTTTGACAATGTACATGCAGAAGATGGATAGGTCCATCATTCTCGGGACTTCCTGCAGACCTTTCGCAGCAGACTGGCTTGGTTTGTCTTGCTACAAATCCGGGTATCAAGTTATCCGCAGCTGGCAGTACAAACACTCCTCCAGACCACCATTCAACAGAAGAACCGAGGAGATTTTCTTGACAAGGACCCCCTCCAAGGGTGTCTTGCGATATGTTCCCTATCAAGCCATTCATCAAGAATATACAGGACATATCTAAAACGACCCCAAAACAAAGACGACGGAACAAGTAGGAAATTCACAAATTTCACTGGGACCACAAACACAAAGCGCAGTCTCAAGGCATTTACGACCATGTAAATATTTGCTCTCTGGATGGATGTCCAAGCCAAGTTGTGTCACGATGTTTCAAAGGCCTGATTTTCTTCCCCTCTGCAAGATACGTAAGACCTTGCGCGCTTGCAATGATTTTTTTGCGACAGCCGAGACATTTGAAGAGAGAGACGATGAAACCTTCAACGTCACTTGATCTTACTCCATCGATCGTTTTCATATGCTCGAATGATCTTGATTCTATCTTTATATTTCTCTCTTGCATCTCTGATAAACTAAAGAGTAAATTGGGGGTATCATGTCTCCTCTCCTCCGTCAAAACATTGCGCCGCCGCTTAAATATCTAATGAAAAGAAAGGAAAACGACGAAACAAATGGCTGGTCCACTGCCCCGGGTATAGTAACAAGACCGAGCATCAAGAGAGAAAAAAAGACAAAAAACAAAGAAGTCTTGTTTTGGCCTCTAAGAGGGGCTTACAACGCCACCAACATCTTCGCTCGGCCTGCCATAGCCCTCATAGGGCGGTGGCTGCTGCTTGTGCTGTTGCTGTTGCTGGCTGGATCCGTAGTGGTCCTCTTTCTGCGCCTCCTCCTCCTCCTCCTCCTCCTCCTCAGCTCCAGGCGATAATTGCGGAGGGAACTCGGTCTTAGGCGATACGGCGGGCGAAAATTCTCTCAGCTCCGTCGCCGAGTCCCCAGACTGATCGGCCTCCTTGTCTTTCCCTCTCCTCCTCGCTACATCTCGGCTGCTTGACCTGAATGGTCCCAGCAGCCCGCCCAGGTCCTGCAGAAACGCCTGCGATCCTCTCCTAAAGCCGCTCGCTCCTGCTGGTAGGACTGATGGGGGTGGCGTCGTCGTTGCCGGGCCCTTGCTAGAGATTGTGCTCTGCCTCCGCACGGTGCTGGGGCTGCCGGAACTCTCATCGTCCAGTAGCCCGCCAACGTCGAAGAAGGACACCTTTTTGGGTCCGCTGCTGCTCGGTGCATCTGACAGCGGCAGGCTGCCGTGCCTGGTCCTGTCGTCCCCAGCTGCGTGCTCAGGAAAGTTCCAGTCTCGCATATTGTTGAAGTGTTTCGCCGGCAGTATCGGCCTAGCGGGCAGGGCCTCGATGTCCGCAATGTCCCGTAGGTCCGAGTGCACGCCGAAGCCGATGTCGCGAAACAAATCCTCATCGCTGCCCCAGGCGCGCTCTGCGACGGTCGGGCGCCTAGACCTGTTGTCGCTGTCGGTGCCGTGGGCGGATTCGTCTGCCACGGAGCCGTACTTGAACCGCCGCTTCTTGACGCCCCTGTCGCGTACAAAGGACCCCAACACCAGCGCGTTGGCGACGCCCGTGGCCACGAGCAGTTCGATGGACGCGAGCAGCGAGCGCAGCTGCTGACCGCCGTGGTCATCGATGACCCTTGACAGGCGATACAGCGTGACGATGACGGGGAGGAGAGACATGGAGAAGAGGAGGATCAGCTGGATCTTGCGGGTCAGGGCCATCTGACTCTGGAGGATGATGGGGATCGGGAGCACAACGAGGAGCAGGTCCGTGAGGACATTGCACACCCCGATGGTGAATAGGTTGGCGTAGCCCTGCCGACACTGGCCGCCTGGGTCAGGAAAGACCTGCCAGTAGTGGCTGAAGGGCCGACACTCTGCTAGATCGCTGATCAAGACGGCGACAAACGTGGCGATTAGGACGCAGCGTATCGCGACAACGCTGCTCTGATAGGCCTTAGACCAGGTGAGTCCCGTGAGGCGCTTGAAAAATTCGAGAATAGTGTTCTTTAGCATCCAGAGACTAGAATCATAGCAAGACACGTCAGTCAGTTTTCTTTTCTTTTTCCTCTTCTTCTTTTCTTCTCCGCTTGGGACTAAATTAGCCACGGACACTACGAATGAGGACTACTTACGTTGCGGCGTAGAAGATCCGGCTGGCGAGGACCAACCCGCTACCGATTTTCCTCCTCCATAACTCGTCTGTCGAGAATAATAAGCCCGAAACTTGGACATTGTTCGTGCCGTATAAGAGGATGGCGTGCACGAGGCCCATGCGCACGTAAAGGGGTATCAAACAGAAAAATGCCATCTTGTCCTCGGTGAAGAGCATCTCGGAGCGGACAAAACGGCCCGTCACCCTCAGGAGGATAATGATGGTGGAAAAGAGGGTGGCCCACCAGCATACCAGGACGGTCGGCTTAACGCTGGTCCAGGGCAGCTGGTCTGGAGCCTCAGAATAGAGAGTCATGTTGGGTGGTGTCAGGATCCCCTACGAGACCAGGGAGGGACCTGTTCGAGGATGATGAGGTTGGCCACGCCCGTCAACCTCCGTAGAGGGGACGAGCGGGGAGGAAAAGACGACGCTCGGTCCGATGGCAAGATGTCTTTTCCGTTGATGGATCGATTGATTTGAATAATGGCTACCGTCTTCGAAATTCGGGTATGAAAGTAGTGAGGAGTTGAGGTCGCATGTGGATGGTGGTAACATTGGTGGTGGTGAGATGTAGCTTAATGGTTTTTGGGAGAACAAGGCAGTGGTGATCATGGATCGTTTGATGCCTTGTGCTGTTGCTTGTGACGTTCAGGTTATGACGTTGCTGTGGTCCTCTCTCTGACTGATCCTTCTGGATTCGGAAACTGCTGAGGGAATGAGGGGCCCCTTTGTGTATCGTGGCATGAAATCTGCCTTGGGTTCTGTGATCGCCTTGGTCGGACTCTGTACAGTTCCAGGAACATGAGTGCAGCAGATCAGATATATTTGCACAGTTAATAGCCAGTGGATCAGTGGCGACCCGAAGTGGAACACTTTCTACCGAAATCCACGCGACTGGTGGTTGCCGTGTAAGGTAAGGGCGAATAATGGAGATGAAGAAGAAAAAAAAGAGAGAGAAGTTCAGTCAGCCTCGCGTTGAAAGAAGAAGCAACGGCCGAGAAGATCCCGTGCTGGAAGCGAGATCCGGATCCAGCGGGGGTGGCTATCCTTCTCAGCTCTGCCGTGAATAGTTGAGGTATCACAACGAGGCGGAGGAGGAGGATTGGCGAAGGATGTGCCCGAAGGAGACACAAAGTTTGTTGTTGTTCCGAAAAGCCGATGACGACGACGACAACAACGACGATGTTGTGCAACAAAATTTTTATAAAAGGTCCCTTGTCAGGTACTTATTCATCACAGTACACAGGGCCAGGAGAGAAAGTATGGGTGTCAGAGCCTCGAGCTGAAATTCAAAAAGAGGAGAAGGAGGAGCCAAGGACAGGTTATAAGTGGATATTCATACTATAATAGTATGCCCAGGCGGAATTGCAAAGTAAGTACATAAAGTATGATATGGTTTTGTGGCGTGGCGTGGACGTTGGCAGAGATAGGCACAAGGAAATCGTACTCGGGCGCCAAAAAGGCCAAGCCAAACAGGATAAGAAAGAATGGCCGACTCGGTGTCTTGATATGTCTTGGCCAGGGATTCCCTCCCCCCTCAGATGACGACCATGGCCTGCGTGGGCGGTCGATCATAAGGCTAGGGTGTCACTGGGGGAGGAGCCAATCTTGGCTCCCACTTGGGGGGACACTGGAAATTCTCGTTCCATCTCTCTGTCTTTCTCTCTCTCTCTCTTGCTTTCCTGCTTGTTTTTTTTCTATTGTTTTCTTGTGTTCTCTATTCATCTTCTCCAGTTCTCTTTCCCTGACTGCACTGCCTGCTGGCGAGGTGGGGGTGGGAGTAGATCTGTCTCTTCTACCACCATACCAACACTCTATACATGCATGCATGGTACCTACTTTAAATACATAACACAACAATACTGTGATACTGTGAAGGAGCGACCTGCAGAGGGGATTGTAGATGAGCGAAAAAAGAAAGGGCCCCTTGCCTACCAGCAGATCCTATCGTGGGCCCTGATCAGACCAGACCAGCCTCAGAAGGCCCCTACCGTAGTAGTACACAATTCTACAAAAAGACGCTTGGGCTGATGCCCAGAAGGTCGAGGTCGGTCCCGAGATTATGCTCATGCATGTGGTGTGTAGCACAGATGCATGCATGGGATGCTCATGCAGGCTGGCTGACTGACCACGAGGGGCGGCGTGGGGGGCATCGAGCGGGACACACAGACAAGGGCATAGTTTATCTACCACAGTAGGTTGCACTTACCACAGTACACCCTTGAGCACGACGAATTGCGACAGAAACTGTGTGGGTTGGGCAATGTACTGTAACATGAATGTGTCCTGTTTCAATCTTGACTGAATTTTGACTGCTTGGCGCTTGGGTTCATCTGTACACGCCACATTGCGTCCACATACTACTTACTGTATGTAGTCGAAAAATGTGATGGCAAGTACTGTGATATTCAGCCTCGATTATAGTGTGCTGAAGATCGTACCTCGTCTTGTCCCGGTCGCTCGGGTCCAGGTGGGTCGCGCCCTCTCTGAGAGAGGCGAGTTGGAGTGACCCTGCAGCATGTGTGCCCTAGCTGGCCTGGCTGTCACCTTGTACTAAGGTACCGCTGGGCCGCTGGTGACATATGTACCGCGCGCTGCACCGCCCATGAGGATCCACTGACCACCTGACGGAAAGGGTCTCTGATTTTCCCAGCAGTGACGATGCCAATGAAAATCAGCTTGCCCACACGAGCTCTGTTTCTCTCTGAAATGAAACAAGATTACGCCCAATTACAGGGCACCTAATACGAAGAGAAAAGAAAGGGAAGAAAACCACCTGCAATATGTACCATAATTTACATACTGTACCGCAAGATGCGCATATCCACACCCTGAAGATCATTGATCAGCCACAACATGTGCGTCATGTTGTCTTTTCGGTTCCACCTGCTCTGCTCTCCCTCGAAATCCTGCTCGCTCAACCTTTTGACGTGTCAAACTGCCATCTTGTCCCCGTCCTCGTGACCTCCCCCAGAACAGTGGCCCCTCTCGACCGGGGCGCAGGTCCCATTTCAGCAAGCGACCCGGCTGAGCAGCCCGTAACATGTGCCGTTTCTTTTTGAACCCTGACATACTACAGTAGTTGGCGTCACTGCATTAATTTAGTACGTACGTGCAGCAGCAGTGTGCTATGGTACAACCCATATGGGGGAGGCATGCGTGGCATGGTGAGGCTCTCCCAGCTAGTTTGGGTTGTGCGGCAAGTGGTCCCCTGAGACCAGGCATGAACCCAGCGCAATCTTCAGCGCCAGAACTTAAGCTGTTTCTGCAGCTGCAGCTGCAGTACATAATACAGTACATAGTATCAGCCTTATCTCTGCTGCTCTCGACCATGTCTGTTGGATGATGGATCATCAGATGTTAGACTGTACATAGTACTCTCTTCGAGACCTTAGGTGGATACCATCCATCTATTCATCCAGAACCTATCTTATTTCATCACGCTACTTGTGCGTACGCTGACTTCGTATCAAGCTAGACGAGACTTCGTGCGATCCACTCTCACAGCGTAGCAGCGGCATTCATTTGGGGCCCGTGAGTGACAGTTGCCACAACCTCCGCTAGCCCGTGTATTTGTGTGTACCTCTTTTTCGCTTTTTTTTCCCTTCCCATTTCGCCGTTCGATTGATTGAAGGGGGACTGACTGGACTGACTGAACTTGGCTTATCATGCTAGGACTACTTACTCGAGCCTTCAGGGTCCAGACCAGCGGGGCGATGGGGTCAATAGGTTCAGCTCAATGTCAACACCACTACTTTGGGTCATTATCACGATTCGTAATAGTCCGCCACCATTTGGCTCGGAAGTCTCAATTCCCGGTGTTACTGTTGCCTGCTGTCTAACCTGCATCCTACTGTCTCTCTTTCATGATAGCAACGCTGACAATGATGATAGGCGTTGCAGCCCGTCTGCTCCGTCTCGTGGCGCACGCCTGCGCTGACGACTTAAGCCCCCAGTGTAAGCTAGAATCGGCGACATTTCTGGAAGCTCCAGAAGTGCCCGCCCCCTAATCAAACTCCAGTCTGATGAGACCTAATGCTTTAGCCCTTTTCCCCTTTCGAAGATACATCTAAACACTCTCACATGATCGCCACAGCCACCACATGTCGCCGTATGTGCGTATTTTATTGTACTATCAGTAAGTGTGTCTTGTGTGTGCTGCTCGGTCGACCAACGTAGGAATTCATACCGGTTCTCAAGTCTCGGCTCCAGAATCAATATGGAAGGTCGGTCCCTGTCCTTATTGTTTCTTCAATAACGAACCCATGGTGCATGAAGTCATAAAGCGGAGTTGTTCCCTTAGGAACCCCAGCTCTTTAACCACGTGGGAATCCATCCATCCATCCACCCTCCTATCCACCCATCCCAGCATGCCCATACTCTCTCTCTCTCTCTCTCTCTCTCTGCCTTGCGTTTCAGCGGTACAGCATTAGATAGGTACAATATTGCAGCAACCACGTCAGGGTAGTAGTGGTGGTGCTAACTGTATACAAATGGAGCCTCAACAACCTTCTTTTTGTAGTTTATCGCACACAACCACTCGGCTCCCGAGAAACAAATCAGAGAGATGTCGCGAGGGTTCCCATTGCAACCTCCTCAAGCCAAACCAAGACCACCATGGAGCAAATCTCAGCGCGTTTTCCATGATTAGATGACGAACACCACACTCTCCAAGGCGCACACGTATTATCTCTCCATATGTTCCGCTTGCTGACTTCGCGCCCGCCGGTCAGCGAAAATATGTACCTTCTGCAGTACAAATCGGTGCCTGCTGATAGGGCCTCATGTAGGCCCTTGTCTGATACCGGAAATCCTTTGTCCACTGACCGCCCCTTGAGGCATTCCTTCAGCCTGGATTGTGGAGTCGCTGACTGCCGACCAACACGTTATCGCAAAGAGGAAACGGATTCCACACCGTTGATTGTGGCGCCGGAATCTCGGACTTGCTCATCCCAAGGGAGCAATGATGCATACATGTCCTGAACGTAATCGTCAAGTCAGGACAGAGAGAGAGAGAGAGAGAGAGAGAGAGAGAGAGAGAGAGAGAGAGAGAGAGAGAGAGAGAGAGAGAAAGACAGTAGAGTCTGGCTTGAAGCAAGGCCGATGTAAACCCGCCGCACACTGCAGCGCCTCCGCCTTCCCCGGGGAGTTGACACCCCCCAAGCGGGGTTTGAACTGCTTGTATCGGAAAAGCGTTGTTGGGATCTTCATCTTGTCCTGCGAGTAAAGTGTCACCGCCTTATCTCGCTGTACACACAGTGTTCAACGGGAAAAGACCGTCGAAGAGTATTGGAATTCCGGCTTGCAATGTACTGGCGACGCGTGGCAGATCTACGCAGTAGGGTAGTTGACTGGCGTTGTCATCTTATCTAACTGTGAGCCTTTGGTTGCTTGCAAGCGGACACTGAAAATTCAAAAAACTTGATTTATAGAACAAGGAGCCTTTTGGGTAGGTCATTGTTTATTTTCTAGGTATGCGCGTGCATACATCAATTGGAGCCCTGTGGCAGTACGCAGATTGTATTTCCCTCCGAAAGGATGCAGCATTGGCACTGAAATTCAAAGGTCGTTACCTAAGTAGAACGATGATATTGGATATCGCGGCTGTTTGGGCCTTGGCTGCTTGTCCTTGCTACGAGAGGGTACAATATGCTTTCGCTCTGACAAACATGGAGAGCTTCGATTGGACTTCGTTGTTTGCGAAACGTGTCGGGCATGACCTGTCAAGATGGCAGACCAAGGTTTGCGTAAATTTATACCAAGCCGTCGTTGAGAACATTGCAATTATGTGTACATAGCTGTCTATGTATGCTGAGGATCATCCCACGATTCCAGTGTCCCCCCCCCCCCCTCTCTCACCCTCACTCACTATCAAGGCCACAATTCAACGACCTCCCACTCCCCCTCGACCTTCCCACCAGGCTTCGTCGCCTTAGCGCCAGACCCGACGTATGTATACAACCACCTCCTTTGGTCAGCCGGGTCCTTGAGATTCACGAGATCCACCTCGTCAGGCACAATCACCACCACCCTAAAGTTCCTCCTCGCAAGCTCGTCGTCCAGAAGCTCATCGCCCACCTTCTGGCCCAGCCCTTCGCCGGGACCCGGTTCTTTCGCCCTCGGCGTCCCTGGGCTCGGATTCTTGAAGCTACCCCTCATCCCAGGGCTCAGGTTCCCAAAGTGCCCAACGACCTCTCTCTCCCAGTCCCAATCTGCTTCTTCTCCCTTTCCTCCTGGGCCCCTCATCCGTGCCAGTAGTGCACTCCGCACCGCCCTGGCACCTGCGCCGTCAGACGCGATGTCAGAAGCAGAGAGGACCCACGCCCGGCCCCGGATGCGCCACTGCGTCCCCATCGGGACGGCCCAGAACATGGCCTCGACGGGACCACCGCCGCCCGAGTGGCTGACGTCGTCTTGTTCTCCGCCGCTGCTGGGGCCGGAGGAGTAGATCTCGGGCACCTTGTCCATCCGCGCGTCCGAGGTGAGCACGGGCATGTCGGACTCGTAGAGGTCTGGGTTGCGTGGGGCATTGTTCTTGTCGTTGGGCGGGAGGGAGGCCCATAGGCCCCTGTAGATGCACGTGCGTGCGCGCGGCACGGAGGAGGAGGAGGATGAGTGGAGAGAGGTGAATGTGAAGGAGGGCTGTTCCATCTGCTTGATGTCTGAGAGGAACTGGGCACGCCAGGGGGCGGCAGAAGAGGATCCTGAGTTTGTGGCCATGGTTCTGATGGGGATATGCTGTTTTGCACTGGAGGGGATGATCATGGTCTGTCGGAGGGGTGAGAGGGCCTTAAGTATGGCTTGGAGGCGCTGGCTGGGAAGCAATTTAGCCGGGAGGAGCGCGCCCTGTGACATGACGATGAGTACGGGAGCACATACATGGAATGGAAAGGTGTGGATGTAGAGGTGACGTTGTGAGGCTCTAGGGAGGTCTTAGGCTGGGTCCTTGACGGATGTGGTTGATGATTCATGAAGTGACGTTTGCCCTGTCGAGGATATGGAAAAGACAAACAATTGCAGACTTGGGGAAGTCTTGACTGGAACCAAATAAACTGAGTGTAATCACTCTTTTGTTATCAATCAAGAGGTTCCTCTCTGGAAAAAAGAAAACACCCTTTGATTCTACCCTGTAGAATTGTTCCTCATCCTCCTGAGGAGCTTGCGTAATGATGTGATGCTATGCTGAGCTCAAGGTGTGGGGAATGGAGGCAAGGTGGGGTGAGGGTATTGAGGTGCTGAGGGTACAGAGGTACAACCATACTGCTCTGCCCCTCCCCCACACTATCTTATCGCCAGAAGCCCCACTTAACACCCTTGCTGCATTTTTTTTGGGATTTTCTTCTCTGAAAACATGTCTCCAACTTTCCAAACGTCGCTCCTGCACCACAACAACAAGCTCCTCCTTCTCTTGTGACGTCCAATCACACAAGGAGTCAATTACCCCCAAGATGGGTAAAAACAAGGTATGTTGTTCACTGCACATTTGACGCTTGCTGGTAATTGACTTGTTATGTTTGCTTTTCGCAGCATCGTGGTGGCAAGAGAGGTGGTGGTGGAGGAGGCGGCGGCGGTGGTGGCCGACGTGACAACCGCTACCGATCCGAGATTAAGAAGAACAACGAGAAGCTCGAGAGCTACTACAACCAGCTGTTTGACTTTCCAGAGGATGAGATGAATTCCTTCTGGGAGGCTCTTCGTCGAGAGCTGCCAAACAGCTTCAGATTCTGTGGCTCCAAGGGGTGAGTCCTGCGCGTCGCTGCATCCTCTTCTTCCTTGACTCTCTCCTCTTCCCATCAAACCTGCGCAAGGCTCACATACCACCCGCAGCCATGCCCTCACCGTCAAGCGCCTCCTCGAGCAGCGTTATATCCCTGAGATTACCCAGCTCGAGAACTACGATGGCAACCCTGTCACCCCTCCCATCCCCGTTCCTTGGTACCCCGACAACCTCGCCTGGTGGATGACCACCCCCAAAAATGTCGTCCGCCGGTACCCTCCGTTTGCCAAGTTCCAGAAGTTCCTCGTGTCCGAGACCAGCGTTGGAAACATCAGCCGCCAGGAGGTGGTGAGCATGATCCCGCCCCTGCTCCTCGACGTCAAGCCTGGCCATGTCGTTCTCGACCTCTGCGCCGCGCCCGGCAGTAAGGCTGCACAGCTCCTCGAGATGATCCACTCGGGCGAGGAGGGTCGTATATTCAAGGCGCTAGAGGGGCATGCGGCCGATGATGGACGTGAGGAGCCCGTATTTCCAGGCTCGGACGAGGTCGACATGGAGGTGGACCCTGGCGACGACGGCCGCGCTACCGGCATGCTGATCGCAAACGACATGGACTACAAGCGCAGTCACCTGCTTATCCACCAGCTGAAGCGTCTGTCCTCTCCGAACATGATCGTCACCAACCACGACGCCACCTTGTTCCCCTCGCTTAAACTACCCTCGGGCGACTCCAAGAAGCAAAACTACCTCAAGTTCGACCGTATCTTAGCCGACGTTCCCTGCTCAGGCGATGGAACACTGCGTAAAAACGTCAACGGGTGGAAGGATTGGCTGCCAGGCAACGCTCTGGGTCTTCACCAAACACAGATCAGGATTCTCGTTCGCGCCCTACAGATGCTCAAGCCTGGTGGTCGTGTCGTCTACTCCACCTGCAGCATGAACCCCATCGAGAACGAATCCGTCATCGCCGCGGCCGTTGAGCGCTGTGGCCTTGACAATGTCGAAATCTTGGACTGCAGCAACGAGCTTCCTGGCCTGCAGCGAAAGCCTGGCTTGAAGACATGGAAGGTCATGGACAAGCAAGGCCGCATCTGGAACAACTGGGGCGAGGTCGAGGCGTGGACGGCCGAGAGCAGGGAGAAGGTGATCCCCGGAAAGCTGACACCAACCATGTTCCCTCGTGCACAGGAAGAGGGCAGACCTGAGGTCCCGCTCGAGCGATGCATCCGCATCTATGCACACCAGCAGGACACCGGCGGCTTCTTCATCGTTGCGCTACACAAGAAGAAAGAGTTCAAGGCTAAGCCTGAGAGTGCTGGTGTGGTGCGGCCTGGACAAGTGTCCCAGAAGACCGAGAACTCCCTGGAGAATACACCAAAGGCCGAGGAGGCGGCTGTCGATGCCGAAGAGGTAGTTCTGACTGCTGGAGAGACGGACCAGAAAACTCCTGAAGACCAGGCATCCGGCGAGCAGAACAACCCTCTCAAGCGGACCCACGAGAGCGAGGGTGAGGAGTCTTCGTCGAAGCGACAGCACACAGAGACTGCAACCGAGACCGCAGCAGAGACCACTGCGGAAGTCACTGCGGAAGCCAATGGAGACTCCAAGACAGGCGAGCAAGATCCAGAGAAACCGACCGACGCAACCAGTCAGCCAAACAATCAGAGTACGTCTGATGGCTATGGCGACAAAGCTGCCAAGAAACAGAACAAGCTGCCCTTCGAGGAGCCTTTTAAGTATCTCGCCTCCGACAACGAGGTCATCCAGAACATACAGACATTCTACAAGATCTCGCCACGGTTCCCGTCGGACCGTTTCATGGTCCGCAATGCGGCAGGTGAGCCCTCCAAGGCGATTTACTACACCAGCGCACTGGTCCGAGACGTCTTGTCATCCAATGAGGGACGCTTCGTCAAGTTCGTCCACGGCGGAGTCAAGATGTTCATGAAGCAAGACGCACCCTCTGCAGAGGTCTGTCGCTGGCGCATCCAAAGCGAGGGCCTGCCCATCCTCCAGGGCTACGTTGGCCAAGAGCGCGTCGTTGTCCTCCGCAACAAGGAGACCCTCCACAAACTTCTCGTCGAGATGTTCCCCCGCATCAACAACGATGCATGGAAGAAGCTCGACGAGATCGGCGAGCGCGTGTGCGAGGTCGGTCTCGGCTGTCTGGTGCTGCGAGTCGAACCCGATGGTACGGACCCCGACTTCACGGAGAGGATGGCACTCCCTCTCTGGAAGAGCTTCCACTCCCTGAATCTCATGCTGCCCAAGGAGGACCGCAGCGCAATGTTGCTGCGCGTGTACAACGATACCACGCCTCTCGTAAACACCATGTTGAAAAATCAGAAGCCCAACAACAACAAGACACAGAATGGTGTTGACGAGCGAGATGCTCAGGGCGGCGATGTCGGTGGCGATGCTACAGTAGATGCGAACCCCGATGTGGCGGCCGATGCGGAGACGGGTATCGCAGCCGATGCTGACGCTGAGATGGGTGATGCTGGCGAGGGCGACGGCGATGTCGCACCTGCAGAAGATGTCCAGGAAGAAGAAGCTGGAGCGGCCTAGGTTGCTGCCACTCCTCCTCCCACGCCGCAGTCTCAGTATGCCACGCCCCCAGTACAGAATGGCACGCGACCCCTTCCGAATGGTATCCTGCCCTCTCGAAACAACACACGATCACCTCAGAACGGCACACTGCCCCTTCAAAATGGCATGTCCCGTCAAGACGACATGGCCCCGCTTCCGCAGAACGGCACGCAACCCCTTCCAAATGGCACGATAACCCCTCAGAGCGGCACAACTCCCCTTCAACGCGTGCCCCTTCAGAATGGCACGCTACCCGTCCAGAATGCCACGCAGCCTGTTCAGAATGGCACACAACCATCTCAGAATGGCACACAACCCCTTCAGAACGGCATGCTACCACATCAGAATAGCACAAATCATCCATCTCCAAATGCCACGCTCTTACCGGAGAACGATGTACGTCCAGCGCAGGAAGGCATACCATTACAGAATAACGTGCAGCCTGTTCAGAATACTACGCGTTCAGACCAGAATAGCGTGCAGCCACAGCAGAATAGCACGAATCCACTTCCGAATGGTCAGAACACCAGGAATGAGCGCCTCTCTATAGAAAGGTCCCAAATCAGCCCCGAGGATGCTGGGCTGTATTTTGATGGTCCTTGCGATTGGGCCTGAGGAAGCTAGGAAGTGCGAGTCCTTGAAGTGACAGCCAAGACCAGTGATGTTGACATGGCCTCAACCGTACTCAAACAGGAGGAAGGTTACTAACGCTACCAATCTGATAAAGGTAGGGATGCTGGGCAACGTGGGATTTAAGGGAGTTAAGAACTTTGCACAACAGCTCCTCGGCAATGGAAGAGGGTGATGGAGATTGTTGAATAGCTGCTGTGCAGGCATGCTACAAGCTTTTCCTCGGTTGGGTAAAGGCATATTTGGTGGTGACATTTCAAAATGGGACTGGGCAGGTTACAAATCAAAAGGTTTGGGGTGAATTGTGTCTTTACTGGTCCAGCTTGGTGTCGAAGCAGGAAGACACACATACCGATACTGGAATTGTGCATAAGGAGTTTCAATAAAGGGATTCAATTATTTTTTCTGATAAAGTAAGGCTCCATTGCTATGTTGTGATTTTATTCACAGAGGGGTCTATTGATGCCTTTTGTGTGTAAGTTTCCCATTGTGTTGCTGGTTCTTCCTCCACAAGATCTAGACTGACATATTCCACCAGACCCAATTCACCAACTTCCCCATTCAATCCCCCACCTCATCATGCTAACCAAGGCCTTGTCATATTTCCTGAGAAGCCCTTTACCAAGCAGCGGCTTTATAGAAACCGTAGCAACTTGTTCCACCTCCACAGGAGCGCCCAGCCTCCCATGACGGACGAGACGCCGGTGAAGATGATCAGCGGCCCATACGAGGTCCCATAGCCAAAGCTGCCCAGACTGCTGCTGCTGCTGCTGCTGCTGCTGCTGCTGCCAGCGCCAGCCTTGAGCAGCGGGATGCCGGCCAGCCCGCCGCTGACATAGCCGACGCCCCTGGCGCCGTTGAGCAGGCCGTAGATGACACCCATATCGACGGCCTCGTTGCGGTCGGCGGCCTCGCGCTCCATCTGGTTCAGCACGCCGCCCCAGGTGGAGCTGTAGCCGCCGGCGAAGAAGCCGAAGGTGATGGAGAACAGGACCAGGAGGGCCATGCTGCCCTGGGAGGTGAGGCCCCAGAACAAGAAGGCGGCGAGGGCGGAGCCGAGGGCGGGGATGGAGACGACGGTCGGGGTGGACAGGGCGGCGAGGCGGAGGCGGCGGCGGCGCCTGTTGGTGGTGTTGTGGTCGCTGAGGTAGCCGAAGAAGGAGCTGGCTACGATGCCGGGGATGTTGAAGAGGGTGAGGAGTAGGGTGGCGGAGGTCTGGCTTAGGCGGGCCACGTCGTGGGCGTAGGTGTTGAGGTAGGTCTGCGGGATGCCGTAGCCGGCGCTCTGGAGCGTGATGGCGGCGGCGTAGATGTAGATGGTCCTGTGGCGGAGGAAGTGCCAGGGGATCCTGCGGGACCTCCTCGCTGTTGTTGTTGTTGTTCTTGTTGTTGTTGTCGTCGTCGTCGTCGTCGTCGTCATCTGCGGCGAGGAGGAGGGCGGCGTGCCTTCGCTGTCCTCGCCGTCCTCATCATCAACACCAAGGCTGGAGGGATGGGCAGGGACGAGGGCGATGGCGGGGATGCTGGTGGCGGCGACGATGGCGGTCCAGACGCGCAGGGCGGTGCGGAAGTCGTAGGCGTCGAGCAGGGCGCGCAGGATAAAAGGGCAGGCGGAGCCGACAATGTTCTTGCACGAGAAGACGACGCCGTAGGCAAAGGCACGGCGGCCGGTGCCGAACCACTCGCCCAGGGACAATGTGGTGGGGCTGTAGACGAGGGCGCAGCCGAGGGGGGCGAGGACGGCCTGGGTGGCGATGAGGTGCCAGACGGCGGTGCTGAAGGAGGACAGGACGAAGCTGAGGCACATGAGGACGGCGCCGCAGAGGGCGGCGGCCTGGCGCCACCTGGCCCAGCGCCTGGTGAAGGCGGCGAAGAGGAAGGGCATGGAGAGGTAGATGACGCCGTTGAAGGTGGTGCCGATGATGCCTGTGAGGTCCTGGCTGCCCTCGAGTGTCCAGTTGGAGGAGAAGTATTCCTGGAACACGCCGTAGCTCATGGCGAAGCCTGGGGTTGTGGGAGAAGTGTGTAAGTAAGTATTGTTATGGAATTGAAATGCAAGAATGATTGTGAGAGCAGATGAGAGAGAATAGATAGGATGTTGAATCTTGCATACCCCATATTGGCAGCTGTAATATGCCATTGCCGATGAGGACACAGGTCTTTTTCATCTTGAGACCATTTTGCCTCTGCTGCTGCTGTTGTTGTTGTTGTTGTTGTTGTTGTTGTTGTTGCTGCTGCTGCTGCTGGTCGTCCTGGTCTGGTTCTTCTCTAGGTGAAGATTCTCGTGATAATGATGAAGAAGAAGATGTCTCGGGCTGAAGTTGATGCTCGCCAAGGTCAGCAGCAGCTGGCGGTCGCTCATGTAAAGCGATAGTCTCGACTGACGACATGTTTGAATATAATTCCAGTAAGTATGTTGAATGAACCTGAAGATCCTCAACTCAGAAAAGTAGTTTCAGAATTTTATCTATTAAAGTGAGTGACATTGCTTGCCACACGACAACAAATAGATGATGACCTCAGTGGTGACTGAAAGATCCCCGCATGCCATGCGCCCTTTTGCCCTCGCGCCCGAACTTCGTCGGCACTACGCCTTTTATCGCTGCCGATCTCGGTCCTAGTCGTTGTTATTTCTCTGCATTCGGACTCTCCCATCATCAGGTTCATATCACAAGAGTCACGTCGAAGCTGCCAATCTAGGATGTTTACTCCTCCTTTTTATTTTATTCTCTCAAGAACTGCCGTCGCGATTGTGTTTGTGGGTATTTATTTCATCTTGTACTATATCTCATGAAGATCAACGCAAAATAAATCAAGATCGTCATCAACGCTGTCATCATCATCATCCTCGTCCAGACAAGACTCTCATGTAAAAGTATCGACATATGTGCCTAACCAGTATGTGCGAGGGGGCCAGTAACCTCAGTAGCTCTAGAAGTTGGTCTCGATCAGCCTGGCGACAAGATCACTATCCTCAGGCAACTCTGGATAGTCCAGGTTCACCACGCCCAACCTCTTTTTCCCATTTCCTAGACTGCGCAGATAGTCTCTGGTCCTGACATTCATGCCCTCGACCCATTTGCCAAAGAAGTGCATGTCGCTGTGGGCACCGACGGCGATCCACTTGGCCTCTGCGACCTCGCCGTGCTCGACCGGATCACCAACCGCCGAGCAGAAATTGATATACCACGTCTGGTCTGGGTCGTCAGCGTCTGGGCCAGTGCCGGTGCCGTCGGCCTTGGCCATCATCTTCTGCACAAAGGTCTGCTTGGAGGCCACGAGATCGTCCAGCTCGCAGCGCGTGGCGTATTTCCACTTGTCCTGCAGGTGGACCTTGACGCCGGTGGGGGTCTCGATGGTGAAGTCGGGGTTGTCGTCGAGCCACTCCTCCAGGTCGAGGCCCATCCTCTCGGTGGGCGCAACCTCGGGGTCGCCATAGTACCGGCGCAGGAGCACAGCCTTGCCCCTGGTCTCGCTGAGCCTGGCCGTGACGGGCGCAGAGTACCACTTCTCGGTGCCGTCGTCGTAGGCGGGCGTGCTCTCGATGGCCTCCCTGACGGCGTTGTAAAAGATCTGCGGCCTGGTCTTTTGCTCCTCGGACTTGTCGTCGTTGTTGATGGAGACCAGGACCGTCTCTGTGGCGCGCCTGTCCTTCCTGGGGCCGATAAAGTCAAACACCTGCTCCATGACGTCGTCAAAGGACAGGCCCTTGGGCAGGCCGATGGGCATGCCGCCGTGGTAGCAGTACAGCTTGTTGTCGTCGTCGTGGCGCCGGAGCCGCAGGTCGAAGAAGCGGATGCCCAGGGCGAGCTGCTGCGCGATGCTGAGGTACTGGGTGCGCACAAAGGGCACGTTGCTCCTCGCACAGCTGTCGTGCGTCCCGGGCACCGTCATGCCGCTCAGCCACGTCTCGTCCGGCACCGAGCCCATCCACGTCTTGAGGTCGTAGTCCAGCACCGGCCGGCTGAACCAGTGCAGGTCGCCCTTCCACTTGCCGGCGAACACGCAGTGCACCCGCCCGTTCAGCAGCGCCATCTGCGGCGGGAATCTAGCCTTAACGTCTCTGCCTCCGACGTGCTCGGCCGCATCCCATGCCTTGCCGTCCTTGTGCGCCGCCACATAGACCCAGTCGTCCTCTATGAAGCCCAGGTAGGCGTTCCCGCCGTAGCTGGCCGCGCTGACGCCCTTGGCTGCCTTGCCCTCGGACACATCGTCTGTCGGGCTCCACGTCCACCCGTTCTCGGTGAAGTCGTACCGGTACCCGATGATCTCGCCTTCATTGCCACCACCAGCAGCCGACTGGCAGAGGAGATGCAGCGCTCCGTTCAGCACAAACAGCGCCGGTGCGCCCTGCTGCTTGTTCTTGTTGGCCCCAACAACATCAACCTCTGGAGGCGGGACACCAGCAGGCGAGACGGGCGCAGGTTCGGACCACGTCTGCGAGTGCACGTCAAACACGGCATGCGCCAGCCCGCCCTCCTCGTTGATCCAGGCTAGAAATAGCTTGTTGTGGAACGCCACCAGCGCCGGGTCCCGTGTCTTGGAGCCCGCCACGCAGGTCGCTGGCAGGCCCTCCTGCGCCACCCACGCCAGCTGCTCGTCGGCGTCGTACAAGAAGTGGCTCATGGCGCCTGTCTTGGCGGACACAACGACGGCATGGAGGGTGCCGTTCAGGTTGGCGATGACGGGGATCCCACCACCACCACCACCACCACCACCTCCTCCTCCTCCTTCTTCACTTTGCTCGCCCTCGACGACAGCAGCAGGGTAAGGGAACTTGGCTGCGGTGCCAAACGCATCGCCGTGGCTGTTGGGCGTGGTCGATGCGTAGTAGATGGTATCGTCAAAGTCGGTCCAGACCACCCAGAGGAGACCACGGTGGGTGGCGACCGAGGGAGGGGCTTTGCCGCGGACCGAATCCTTGCCTCGGTCTGCGAGGAGGAGGAAGCCCTGCTCTGTTGGGCCTTGGGGAATCCAGATCGAGGAGGCGCCTGACATGTTGTTGGTGTTGGTGTTGCTGTTGAGAAGGGCCTGACGGTAAGGATCCGGTGGAGGTCGGCAGTCGACGTCAATGGAGATGTGCCAAGATGGGAAGTGGATGAGTTGTTTGTGGTCAGGCGTCAGATTACTTGTTCTGGTCATCGTTCAGAGATGAAGTGGGCGGAGGGGGCACGAAACCAGTATCCGAGTACGGTTAAATATGTCAGCTAACTAAAACACAAACAAAAACAAGCTTGGGATAGCTTTTAGTGAAAAAGAGGTGTGTTGCATTGATTGATTGATTCATTGGCAGAGCCCCATTCCTTGCTTTTTTGCCCATGCTGGCCACCGGCCCCATCTTGGGTGGGTCATGGCCATCCGGTTCATCCAAAACCCTTGCCTGCACTGCCACTCTCCGGGACATGGTTCGTGGCCAGCAGCAGCAGCAGCAGGCAGGTTTGGATGGATATGCAGTCAGTGTCAGCTCAGCCCTACAGTTCATCTCATGTTCTGCTTGGCTGTCATTTATTGCCAGAGATATGTTATAATAATATTCTTGTTTTCCCGAAAATCCAATGCTTGACTTTTGGTTATGATTACCCAGAACACAGGCTGAAAAGAGCCGTTACTGCGGTGGAAAGGAGTAGGTACTGGTTGTTCCTCCATTGGCCCCCAAGAGCAGCAAAGAATAGAAAAGGAAAAGTGGTAAGACATCGTTATTGGAAAAGTCTACAAAGTGCATAATCTTCCTGTCAGGAAGACCAATTGTTGTTGACATGAAGACGCATGCAGCTTTGTCTGTTCTCGTGATGTGAACACTTTGTATATCTATCGACCGAGTTTCTAGGCATTAAAATAATTCTACAATAATTAGAAAACTATTACAAATGCAGACTAACTCGCTTTCTATCCCTCTTAGACTGCCCGAACTGTTCATGTCTCAAAATAGGCTGCAGGTTGCAGGGTTTCAAGGTGAGGTTTTGTCGACAGGTCATTATTTTCTGCCCAAAGAGGACCTAAAAAGTGAAGACAATACTGCCCTGGAAGAAAACACGGGTCTTTATAAGTATGAAGATACTGTCAGTCCTCATCAAGGATCACATAATCAGTGGTACTTCATATGAAGATACTCATACTTAGCCAGTAACCTCAACTACAACAAAGTTCTGAGTAGATTATTTTCGGAAACATCGAATCTCGCCAAGCAATCTTGCTCAACTTCCTTTTTAGACTTATTTACTAAATGGCCCGTGGATGGATCCTTGGCCCCAGTGAGATAAACCTTGGACAGTACGATCAAACACGCTCGGGTATGCGGCACGATTCTGCAGTTGTGGGCACATGGATTCACATGATATTCTGGGAACAAGTGGGGGCGGGGTGTGCGCTCTTTCTCACGAGGTAAGAAAATAAACATAGAAGCGTCTGCTGGTATATACTTTCTCTCAGGCCTTGCGCGTCTCAGGCCCAACATTCTAGCCTGCTTGTAAGAAGTCGGGATGGAGACGAGCCCGGTGGCCTTCTTTGCAGGGTCATTCGGGGGTCGAAAGAGGATTCTGGCTCGAGGCCGAGGACATAGACCAGCCGGATCAAAAGGCCGATGGTGTCAATTTTAGTACTCAAAGGTGAGGAATGAGATACGAACCTAACCTTGAAAGGTAGTTGTGGCTGCTCTTTTTTTAGGGGAGCAACTGTGGCAAGAGGCTTGCAAAGTCGAGATGTATAAGTATGAGATGAAGCGTCGCTCGAGTCACGGCCTGATGCTCAACATTCATTATCAACAGTATCCAGTATCACAGCAATCAGAAGCTCATAAATCATAATCTCCATTGAATCACCTTCTATACATACTGATTCCTTCTCCTTGACACAAACTTCCCCTTCCACGTTTCAACACTACATTCAAAATGGTCTCCATCAAGAATCTCGCCCTCCTCGCCCTCAGCACCCTCGCAGCCGCGTCCCCCATGGAGCCTCGAAGCGAGAAAGAGGGCACGGTCAAGGTGTTCGGGGGAACAACCTGCGGTGACCTGGCGAACACCTACAGCTGGATGGGCAGCGGCACCACCTCGCAGTGCTGGAAGGTCACCGACATTGGCTCCTATCAAGCGGTTGACAAGTATGTCTTTTCCTCCCTCGACCCTGTATACCCGAGGCGGGGCTGCTCTTTTGGATAGAAACGAGCACATTGAGTTGACCTGATCTATAGTGGCTGCAAGACGAGCTTCTGGGGCAACGGTGACTGCACCGGCCAGAAGTGGACGGCCAAGAACAGCGACTGCAACAGCCTGGAGTTTGCCTCCCTTTCTATCAAGTGCTAAGGCGAGCGAGATAATGATTGGCAATGTGGACTTATCAGGTGGATGGGTCAAGGGATCTTTTGGCTTTCCATATTAGCATTTACGTCGGATGGCAGGAGTTCAGATGGAAGATTCAGTACTTGTGCGACCATTCCATGGATTCTGGAGGAGTTTGTCTTTTGAGATGTTTCTGTGTTGTTTAGGGTATCTACTCGTATACATTGTAAAGCTGGACTTTATTGTTATTCATGCATTTCTCATATTGAGAGTCTGGATGCTATGATGCATGATGTTGCAGTCCGAACTACACGGCATGTCACTCTGTATCTATCTTGTATAACACAAGTATGATCTCATGTGGGAGCGTGAACTGGTCATTATCCAACGTGACCAGTCAAATGACTGCCTCATCTCATTTGTAGCAATTCATGATTGCCTCAGAATGTATCTTGACCCTGGGATGATATCCAAACCAAAACCAGCCTTCCTTCAAACCTGACCTTGAATATTCATTCCATTCTCATTTTGTAGGCCTGGCACCAAGATTGTCACTCCACCAGCCATCATTTCTCTTCTTTATCCCAACAACCTCCCAGCAACAACCATATCCTCCCCCATCTGCACCCAAGTAACCTCCTTCAACCTCGGGCCCCCCGAACCATCCACCGCCCTCCCCGGCGCAACCCTCACCCCACCAACACCCAACCACACCGGCGCAATAGTAACAATGACCGAATCGATCCTCACCATACTACTGCTGCCATCGTCATCATCACCACCATTCTTGCCTCCCAGCGCAAGCAAGTCATTCACCACCCTCCCCCCGCCCTCAACCATCAAGCTCCCTACGCCCTGCCGCCCCAGCAACCCCAGCACATCCTCCCACGCGACCCTCCACCTCCTGCCACCCTCCTCCTCCTCCTCCTCCACCCGCCGCGCCGCCACCCGCAGATACCGTCCCCCCACCCCCTCCACGGTCCTCCTCGCCTCCTCCTGCACCACCGCCCCCTCAGCACAAACAACCCACGGCGCCAACCCTGTCCCCTCCCTCGCCAGCCGAACCACTTTACTCTCCGACCCCACCCGCCACCGCGCCCCCGGGTCCAGTATGACAGGGCGAGGCCCCCGGCCATCCTCCCCACTGCTCGAAGCTGTCGCCGTCGTCCCCTTCCCACCACCACCACCAACCAGACGACGCAGCCGACAGTTCAAGCCCGGGTCATCTGCCACAGCGGTGCCGACGCCGACCAGGATGGCGTCGTGGCGGGCGCGCAGGTAGTGGGTCATGGCTTTGGAGGCCGGGCCCGAGAGGGTTGTTCTCAGGCCTGGGGCGGAAGCGAGCTGGGCGTCGAGGGATTGGGCGTACGTGAGGGTTAGGAACGGTTGCCTTGGTGAGGGCGATGGCCGTGGTGGTGGTGGTGATGATGGCGGCAAGTATGGTTCGAGCTGGGCAGCCCATTGGTCAGAGAAGGTGAGAGTTTCTGACTGTGGAGTGCTTGTTTCTTGGGGCCCTGTGGCGGCGGTGGAGGTGTAGGAAGAGGAGAAGGAGGAGGAAGAGGGTATAGATTCTTGTGGTTGTTGTTGGGCCATGATAGCCGGACAAACAGTGCGTTGAAGTTGGGTGAGATGAGCCAATTCGGATGAGGCGAGGCTGAGAGACAGGAAAGAAAAAGAACTTCAAGTTGTAGGTTGAGCCAATGTCGTATTGCACAGCAAGTTGGGAAAAGTATTGTATGAAAAGGTATAACAAGAAGACAGAAGAGAAAGACGACAAGACCTTTTCAGGACGTCAACATCTATTGTCGGAGAGGGTTAGGGTTGTTTTGTATAGTAATCATGGCGACAGTTTAACCAAGAAGAGAAATATAGATTATTCAAATCAACCTTTAACGTGCATAGTTAGTTCTATGCATACTCGAATCATCCAAAACGTCCTCAGGCCCCGGTCTTTGGAATCTCTTGTATACCTAACCCATTGCTATGTATGCTATGCCATCTCATTCAATGTTATGCCATGCCAGTTCCTGAATCTCCCTCCTCTTCCCAGCCCACAACTCCTTTGCATACAATCCATTGCATTCGTGTCCCATGGCAGTAAAAATAACCCGTCCTCCTCGTAAAATATATTCATTCCTTCTCTCAAATACAATCAAATGAAACCATCCGGGTTTCTGGGTATCATGAAAGTCATTTCCAAAACATCTTCCTTCCCTCCCTCTTGTGTTGGTCTCTTGTCCTCTATCGCCTGCCTGCATACTTCCCGAATCCCGTCAAGCTGTCCATCCATGACAATACGTCGCAAAGTGCCATGACATGCACTCGTCACTGCAGAGCATCGACCCCGGCCTCAACCCCCTCCACCCAAGCCCGCACCGCCTCCCGCAACACGCTCTCCTTCTCTCTTCCCTGCCGGCCGACGCCACCACTGGGCCCCCTGGCCCGTTCGTCCTCATCGTCCCGGCGCTGTACCACATCCTTGGCAATGTGCTCCAGCGCAGACAGCACAACGGCTTTGCACTCGCCTCTCGGCACTTCCTGGTGAAGGGGTCCGCGTGACTGTGCCTCTGCCGCGGGCCTCGCGTCCTCGAGGCCGGTGATGGTTGCAGTGACAGCAGTAGCACTACTAGTCATTGCGACCAGGGCGTCGCCGATGCTCTCACGACGCTTGCTCGGCGACCTTGACGAGGACTGCGAGCTCTCCTTGCTCAGGTCACCGCTGCCACTACCGCTACCACCACCGATAGCAGTGGCAGTAGCAGCAGCGACACCTCCCAACGCAGTCACCCTTTCCACGGCCTCGATGAGCGTGTCGTCAAGGGCCACAATAGGGTCCTCGATGAACTCGTCCTGTAGGTGCTGCTCGTACGGCGATACCATGGGCGTCAGCACGGCAGAGCTCATCGTGTTGACAGATGAGGACAGGAGCGGGGTGGCCTTGTCGCCACCAGAAGGGCCCCCCGCCGCCGTCTTGAACTTGACCAGGCGCCGGTAGCGGATGCGCCGGATGGTAAAGTTGGTGCTGTCGGCGATGAGGGCGGAGCTGACGTCAACCCAGCGCTCCCCTCCTCGGGGTGTGTCTGAGAAAGGGGTGGCCGCGCCGCCCGTCATGGTCGATGTCATGGACAGCAGGGGGGTAGGCTCTGCTTTGAGGGATGCCCTGATCTGTTCGAGGAGGTCGTCGGCCTGAGGAGGGATGGCCTGGAGGATGAAATCAGGGTGGTACCGCTGGAGCCAGCCAGCAACATTCTGTGGCACGTCGCCGTCGATGGTCACGCGGCAGGCCTGCTCGAACAGCTCTAGGCCGCTGAGTCCGGGCGTGGACAGGTAGCCGCTGCTGGACGGTGAGCTCACGGCTGTCTCGAAGGATGCGATGAAGTCGGGAAAGGGGACGTCGACGTCAATCACTCCATCTTCCTCGTTGATCGTCGTCTTGACAGGCGAGTCGAATGCGCTATTCGGGTCCACCTTTCTCTCCACAGGGATGGGCGGTACTCTTGACGGTTCCGGATTGTCTTGCTGCTGTTGTTGTTGCTGCCGGTTCTGTCCTCCATCCTGACTCCTCCGCGGTGTCTCGGGCACGCTATCCTGTTGTTTTCTGGGCCCATCTGTCTTGCGGGTTTGTTGAGCTCTGCTGGTATTGTTATTACTGCCGCTGCTGCCAGTACCACCACCTCCTCCTCCTCCTCCTCGAGACTGCTGCTGTTGTACTTCTTCCAGCATCTTACCAAGCGAGCCCCTTCGTGTTGCTGAAGAAGATGGCTTTCTGGGTGACCGCGGCGAGGCGGCAGCAGCAGCAGCAGCAGCAGCAGCAGCAGCCGACTGCTCACGAGGATTCAGAGATTGCGGCGGCGTGGTCATGGCCGAGTCACGCCGTCTCGTCGTGCTGCCCCAGAGACCGCTGATGACGCTGCCCCAGCGCGAGCTCGACTGTGTGTCCGAGCTGCCTATGCTGTCCCCTCGCTGCAGTGACCGCTTTAGGTCGTCGGTCGCGGTGGTGCTACCACCACTACCGCTGCCACCAGCACCCCCTCCATGCCTGCCAGACAGCTGCGAGATGCCTGTCGTTGTCATTGTCGTCTTCTGGACGGCAAAGTGAGCAACGCTGTTCTCCGGGACAATGGTGGCGGCGCTGATCTTCCTGTTGTCCAGGTCGGCAGCCAGGATGGGCAAGTTGGTGGTCCTGATAGACATGGCGTCGGACGCCCTCCGCTCGCGGGGACTGTCTATGCTCAGGTGGGCCAGCTGTGCCGGCACCGAGCTCTTGCTGGAGGTCGTAGTGTATATGCTCGACGCGTTGCGCGAATGTGAGGCATGCCTGGACGTGCCGCTGCCGCCGCCTCCTCTGCGGTTGATCTTGCGCCGCAGCGACTCCTCCTTGGTAAGAGGCACAATAAACGACGGTGGTGACTGGGAGAATGTGCCCCACGAGGCAGATGTGCTGGGTCTCTGCTGGTGCGGGTGCTGGTGGGTCCTGCTGCTGCTGGTGGCGGCGGAGGCGACGGCAGAGGTTGGGAGCTGCAGGTTGGCAGGGAGGAACGCGGAGAGCAGAAAGATCAGCCTCCTCGCAGCGACCCTGTCCTGGCCGACAATGACGGTGCGCGCCGGCAGTGATAGGTCGTCGTCCCCGCCGCGCAGCTTCTGCAGCATGGAGAACTGCCTCCGGTACTTGGACGGGCTCAGGGCCTGCAGCCAGTCGGTATGGACCGACAGGAAGCCCGTGAGCAGGTTGAAGAAGAAAAAGCCCTGGTCACGACCACCAGCCCATCTCTCAACCCAGCGGGCCTCCTCTCGCCAGATTCCCCAGCGATTCTGGCCCGTGACCACCCTGGTAGCCTTCAGGCCCGAGACGATGCGGACCCTGGCGCTGTCGACCTCGATCCTGATCTGGACGTCGTCGGCCAGGCAGTTGGGGAGGAGGGAGACGAACTTGGTGTTGGTCTTGGGGGGTTTCTGGGCCGCGTTGGATGAGGCCCTTGAGGCGCGAACGGCAGCTGTGTGGTTGTTGTTGTTGTTGGCGGTGGTAGTGATGGTGGGACGAGGGTCCGGTGACGACATGTCGGCCTGCCTGAGCAGCGAGAAGATCTGGGTGGCCGCCACAGACTGCAGCGAAGTGAGCGTGCGCATGATGATGTCCCAGTGCCGCGTGATGGTGTCGATACGCTCCTCGGCGTCCAGGCTGAAGCCAGAGTCGAAGGCGTCGAAACCACCAAACATAGGACCGCCGGGAGTAGCAGCAGCAGCACCGCCACCACCTCCCCAGCCTGACCGCCTCGTCGAGCTGTAAGAGGACGGGAATGAGTCCTGCTGGTCGGTGTAGGAGCTCGAGCCCCGGAATGTCGACCTCGAGGCGCTCAAAGGCGGCACCGCGCTGGGCGGCGACCCTGGAGGGAGGCTGACGATGAGGGCCACGGCGTACATGGGCGTCCTCTTCTGCTTGAGCTGGGGCTTCTTCGCCTTGCTCCTGCCACTGCTGATGCCGTCGTCACCACCTGCATGAAGAGGGGGAAACGGAAATTCGGAGCTGTCCTCGCTAAAGTGGCCCCGCGGTGAGCTCATGGGGTTGTCGTCTGTGGGGAGGTTGACGGGGAAAAGTCTCGTAATGAGAACCCTCTTTCTGTCCAAGGGTCGAGAGTGTGCATGAGGGGACGAGACGCCGGCCTGGTCGAAGGAGGGCATCATGGTCTCAGACGAGAAAGACTGCGACAGCTTACTCGCCCTCGCTGCTGATCTACCCAACGAACCCCTCCCACCATCCGCAGCAAAGCTAGATCCTCCGTCACTCAGGCGCAGGTCCGAAGGGACGACGTGAACCTTGGTGGAGGTGCCCTTGTAGGCGAGGAACTCGTTATTCCCAAAGATGCAGCCGGCAAACGTGTCGATCTCCTGCTTGTACTCTCTGGCGGCCCTCTGCGACTCGGTCTCGGCCCTGCTCTGTGTTCTACCATGGATGGAGGACCGCCTGTCGAAGGCGCTCTGCCGCTGCTGGGGGCTCCCAGGAGGGTGTTGTGTGATGGAGAGGGGGCGAGAAGAAGAGGGTTGTCCTCCGGCGCTGGTCCTGCGCTGAGGCGGTAGAGGCGGCTGCTGCTGCTGCTGGTGTTGCCGCCGAGGGAGATGGTGGTAGTCCGGGGCGCCGCCGCCGCTGCCGCCCACTTGAGACAGGCCAGCCACGGTTGTGGGACGGTCACCAGCGGGTGTGGTGGGTGAAGATGTCTGAGACACGGGCAGAGGCTGGCTGTCGTAAAGCAGGGAGGCCGGCGAGGAGCTGGACGTGTCCTGCATGATGACCACGCGCACATCGCGCCCTTCCAGCTCGATATCTCCGTTGAGGTCAAAGGGGTTGTTGGTGGGTGTGGACAGCGCCGACGCGCTCGACATAGGGAACACCTGGTCGTTTCCATGCTGTTGGTAGAGGGCCTGGGCGTCGGGGAAGAGGAGGCAACGGGTGTGGATGTCCTCCTGGACCGACTCAAGAGAGGACACCTGCTTTCCAGGGTAAGAGTAGGACGAGGCCTGTGCCTGAACCTGAGCCGACGTGCCGCCGCCGGCGCTTAGGTTGAAGAGCTTCCCTAGCATTCTCCCTCTCTTGACCTCTCTCAGCGGTGGTGAAGAGAGAGGGGGGGGGGGGGAGAGGGGTGGACGAAAAGAAAGAAGGCGGCCCTATCGCGCACTGCAGCGTGGCGGCATCATCTTCCCAACGGCTGGAGTGAAATTGTGTGTGTGCGTGTGTGTGCGAGAGAGAGAGTTGGTGGTTGACTGTTGAGATATGGGGGCGAGGGCGAAGTCGAGGATGAGATGATTTCGTTGCAGAGAGCCATTGACCCGAGCCCCAAGGTTAGGTCGGATGAGATCAGCGCAGGTCAGGTCGGTTCCAGGTCCAGGTCAAGGTCCAGGCCCAGAAGGTCGAGGTCGATCTCATGTGGACAAAACGGACAGACAGACTTGGACAACAAACGCGAGGCGTTGACTTGCTGCTGCTATCGCTGCTGCTGGTGTCGTGCTTTGACCAGCATGCGCCACATCCGAACCTGGTTCTCGCCTCCACGTTTGCCGCAGATCAACGGAGATTCGGAATCAACAGATCGTGCTATGTATGTAATCTGGTGGCGAGTCTGTTCCTCTTGTTCGTTTTTCTCCCTTTCTTCTTGAGGTCCTGGCCAGGGGTCTGTACTTATGTAGGTCGGGCCGAGGGAAGAGGAGGCGGAGGAGGAGGGGCAAGTGGAGGAGGCGTGGGTATATGGAAAGATGGAGAAGATGTATGTATAATGTAAATGTATGAGAGTAGTAGTGATCGTAGTAGTAGTAGTAGTAGTAGCAGCAGTAGTGTGTCTGACTCTGTCTCTCTCTCTTTGATTGGGTCCAGGGAGATCGCACCAACAAAAGGCTTGCAAATTGCTTTGGCCAGAGAGGACGAAAGGGTAAGTAGGGAGGGGTACAACCAGACGAGGTGTGGATCAAATTATTTTTTTTCTTCTTCCTCCTTCTTCGTTCCCTTCCCTCTGGATGGATGGAATTGGGTCTTTCCCCTCTCGAGGAACGAGCAGGTGATGTTTCGACCACGTAACAAGGTGTTAATGTACCCGCAGCGGCAGGGCGAGCGGCGGAGGAGGTGGGCGGCGCTAATCGGGGCCAAAAATGGGGCCAGGACACCTCACGATGCTTGCGAAGCTTGCCAGCGAACAAAGGAGGGGGGCTAGATGCATGTGAGGAGGGGAAGGGGTGGTGTGTTATTTATTTTGTTGGTAGAAATGGGACTGTGTGGTAAGATAAGTTTTGGGTGAGGCGAGGTAGAGGTGGAGGTGACGAGACGAGGACGATGGCATTGAGGGGGGCGATTGGTCATTTCTCTCCTTCCCTACTCTTCTCTTACACTTCTATTCCTTTCCCTCTGAACCCTTTGGATTCGAAAAGTGTTGAGCTCGGGGAAGAAAAGAAGAGCAAAACAACAAGGTGTATCGGGGAATGAATCGTCCTGGGTGGGTTGTTTTGTTGTGGTGCGTGTGTGTTTTTATTTTTATCGAGTTAGTAGGTCCGGCAAGTCGAGCTTTCCTGCTCTGGACCAGAGGTGTTTGTCATGGCAGTCGCCGTGGGCCACGGCCGGAACCGGCATGGCTGGGCGAGTAATTTAAGTGGGATTTCTGGGGACGCTGGACGCTGGACGCTTTCGTCAACCTGACCCGGCGCTACGGGGAATTTCTGTAACGATTCTTGTGGTTGGCAAGACCTCGGAGGTTTGATTATTATTATTATCATTTATCCTGGTGTTTCTACATCTTTTTTCCTCATTTCCAAGAAGTAGATGCGGAAGTGGGCGGTGGAGGGAAGAGGAGACCAAAAAGGGAGAGAGAGGAAGAGGAAAGGAGAAGGGAAAAAAAGAAGGAAAGAAAAGAGAGAGAGAGGGAAAGAGGTCGTCATAGGGGGAGAAAGTCCAAAAAAGTACTGAACGACTTTTCCTTTCATCTCGTACGGCAACCTTCGTTCTTTCCTTTTCTCTGTGCTTTCCCTGCCACCATAGTACGTATCACATATTTTGGTCCGGTACGTACTGTCGGTAGAACCGCACTGCTTACATAGTACAAGTATACTTATGCTGCCTGCTCATCATGGCCGCCAAGTACCAGGCCCAGGTCCAAAGCCCACCCAACTTGAATGTTCCACGCCCTGTAGTATTCATGTACCATCCTTGCATTTGTAATGTAAGGGTCCAAGAGTTTGGTGACAGTATATTGTGTACGAAGTAGTAATCATGTACTATAGTAACTAGCATCCAGCCCAAACCCAAGTTGCGGTGTGTGCGTCGTTGGTGTTGTAACTTTGGGTTGGAGGGTTGGAAAACGTGGGACAGCAAGGCTATCCCGGCTGTCATGGTTATTCACGCATGGCGTCCAAGCTTCCTTTTTTCCCCTTCTTTTATTTCTTCTTTCGTTTTCTTTTGGCCCGCGAACCCCTCTCCGCTAATCTCACTAACCATACAGAGTACTAACTAGTACGTACAACCACTCCTTCGATTTGTAAAAAAAAAAAAAAAAAAAAGACCTACTAAGGGAAAAGAGATAGTCCTGTTTACTATGGATCTGAGTAATTACAACGAGACGAAAGAAAAAAGACAGGATCCCCTTTCTTCATCTTCGGACTGGCTCCGTCTCGGCTGTTGGGCTCGGCCGCTGAAAGGAGGGCGAAAATAAAAATAAAAATGAATTGTCATCTTGTTCCCGTATGTGTGTGTGTGCGTGTGTGTGTGTCAAAATACGAGCAGCCACAGATGCAGAAAGACGGATAACTACTGCAGATGTGCATTGCTGATGCAGAGAATTGCATATCCTTTTTGGGTCGTTCATTGGGCCGACAACATGGGGCGGCTTGCACCCGCCCATGAACTCATTCCCCCACGATAATAATCAATTTTACCATGGTACTTTCTCACAATTTAAGATCGAGACACGGGACATTCCGTACACATTACAAGGACAGGGGACACCACCACCTGAGACCACCCTCTCGTTCGTCCGCTTGCTGACGTATCGTATTCCTAGTGTATATTGACGCCGCCTGAAGTCCAGGGAAGAGGAACCAGAAGAAGAAAGAAGAGGAGAGGGGGGGGGGGAGATGATAAGAAAAAAAATGAGACGGAGAAAAGGACAGGCTAACATCAAAGCTTCAGCAAATAAGTATATACGTAACGACTGACTGACTGTTCTTGAGGAGGGGAGAGGGGGGCGTGTGTATGTGTGTAAGCCTTCCTTGTTCGAAAGGGTGTATTGGATGTGTGTGTGCCACCCTCGCTCGGCTCGGACTGGTGTTGCCACGGACGGCCACATCACTCTTAGTATTCTCTTGTTCCTTTGGTGCTGCTTCTTCTTCTTCCACCGGTCGCCTCGTTTTAACCTAGTCAAACGGTCGATCCCGTAGCCCCCAAGGGGGGGGGGGCCGACATACCATTCCAACTAGCCCAATCATCCTTACTTTAAAACACACCCTACTTCTTTTTACCGTGCACCTACTACTATGATACTAACTTGCCATCCTCTTTCGTCTTCCTCCTCTTCCTCCCGCCGCCGCCGCACGCCCACAGGCACGGTTATGCCTGCCACGGGGTTGAAGGACACCACCCTTGTATTTTAAAAGAAGAAAATAATGCTGCTACTAATCATGAAAACGGGCGGTGAAGCCCCGCGTACCAGGCCTTTCCCGGCACAATAGATAAGAAACCAGCACCGATCATCGAAACCCAGCTGCTCGAAACAGGGCTCTTTGGCCGGTTCGCCGTCGCCGAACCCTACCACCCCTCTTCCCAAAACGTAAACGACTACTGTTCTTGCTTATAGGCCGCATGGCATATATCGTCGACCTCACCGACCGAGCTGCAGGCATTGAGAATGATAGACTGGATGAAAAGAGGCAGAACCAACCAACCAACCACCCCCGGAAGGCTCTTATCTCCCAGCTAGGCGGTGACAGGAAGCAGGTTTTAGAGTCCAGGACGAGGATCCCCCGTAGTTATTCTTCTTGTTATTGTTGTTGTTGTTGTTATTCTTCTTCTTCTTTTTCCCTTTTCAACGATACAAAATGGGTCTTCCTACCGGGGGTGTGGCACCCATGACGCGCCATCAGCTGCTGCTGCTGCTGCCATCATGCACAAACAGAGGAAAAGAGTGACAAAGATAGACGAGAAAGATGCAGTGACACCATGACCTGACATGAGACGGCAACAGTCGTCAAGTATGGCCAGTCCGCCGAGCCCTTGTAAGCGAATCTAATGCAATGCAGGCGACTGTCACCTATCACCTCGACGCGAGTGGTTGGTTCCATGTCTCCCTCTCGAATTTTTAATTTTTTTTGTGTGCAGAGATGCAGCCATGCAGTCATTCGGGGCTAGTAAGGTCTTTCGGAGGGGGGGGGGGGGGGATTGGGTTACACCACCATCTTGGTTCTCTTTTCTTCTGTTCAACGGCCGAGACCGCTGCTTTTTCTTTTTCTTCTTCATTTCTTTAAGTATCTTTACCGCCCTAGCTAGCATTTAGTGTGTGTTGACACACGGCAGGACGAACACCATCGTCGTCACCACTACTACCACAAAATTATTACGACCTCATCATCCTCCACAACCGACCACCAACTCCTCTCCACACACCCAGACCCCCCAGCCATCTTTACTAGAAAGGATCCCTAGCCTAGACAGGCACATTCCTCTACTATTGTATTGATCATAGTATCTTACTATAGTAGCTAACTTTTCGGCGGCCCCGGCGGGCCATGGACCCCTCCCCTCCCAAAGCTGGGGAGGACCCGGTATCCGAGGCGCCCCAGCAAAGATGTGGCCCCATATCCACTTCCCTTTCTAGAATGCCGGATCACCAAGACCGGTGGAATTTTCCCTCGGTAGAACCACACACGCAGAGAGAGAGAGAGATTCCTGGGGCGGAAAGCCTTCAGTCGCCGGTCCACCGTTTACTGCAGCAAGCCTTACATTCTCTTTCCTTCTCTACATGTCCACCTCCAGCCAGTATCTTCCTTGGTCCTGTACTGCTCGCTTTGGGAGGACCTTCCACCGCTTAGATGCATGAACCCAGGATCAGGGTGAAAGACAGGCGCAGATGCCCAGGACCATGGAACCAGCTTGGGCATCGAGAGTGTTGACATGCATTAGGTTCTGAAATCCTCCCTCCTCCTCTGCATACCACACTGATCGTGGGTATTATGTAGTACCAATGCTGCCAGTGCTAGATGGCCACTGAATTAGCCGACACATATACACCTCTACATTGAGTATACGATGTAGGATAGTAGATATGGTTCACGCTACGCAAGAAAAAGGCGGGAAAGAAGAGAAAGGGACAGGAAAATCGAGCACAAGCCCATGATGACATTGCAGGGGAGCCTTGAAAAGGAAAAGGGAGTCATCCGAATGTCGGCCTATAGATGTCGTCCTATGGCAACTTTAGATGCTGACCTCGTTCTCACTTTTCCCCCCTTGTTACATTACAAGGCCAAGGAAGCCTGTGCGGCTTGGGAGACAAAGACAAGACCATTATTCCCGGTGAAGGATGGGGGGGGCAATCACTCTTACAGCAATTGCAGCACGTTGACTCACCAAAAGAAGAATTGGCCCAGGAACAGACCCTTGATGTTTATTTTGATATGCCTGCCCACCCAGCCTCGCTCCCATAAAAGAGGACGGGCGATCTTCGGAATCCTCGTCTGGTGGTCGTCGATCTTGCGGCCTGACCTGCCGTGAGGGGCAACGCGCATTCCCATTAACCACCCTGTCGAGATCGACCCCCAGGATGGAAGGATGGAACTGAAGGACAGGACAAAAGGGAGAGTGGGAAAGAAGATCTGTTCTTGGGCGGGTTTTGTTTGACTGACTGACTGACTGACTGACCGATTGGGCTTTTCGTTGCAAACAAGACAAACTGGACCGGTCTGGCCGGCTTTCCCGGGGGCGTCGTCAGACCGAGGGTCACGACTGTACATAGACATGGATGAGAGGAAAGGCGACCAAGGCAGGCAAGTAAGTCAGGACGGAACCTGTACTGGATCGTAAAAGTCGAAAAGCAGTCATGCATAGACTCCATGTCCGTACCGATACATCTGCCGCTTCTCCCGTATCAACGTGACCTCACACCGCCCATCCTCGGGTGTGGCGGATGAAAGGACATCTCTTCTGGTCTTTTACGCTTTCTCTCAAACTGGTCATCCTGCGCCCGGGATGCGAAAACGGCTCGGGCCTGTCCGTGGTGTTCTAGGTACTAAGTAGGTGAGGTCAGGCTCCAAGTTTGGTCACGTTGGGGGCTTTGCAGGGCAAGACACAGAGGTCACAGCCCCCCTGGCCCCCTCTTCTCAAGCCGTCCAGTCTGTCCATTGAGAGCACGAGATTCCGGAGCGGTCGATGGGGAGAAAAGGGGAAGGGAGAGGGGGGGGGGGGGGAGGGGCAAGCAAGATCACCAATAGTGCTCTCTTCTCAGCAAAGGACCTATAATCTTACGTCATCTCACATGCTCGTTGAGGGTGTCTGGTCCCAGATGCTCGGTCAACAAAGAGGAAGAAGACGGAGGGAAGAGACGGAGGGAAGCCTCGTCATTCTCATTATCGAGCATACGAGATTGGGTTAGATGTGCTCATTCGGAGGTGCGCGGTTCAGGAGCCAAAAAGACCACGGGGCGGGCCAGTCACTCCCCTTCAATCTTGCCAGCACCACACACACACACACACACACACACACACACACACTATACCACGATGCGCATGTCAAGAAGGCGCGGGATGTTGCTCTTCCGGGTCGTCGCCAACGCCAACAATGTGCGACGACGCCCCATCTCCCCTCCTCTTTCTTCTAGCCGAGGACGTCCCGCACCCGCTCGGTCGGCCTCGCCCGGTCCAGTCGGAGAGCTCGTTTGTGCCTCGACCCGCGTGAATGCTCCCCTGTGTTCCCATCCTGTGTAGCTCTCTTTTCTAGGCAAGGGGTAATGATGCAGGTCGGTGACACTCGCGACGGACGGAATCGTCTCGTTCCGAAGCCGTGCAATGGGAACATGGAACGCATCCTCTCAGAGCTTGCATGCTGCCCTCCACCCCAAACACAGCCTCAGGAGGGCTCAATCTTGGTGCAGCACATCAGGTCCTGACAAAGACTGCCGCAGACGATCTGGCACGACTCTGGGTCCAGCCTCCTCCGCCTAAGAGAAGAGCCAGTGCTCCCGCTGCCGCTGTCGTTTTCTGAGACGTTATCAGACACTGTCACCGTGGTTCTTGTCGTCCTTGTAGTCAAAGTCTCGGGCTGTAACGTCGCCGAGTGGATACCGTAGGCGTGCAGACACTCGTTGACCGTCCGAGCCTTCTCTAGAAAGCTGTCCATGGACGGGTCCGAGACAACAACGTGGGCAGAGGCGATGGCCTTCTGCTGGTCTAGACGCCAGATGTGCAGCTCGTGGACGGATTCTATGCCGGGGATCTAGTGCATGTTAGCAGCCCATCAGTTGCGGAAGAGATGAAAGAAAAGCAAACGAGACCACAGTAGTAGTAAGACGGCACCTGTTCAAGATCGTGCTTCACATCGTCAATCTCCACGCCACGCGGCGCGCTCTGCAGCAAGATATTCCCGCTATTCCTGGTGAGCGGGATGGCCCCGAAGAAGATCATGAAAGCGATGAAGGTACTCGCGGCTGGGTCTGCGTAGAAGCGCCGCGGGTCGCTGGTCTGCCAGATGATGACGGCGGCCACGATCACGCCGATGTTGTTGATGGCGTCGCCAACGACGTGCACCAGGACGCCGAGCATGCCTAGGTCGCGGCCAGGCCTCTTGAGCTGGGCGACGTTGTGGCGATGCTGTGCGTGTGCGTGAAAGGGCTGCTTAACAAAATACGCAAGGAGATGTTAGCTTTTGCAGGGAACTTATCCATCTCTCTTTTCTCTCTCTCTCTCTCTCTCTCTCTCTCTCTCTCTCTCTCTCTCTCTCTCTCTTTTTCTTCTTCCTCTTCTTCTTTCTTCTTTGTTCCCTTCTCTAGAGAGGCACTCACAAGACTGTCATTGCTGGCGCTATCGACTGGAATTGGCCCAGTATCCACAGCTTCCGCTTCTGTGTGATTGTGATCATGATCGTGTGAGTGATCATGGCCATGATGCTCTGGCGGTGGGAGCCTGGTCAGCAAGAGCAACAGCTTCATTTCCCCGGCATGCCATCACCCACAGCGGGGTTGCTCACCGTGTACAAAGGCCGCACTGAGGACATTCAGCCCGAGGCCGACACAGCCAATGATCAAGACCAGCTTGGGATCCTCTATGACTGTGGGAAAGTCATACCAGTCAGTTTTTTGAAACACACACTCGTCACTTTCCATACACGAAAGACTCACCTTCGACCTTGATAAACCTCTGGATGGACTGCAACAGAATGCTGATGCCGAGGGCGAGGAGAAAGACGCCATTGAAGAAGGCACCTAGGAGACGAGCCCTCTGCCAGCCAAAGGAGAGATCTTGGCGGGCTTCTGCCCTCTCTGAGATCTGTGACAAGACGTGTGATCAGCACTGGAGGGTGGTCTGTAACACACCAAGGGCCACCGAGGGAGGTGTGTGCTCACTATCTGAGCTGTCAGAGCAACGACGAAGCTGACGAGGTCGTTGAGCTTTACCAGGTGATCAATTAGCATGGACTGTTGGGAGAGTAAAAGTGGTCGAGAAGATGGCCTCACATAGTGAAAAGCATCAGCAAGCAGAGCAAGCGATGAGGTTTTAAAGGCCACTGTGGAGTAGAGAAAATATTAGTCCTAATGAAAGAGCAGTCCATTTATACAACACCTGACTTATGTCACCATCATACGTACCTGTGATCTCGGCGACGAAGAAGCACAGCGAAATGGTGATGGTGATGGTAAGGCGGGTCTTTCGACCCAGTCCTAATGCCATCGTTTTTCTGCTATTCTTGACAGGTAGGATGTTCTACTCGTTCATGTGTTCGTTCGTGCGTTCGTGCGTAGATTGGTGAGAGGATTCAGCGAAAACAGGGGCAAGTGAGCACCGTCATAGACTGATGGTACTTGGAATACCTGGGTAGGCAAGAGACCGTAGCAAGTCTCCCTTGTCTCAGTTGTATATTCATATATATCAAGGAGGCGTTGAATCAGTACGTAATGTGTATAAGCCAGAAGCACTTGAAGAATCGGGTTCAAGTCAAAAGTAAGCATGTGGATATGAAATTGACTCCGATCCAACCTTGCTGGGGGCGAGTCTCGTCATCAAAACGTGTTACGCAGTGAAAAGAGAGGGTGAGGGTGAGGGAGAGAGGAAAAGAAAAGGCAATCTGTAACAGAAAACGTTGAAACCCCAGGCGAGACATGGCTGTGGACAACGAAATGATGTACTTCTGGATCCAAAGTGACACGAGAAGAGGGGGGGAAGGGAATGATCCACAGGCTTGGTTGGCTCGACAGGGGATGAGATGGCATGAACAAGACAAAAGACATAAAAGAGCGTACAGCCAGCCACTGCTTGACACACACTTGACATGATATGATGTGGACAGGGTCAATGGTTGGTTGACGGCATACCTTCACTCTTTGTTGCCCTGTGCTCAAGTGTTTACAACCACTCCTTAGGCGAGATGTAAGGTGAGGGCCACCAAACAATATACCGATATGATATATCGTGACTGGTGCTGACTGCACCCTTACCTGGCACACCAGGTCTGCAAATATGTCAGAGAAGAATAACCTTGGTGTGGAATGCGAAATAAGCTGGTGGTTGAACAATTTGTCGTAGAGAGAGCAAAGAAAGGACGACAGACTTGCCGAGAGTCACATACAGTACTTACAGCCAGCACAAAACGCCGAGAGTCCAGTATGCGTACTACCAAATAGGCTACCAGGCACCTGGGGTACTACTGTGGTAGCTCAGAGCTATCGTAGAGAGGGTGGGAGGGGCATCGCGCCAGGCCCAATTCGTTAGGCGGTGGGCCAGGGTACTTAGGGAACTAGTATAATTCTGCCCACCTGCATATGCGCATCGTTTACATTTTGGGATAGTTGCTCTCTTCATGTGCCCTTCCCGAGAACATTGCTTTTGAAATCAAACTTCCTCGACAATTTCCACGGCCTGCTTCAGAGAGGCTCTGGTAGGCGGTGGCATAGACAACAGACATGATGCAATCAATCACTTAACAAGCAGCACCTCGCATTGCCATCGCCATCGTCATTGTATCCTATAGCATTCGCAGCCAGGCCACCCTCGTCGTCACTCGTGATCGTCGTCGTCCTCCTCCTCGTCGTCCTTCTCCATGTCCTCACGATGCCCTCCTCGTCAATGCGACGGCCGAATTGGTCGCATCTGCGCCAATTGAGCCGGACCAGCCTGGACAAGCTGGCCTTGGAGCCTCCACGGTCCCCAGACACCGCCTCCAGCAGCTCGACCCTCCGCGTGGACAGCCAGGGCCAAGGTCAGGCTCAGGGCCATGCCGCCTCTGTCACCAGTAGTGCTCGAGAGGAGACAGCGCACGGCAGCAGCGCCCGCCGAAAGTGCACCGTCACCGTCAATGAGTCATTCGCCCGCGACGAGATCCTGCTCAACCTCGATCTGTTCGGCAGCGACTTCAGGCCCGGCATGCTGGTCTCCCTCGACATCCTGAGACCCGACATCTCCTCGTCCTCCTCCTCCAAGCTGCAGTCCACCGCGTCCAGAAGGCTAGCCGCCCTCGACGCCGCTGCCAGGAATGGTGCCGCTGACCCGGGCCAGCCTGCGGGTCGGTACATCTTCGTCGTCAAGGACATGGCCAAGGAGCTCAAGATCAGATACCCCCACGTCGAGCTATACGTCGCCAAGCACATTGCCGATGTCTTTGGCATGAAGAAGGGCTCTCAGGTCATACTGGCACCGGTAGGTTCTGACCAGCTTGATCTCTTTTCTTCTTTGACCTCTCGTCTTGTGTTTTGTGCTGTCTAATCCAGCTGATGGTCTTCTCACTGCCGCTAACGTCGTGTTCTTATGTGCTGCAGGTTGACGAGAATAATCCGGCTGTCGAGGCTTCCCACGTCGAGCTGACCTTCAAGGACCAGTACCTCTCGCGCGCCGACATGTGGAGGATTGCTGTAGGAGAACTGGCCGATCGTACCGTGTACAAAGGGCAGATGATGCTGTTCATGGGTACCGTCAAGGCCCAAATCTCGGCTGTTTTTGTTGATGGTCGCAAGGTCCACTCAGCCTTCTTTGGCAAGAACACCAAGCCCATCTTCCGCAGCGAGTCTGCCCGATACGTACTCTTCATCCAAATGGCCAGGGAGATGTGGGACTTTGACTCGGACGACTCGGGCGATATCATGTTTAACAAGGTCGTCAACGGCTTCCTGCCCGCTCTCTTCAGCAAGTGGGCAGAGCTCAAGGTCAAGCACCTGGTCACCGTGGTGCTGTTTGCAAGGGTCGAGTACGATACGGGCCTCACAGCCGAGCTCGGCAACGCCACGTTCCAGAACGACTACTACACAGGCGTTCAGGACTCTGGTGACAAGCGGCCATACAAGGACTTCTACCGCGTCGTCGTGAGCGAGATGGGGAGCGGCGAGTGGACCACGATACTCTACCAGCTGAAGAAGGAATTCAACTACTTCCGCCGGGACATCAGCATCCACCACCTCAAGGCAATGAACTCCATACCGAGCCTCTCCGAGGAGCCATCTTCCGTCAAGACGGGGCCTACAAATCGCATCAAGGCCGAGTCATCACGAGCTCTGTATGGAAACGTACTGGAGGCCATTAACCTTGCATCTTCCCTGTTCGCCCACGACTATATCGACAGAGACCTCATGCGCACTGGGATCTCCATCGTCGTCATTACACCTGGCTCAGGTGTCTTTGAGGTCGAGTACGAGACTCTGAGGCGGACAACCGAGGCTCTTGTCGGGAACGGCATCGGCATCGACCTGATCTGTGTACCAAAGATTCCCCTTCACTCTGTTCCCTTGTTCCGCTACCGCAATCCTGCCAGGGCAGATGGCCATACCTCCAGGTCCAGGCCGGGCTTCAGCTATGGGAGCACGCCCAAGCTCCCCACACCGCTGGGGAGCAGCTTCCAGAGCCTGTCCGGATCCTTCTCACCCAACCGCAGCAGTGATGTCACGCGCCGGTCCGAGAACTTTGCGATGCGCCCCAACGATGTGTGGTGCTTTGCTCTGCCGCAGTGGCTGCACGTCTCCTACTGGACAGGCAGCTCCGCCAATGCACTGTCGTTCAAGGGCATTGCGCTATCAGTCGCAGATCAGCCCAAAGAATCTCAGGATGATTTCAACGTCAGGTGTCGCATGTACGACCTCCAGATGAGAAGCGTCCTGGAGACCAACGAGATCGAGACCGTGCCGTTGCACAGTGATCCCTTCTTCCCCCACGCCATCTTGCAGAACCTGTCACAAAAAGCTCGCCTTCATGATCTACGCGAGATTGCTTCGGTACCTTCCCAGAAGATACACGACCCGCTGCATGACACTGTCCTTGGGAACCAGAAATCAGCTGCCGACAGGCATGCCAAGGCCGCGGAGAAGTCACTGTGGAAGCAACTGCAAGAGTTTGATGATGCGAGAGCAAAACTGGAAGTGTCGAGGCATCGACACCGGCCACCTCGGATCGTTCGAGATCTAGACGAGGGGGGGACGACGACGCCAAAACACGCTACGGACGACGCAACCGTCTACGGTACCTCTGCGGGCGATCGGAGGACCTCGTTTAGTAGTTCGGCAGTCCCCAACCCCTCTGGTCCGTCCCACCGGAAGATCCAAGAGGGCTCGACTGGGTTCTCCCACTCGAGAAAGAGCTCAGAGAGCACTACTGAAAACCCCAAGGTGTCCATCCTGAAGGTTCCCAAATTCCTCCGCCAGATCAGCCTCGGGCAGAGAGGCTTTGGCATAGCAGCTCCACAGGCAGCTGTCGCCCAGGTCCAAGCCGAGCACGTGAGTGCGGTCAAGGATATGGCGCCTCCTCCTACGCCGACCGTGGCGAGCTCCAAAACGAGCGGCATGAAACTGAACCGTCCGACCACCCCACAGAGCCTATCTAGCAGCGGTTCGACACCGGCCAAGGAGCTCGGGCGCAGTACCCTCTTGGGCCCAGCTAGAGATTCTCGGTCAGAAACGCCCAGTCGGCCCATGTTCATCAAGAGCGCCCAGCCTTCCACAGACACTGTGCCGCAGGCGGTCAATGAATCTCTTGTATCGACCCTGCGGCCTTCGACTTTTTACCGTCCTGAGAACCCGGAGCAGAAACTGTCCAACCTGCTGAGGCGTGCCGACACCACCGAAGACGACGATGCGCAGAGGAACAAATTGCTCGCAGGCGCCATGCCAGAACTGCCTGCTATGCTGTCACCCACCACCGCCTTGTCACCCTGGCTGACAGTGATCAATCCATCGAACCCAGACATCGAGAAGGTGGATATGGCCAGGCTGTACAGCAGGTGGCAACATGTCTTTGTGCGGCCGTCGGCGATGAAGGTCATGAAGTGGAAGTCGTTGTGTTCACCTGCAGCCGTGCCACTCACAACCGAGTACTTCCCTACGAAAGAGCAGTTCGACCGCGAGTACCAGCGACAACCCTACCAGATCGAACAAGACGAGGATGACGACCTGAATGAGGAGCCACGAAGTCGTGAGGAGTTCCTCCGGGAGCTGATCAGCTTGCGGTTCTCGCAAGGCTTCCAGGTGGTCATTGGGCCGGCTGTGGCACGAGCCTTTGGGCAGAAGCATGTCAAAGTCGGCGACATCTTCTCCCGAGATCGTGAGATCGAAGACGGGACGAGCGTCTTCATGGCGGTGGGCAACACCATACACCAGCTGTCATGTGTCAACGAGACTGAGGTCGAGGTGACCATCTACGTGCGCAAGCCTACAGAGCCCACCAAACAACCTGAAAATACCAGTGCGATATACAAGCCAGCAATCCGCACGATCCTCGACCGCGACTATGAGACGGCCGAGATTGATATCGTCACACCCAAGGCGGACAGGAACTGGAACTTTATTGATTCTTACATTGCTGGGCACTATGACGAGATGTCTGATGAGAACATGAGGTTCTGGCGATCGCGATATGTGCTGATCCCGACGACCTCTTCGAAGGACCTCTCGAACCCCAAATTTGCGGACAACGAGGAAGAGGTCCGTCTGGAGGGCATTCGATACCTTGCGCAGCAGTGGCTCAAACACCGATATGTGCCCCCGAGCGAGCGGCGCTTTCAGCCTCAGGGGCAACGCAAGCTTCGAGACCTGAACCTGCTGGACATCGTGTACAAGACAGAAGACCCTTCGGTGGTCATCGCTGCAGAGCTCGAAACACTGCCGCTGCTCGAAGGTCTGGAGCCCGGAAACAGGAAAGGCCAGCTGGTCACGAACCGAGAGCACTTCAAGAAGTCCAACTTCAGGGTGGCCGCACTGGCGGAGGCGATGCAGCAGCCTGTGGAAGAGGGCGGTGTTCGGCTGCAGAACCGGCGGTGGCACTTGCGCCTGCACTACAACTGCTTCATTGGGTCCGACATGACGAACTGGCTGCTGGACAACTTTGAGGACCTGGAGAGCCGAGGGGAGGCGGAGGCGCTGGGCAACAGCCTCATGGTGGACAAGGCTCGCGACGGAGACGAGCCGGGCCTGTTTGTGCACGTTGAGAAACGACACCAGTTCCGTGACGGGCAGTACTTTTACCAAATCAGCAGCGAATATGCGAAACCGCAGCCACCGAGCTGGTTTAACAGTGCAAGACGCAATCTTGTGTCTATCCCGCCGACGCCCCGAACTGAGAGCTCCGCTCGGGACTCGTCGCAGCCGCCGTCCTTCTCCAGGCCCGTCTCGACGCACGAAGAGGACTCTTCAGCGTCCAGTGCCACGACGCCGACGATACCGTTTGTATCGAGCAGCGGGCGGCGTCCAAGAGTGGCCCTAAGCAAAGTCATGAAATATGATGTGGACCCGCGAAAGAGGTCTTATCGACCCGAGAGGATCGATCTACACTACGATCGGCTTCACAACCCAGATAATTGTTATCACATCCGCATCGAGTGGATGAACACGACGCCGAAGCTGGTCGAGGATGCGGTGGAAAGCTGGGCAAGGGACATGACACGATTCGGCCTACGTCTTGTCGAGGTCCCCATCGGGGAGTCGCGCACGATCAAGGACATCAACCCGTTCCGCAGCACATACCCAGTCAACCTGGCCCTGCTGCCGCCAGACCAACAGCCCGTCACCTACTACGACCCCAACTCGTTTGCCGCCACGACACAGCCGCGACGGCATTTCTACCAAAAGGCGCTGCTGCGGAAATTCGACTTCGTTCTCGACACGGAGGCGGCCTCTGACTTTCCCAGCAATGTCGAGGTGACGTACTCCTGGGGCCGGCCTGACTTCAAGTTCCCGCAGTACATACATCGATCTGGCACCATCCTCGCGCAGATTACCGACGAGGGACACTTCATCCTGCTCGGGAACAGGATGCATACCAGCCGGGCGGTGGCTGCGGCACGCGAACGGGAGATGCGGAACGAGCTGGCGCCAGGGCCTCCCGCTGGCCGTGGACCACTGGGGTCCGCGTTTTCTGCGCCTCATGGCCTCGCAGCCACACCCACCTCATCGCCCATGGTGCGGCCGACCATGTTTGCCAGCCCCGTGGCACGAGCTGCCAGCACACCCGCGGCGACAGCACCGGCACCAGCACCAGCGGCCACGGAGGGGCCGACCGTGCCGTCGTCACAGCTGCCGGGCTACATGCCGGCCTCGATCGGCGACGAGCCCTGGCTGATCAAAGACGAGCTGGAGACGTTCTGCAGCAACAAGACCACGCTCGAGGCGTTCTACAGAGAGATGCTCGAGCAGGCACAGGCCCAGGCGCCCGGGTCGGGGAGCAGCCGGCTCAGACCCACGATAGTCACGACGCCCGGTATGGGGCCTGTCGGGTCTGTCGTGGACAGCAGTATCCCCATCATCGGGCTGCCCCCTGGGCTGCTTGCCCAGCAGCAGCAGGCGGAGGATGCTCGGGCAAGTCCAGCCGCCAGGACAGTCAGTCCCGCGCCTGGCCCTGCGCAGCGGACCACGAGCCCTGGACTCGCCATGACGGCTGCGAGGCTGCTGAGGAGGGGTAGTGTGCAGCATGGGTAATGTGTGTTTGGCCGCCACCGCCGCCTTTTCTTGACGACAGGGCGCCGCGCACGACTCCTTTTGATACGCGAGGCCAAAGATCATACGGATGTCATGCCCATTGCTGTTCGATGTATTCAGTCGAAATGTATCTCGATAATGTCATGCATGTCGAGCCAACAAAGAAATAATTCACACTATGCCAGAAAGTTTGCTTTCTCTCACTGCACGTCGTCAGCCTGTGAACTCTGTTCCGGTGGAATCTCCCATTGAGCAACCTTGTGTGAGGTTACTAAACAAAGCCATATCCACACCCTGTAACGCCCAGTAGTCATCCACCACGTCTGCTGCTAGACCAGGCACAAGAAGGCCAGGGTCCTCCTGTGCATGATTGGTGGCGGCGTCCAGAGATACTGGTCCTGGTTCCCAGGCCGAAGCTCCCACCGTCGTCGGGTGAAGCCAGGAGGGCGACGGGACGGGTTGCCAGTCAGGATTGTCGACGTGGTGTATGTCGTTCCTGCTGAACACGCGGTCTCTCGCTAAGGGTGAGGAGGGGCCGGCCTGTTCGCACAGGACGGCGGCACCACCTGCAGGACGGTGCGCAATCCTAACCGTCCCCAAGTGGGGGATCTGGATGCGCAAGGCTCTGTTGAACGGCGCGTCGTCGTCGTCGTCGTTATCATCGTGGGCATCGTCTGCGCCGGCAGGCTGGGCCTCGTGCAACCGGCCGTCCTCTGGAGCCGAGGTGGTCGTCTCGTAGATGCAAAGACCCTTGGCCGCGTTGTACTCGACGTCGAGCAGCGGGCGGAGGATGCGGAGGATTCTCTGGGCGATGGCGTCCTTGGTTTCTCGGGCTGCTGTTTCCATGATCTCGAGGGTGCGCTCGAGGAGGCCGCGGTCGCTTTGGCGCTGGTGCTGGAGGGACTGGAGGGTACTGGGTGCTGTTCCCTGGGGGCGAGGACGGTGCGCCTCTATATGCGCCAGACATAGTGTTGTGCTGGCTATGAAGGCGATGAAGTCGATGCCGCGGCAGTATGCAGGAGGGGCAGATGTGCTGTTGCTGCGAAAGGACACGAACTGGGAGACGAGCTCGCGGCTGGTGGTGGCGGCTGTTATCTTGCTGTAGTCGATGCAGCTCTTCTCGCCCGCGCCGGCGCCCATAGCAGCAGCAGCAGTAGCAGCAGCAGAAGAAGAAGAAGAAGAAGAATGAGACGGCGGCAGCAACAGGTACGGCAGATGCAGCTGGAGCAAGAGGTGCCTGTGCGTGAACTGGTTGACAACGCGGAGCGAGTCTTGAAACGCCACCTCCTCTTCTGTGCGGTCAGATGTTGCTGTCGTGATCGGCCGACTACTCTCTGGAGCCGCCAGCCACCACCTCGGCGACATCAGCGCCGCCGCCTCCCGGAGCATCTCGTCAATCTTGCGCGTCGTGGCCATGTCTGCTCCTCGACGCCGCAGCACGCTGTTGTTGCGTCGCAGGATCAGCCCGCCCGCAACCGCCATCATGCGCTCCATGCGCTCTAGCGGGGCACACCGTACGAGGGCCTCTGGAGAAGCGAAGGAGGAGGAGGCGTTGTTGTCTCTGTCGTTGTCGCCTACCTCCTCCTCCTCCTCCTCGTCGTCGCCGTCGCCGTCGCTGCACCCTGGCGGGAGGCCCAGCATCAGCGAAAGGTACCTGTCCGAGAAGATGAGCCGGCACCACATGTACTCTGGATCAATACGGTCCCACGTGTCCGGCTCGAGAACGACCAAAGAGGAGGGTCTGCCGCCGCCGCCGCCGCCGCCGCCGCCGCCATCGCCACCACGGTCATGACGTGTGCACCGATGCAGCCCCATCGCTTGCGCCAGGGCCATGGCGCGCCGGCCCGCCAGCCAGGCACGACGGAGCTCGCCTGCGTTGTTGAGGAACATGCTCTCGGCCATGACGCACTCGATGCCCTCGAGAGAGCCGCCGGCGAGCTCGTCGCTGGTCGTCACGAGGCGGGATGCTGTGGTCACTGCGTGGGCCATGAGTCGTGTGCGGTAGTTCTGGCTTGTCGGGCCTGTGCTGGAGGAGGAGGAGGAGGAGGAGGAGGAGGTGCTCGGCTGGATGCCCTGCAGGAGGGTGCCGAGCATCAGAAGGCGTCGGGCGATAAGGACCGGGTGGGTGGCTTTTGGAGGGCGCTGCAGCATGCTTCTTGGGGATGATGCTATCTGTCTGGAGAGGAAGTCTGCATAGGGCAGACAGACGACGCCGTGGAATAGGTTGGAGAGAGCGGCTGGGGTGGTGGTGGTGGTGGTGGTGCTTAGGAGGACTTCGAGGTCGCTGTCGCTTGGCCACACTGCAAGAAGGGCGCTGGAGATCTCGTGGAGCTCGCCGCCGGATACCAGCAGGCTCTTAGACAGCACCACATCATCATGCTCCGGGTTAGGCTGTCCAGAAGTGGCTGTCTGCTGTTCTTCCTCCTCCTCCTCCTCCTCCCCCTCGACGGCCGACGACGTCTCTACCACGCGGTGCACCCTGTTGCCGCCCACCTTCCACCGCCTCGATTTCATCAAGGGTCTGCGAGGCGGCTCCTCATCGAACGCCTGGCTGACGCACTTGGTACGACGGCTCCTGCACCCGTCACAGATAGGCTCCGTGGGCGAGGCGAAACTGCACCGGATCTTGCGGCGCTTGCACTCCCAGCAGCTCTGGGTGCCCTTGCGGATCCTGCGCCTTTTGGTCGTGGTCATGGGTGAGTGTGGTGACTCTGGCATCTTGTGTTTTTTATGGGCTGTAGTTGGTGAAGTCGTCTTAACTTGGGTTGGTGGTTTACGTGAGGGGTTGGCGGGAAGGATGCTGAGGTGGGTTGATTCACGCGTGGGCTTAACTCTCTGGGATAATCACACGATTTACCATGACCTTTGAGATACCATGTGCGAAATATTTGAATAATAGGAAAGATTACTTCGATGTCGAGGTTAAGCAGACACATCCGAGAGGATTAGGGAATAATTACTGAAACTTGATCGGGATTCAATATTATTATTAACCCTGAGATAACCCTAAGGATAACCCTTTTCCACTTCTCGCCCTTTATTTCTACGAAGCTCTTAATAGTATCATATTTATAGAGGATTTCTAGCTGATGGACATGCAGAAAGAGGGAACGAATGCCAATCAAAATGACACAACAATAACAATTCACGGTCTTGAGAAATGTGAGTTTGATTTACAAGTCTACGTTAATCACCACTGTAATAATCATGTTGGTCTTTCGAGCCCGCGTTGCAGATGCAAGATGTATAAACTCAACAGTCCAAGCCTCTCTTTTTGGTGGGTTTTTTTTTTTTTTTTTTTTGTCTCAAGTCATCTACTGCTCACTTCTCCTCCTCCTCGCCACCTTGGTCAACTGTTGTATCCCCGTCTTGGTCTCGGTGTGCTCGGTATTCAGCTTCCGGTGCTTGATCATCGTGCTGGCCACCATAGCAAGAGCGGCCAAGCAGGTGTACATGATAAACATATTGCGCATACTCGAGGCAAAAGCCTCCAGGACCGCCGCCCGCTGCGAGGGATCCTGGATCGACTGCGTGATGTCGACGTTGGCGGCCGCCTGGCTCCCGGACAGCGCCTCGAGGACCGACTCGCTGACCCCAGCCGCGGCAAGAGACGCCTGCTGCGCGTCCATGCTGTTCTGGAAGACCACGCCGCCGACCACGACAGACAGCGCCATGGCAAGGCTCCGTATGAACCCCAGCGACGCTGTGGCCGCGGCCGTGTCGCTCTGGCTGACCGTGGTCTGGATCGCGACCATGGGGCCCTGGAACAGCAGCGCAGGGCCCAGGCCGCCCATGATCTCCAGCCCGAGGATCTGGGCCACGGACGTGTCGACGCCGAAGGTGATATACAGCCCTGACCCGATGGTCATGATGGTGACGCCCGTCCAGATGGTCTCCCTGTAGCGGCCTGTGCGGTGGATGATGACGCCGGCGACGATCTCGAACGTGGCCTGCGTGACGACCAGGGGGAGGATGAGAAGGCCGCTGTGCAGAGGCGAGGCCTGCTTCACGCTCTGGAGGTACAGAGGGAGGTAGTACTCGTAGCCGAGGATGACCATGCCGTGCAGGAAGGCGACGAGGAAGATGGCGTTGTTGGACCAGCTCCTGAACACGGCGAGCGGCATGAGCGGGTACCTGGCCAGGCGCTGCTCGCTGAACAGGAAGAAGCCGATCATCAGGGTGCCAAACACCAGCAGGCAGACGACCTTGGGGCTGTTCCAGGGGAAGATGGCGCCGCCAAAGTCCAGCCCGACGAAGAGCAACAGGGTCACGGCCAGGATCGAGAGGGTCCCCAGCCAGTCCACGGCCCGGACGCCGTCGCCCAGCTTGGTGCGCGGGTTGTGCACGTCCAGGAACAGGAGCAGCAGGACCAGCGTGACGCCCGAGATGGGCAGGTTGATCCAGAAACACCACCGCCAGCTCCTGAACTGGGTGAAGGCGCCGCCGATCAGCGGGCCCGAGGAGCCCGCCAGCGCCCACACGAAGCCGATGAAGCCCAGGTACAGCGACCGCTTGCGCACGCTGAAGAGGTCCGAGATGGTGATGGTCACCAGCTGCATCAAACCCCCGCTGGCCACCCCCTGCAGGGCACGGGCGACAATCAGCATGGCCATGGTGGTGCTCAGGGCCGCGATCATGCTGGCGGCGGCGAAGAGGAGCACCGCCAGGAGGAGCACGGGCTTGCGGCCCCAGATGTCGCTGCATTTGGCCCAGATGGGTCCTGTGGCGGCATTGGCCAGGAGGTAGGCGCCGCCTATCCAGACATAGCCTGAGGCCGAGTGCAGGTCGGCGCAGATGGTGGGGATGGAGATGGCTACGATGGTCTGGTCGAGGGCGGCTATGAAGAGGGCGAGCTGGAATGTACAGGACTGGTTAGAGAAAGGGTAGATCAAGGACGTGCGTGCAGATTGTGGTCAGCTTGTTTATAAGTAAATGAGGGAAAACTCACATAGAGAGCTGATAAGATGGCATAAAGACGCAGCCTTGTGCGGACCTTGGGATGTTCTTCTTCTACTATGAGATCGAGAGGCTCGATGGGCATGTTTTCACAAGGGGGATCCTCCGCGGCGGGAACTTTCGCCGGTGGTGGTCCAGCTTGCACGAGGGGAGGAGATTCGGAGGCTGTGATGATATCCATGATTATTGTCTTGTGGTGGTGTGTTTCTTGTTGTTTGGTAAGTGAACGACGACGGAATTGACAATGGTGAATGGACAACTGGCAGAATCGTCAAGCATCTCTAATCCTCAACATGCAAAGACCAGGGACGGTGACTCAGGCCGAAAAGGAGCACGCAATACTTTCATGAGAACTAGGAGGATGGTGATGACTAAGTAAGTGGATGAGGAGTCAGCCAGGGGTTGGCACAACCAGCAATAAATTACAGCCATTTAGAAGGATAATAAAGACTAGATGGTAAATTATGAGAAGAGAGATTCCAGTCTCTTCGCACTTTACATAATATATTTACTGAATGGCCTTGGACGTTGTGAAAAACGCAGAAACACGACCAGCAGCAAGGTATGTAGGAGCTTCTGAGGTTCAAGGTTGTTGTACCCAGCTCGACGGTCTACGGTTGATTTGACCATTGCATCACCCAGTAAAATCATCAATCAATCATCTATTCGATCTCATATATATATATACATCTAACATATCTCATCTATCAACAACTGTTATTGAATATGTTCTCTGCTCTGTCTTTGAGGAACTATAAAATACACGGTTATGCATTCATGATGTCGGCTCTGAGTGCTTCCGTCTTACTCTTCCACCGCAAATTCGCCCGCGGCCCAAACTTGATGCATTTATAACCAATCATTCTTCCGCCGCGGTAGAACGTGACGACTCCTGAACCATTGTAAGAGCATCGGGGCTTTTCGCCGCGGACAACTCTTCACAAGGTCGGTCGTATGAAGTAGCAGATTTACTGGGTAATACACAATGAATATAAGATACCTGAATGTCCACCCAACAAAGATGAATGCAATTATGAGTGCACTGAGTTCTTAAGCGGGTCCTGTAACGATAAATTCTTTGGTGAACCATCAACTCCACAATCCCAGCTTTCTTTCAACATTTTCGTGCTTTCAATCTCTTCACAATGGTCAAGGTCGCCGTGGCTGGTGGTTCTGGACGTGTGTAAAATTTCCATTATTAGAGTGTTATTATTATAGCTGACTCGATTACAGAGGTGTCTCGAGAGATCATTGACGCTCTCGCAGCGTCCAATAAGCATGAGATTGTCATCTTAAGCCGAAGGGTAAGGAAAAGGCTCTGGAGGAATTACAATATCTGCATGGCTACGTGAATGCTGACATCTTGTTTAGGAAGCCCCAGATGCAGACCTTGACCCAGCAGTCAAGTGGAAGTGTGTTGACTACAACGATAAATCGAGCTTGATAAAGAGTCTGAGAGGAGTCCACACCCTGTTGTCTTTCGTCCAGCTTCTCTCCGATCCCAACCAAGAATCACAAAAGAATCTCATCGACGCCGCCATCAGTGCGGGAGTCAAGCGCTTTGCACCAAGCGAGTACGGAAGGTACTTGATTACGTTCATTAGCAACGCGAAGCTGGATGATAATCTTGAGAAACCTTAGACTAACCAGATCCAAAGCAAGGACACAAATCACATGGCCTGGTGGCAGGGCAAGCAGAATATCAGGGACTACCTGAGACAGGTGAACGCGGCCGAAACCGTGAGTACATTCAATTTTCTTTCTCCTTCCTATTAATCCGGCATGAAATGGGCGCCCAGTCTGATAACTCTTCCCTCCCTCCTGTCACTAGGTTCTCGAATACACCTTGTTTCAACCCGGCCTGTTTCTAGACTACCTAGCTTTCCCATACAAGACAGCCAAGCATGTAGACCCCCTACAATCCGTCTTCGACTACCAGAACTGCCGCGCCATGGTCGTTGAGGGCCACGAGGACGCCGTCATGACCTTGACGACCGTCTCCGACCTCGCTGCGGTGGTGGCTCGGGCAGTTGACTACGAAGACAGGTGGCCTACTGTAGGCGGGATCCGAGGCAACAGGCTTACCTTTGCAGAGATTCTCGATATCGGTGAAAGAGTGCGAGGTACGACAGTCTCTCTTCCTCATCCATGTTGTGCGGCGTTGAGCTGAAAAGGGGGGGGGGGGGGGGAGACCTTTAGCGGCAGACAGAGCCTTGTACTGACCGATATATTTTCCCGTAGGACGACCTTTTACGGTCGACAAGGTCAAGATCGAAGACCTCGCAGCCGGAAAGCTGGAGACATCGTGGGGCTTGTCTGCGGTGCATCAGGCGGTCGCAGCCGATGAAGCATCCGCTATGCTCAAGGCAGTGTCCATCGGCGTCCTCCTGAGCAGCACCAAGGGTGCATGGGACTCTTCGGACGAGATGAATCGAATCTTTCCGGATTACAAGTTCACGTCTGCTGAGGACTTCCTGACGAAGGTGTGGCAGGACAAGCCGTGAGGAGGGACGGAGACTTGGGCAGAATGCTGAGCTGAGAAGCCTGAATAATATCCATAGATGGTCCATCAGCATTAGCAACACCGCACAATAATGAGCTGGGCATCTGATAGCATGAGAAAATACCCTACACGTCTTATTTAGTGTCTTGATATGTTGCCGAGGCCGTTGACCTCTTCGTTCGTTTCTTCACTTGCTTGACCTTGCCGAAGGGCCTTCGAGACTATTGATTGTATTCAAAAATGCGGCGTCCAAAAAAGGCACTTTGAACTATGAACTAAGAGCCTTCTCGGCAACCGGTCAGCCATGCAGAAAAGTGACAATGTAGCAATATGTAGAAAAGTGTAACTGTAATTAGCTAGCATGTCTGCAGCGAACCATCCATCACAGGCCTGGGGCTTACGCCTGGCAGCCACTCAGATTGGTAAACCTTTACACTTACCATGTCGCATTAGATTCACTCGCTCGCCCGGCTTCTGAGGACGTCTTTGCCTGAGGAGCCCTGAAATCTGCAGGACAAGCACACTTGGCGCAGTTAGTCACTGCCGAGCCTGACGTGTAACCATGCCAAGTTCCATGGCAGAACACCAAGCTTTGTAGCCGATACCAAGCTTCATAGCCCACACTTGGAGGCTGAACTATGTTCCACGTCGTTTGTATACTATCATTGACACTTTGTGCTGAAGACGTCCGTCCTCAAAGTTTCTCGCATACGCTCATTCCACGTAATTGCTGCCCCCCCCCCCCCTCAAACCCTATTCAGCCCGTCGCTGCCTGGAATCAACTTCGCCTGCGTACTTTTGGGGGAGATACCTTCCCATCAGGCCATTTCTCTCCACCCCCCGATAAACCCGAGCCGAAACCCGCCGAGTCATGACTATTATGATATGGAGGAAGCCATCGTAAATTATCGTATATAAACATCACGGTGGCGCAATGTCTAGCACAGCCCCTTGTGGGCACGGGCAGACTGACTCCTCCTCCTCCTCAAGCTTCTCTTCTAACTGACAAAGAACAAGGCCAGGCCACTCAGCCCAAAAGGTCACCGCCCGAACAGAAAGGAGAGCGAGGAAAGAAGAACCTTCTTCGCGCGTATACTCTCATACCGACGCTGCCGAGCGGGAACACCGGGCGTTGCTGACTGACTGACTGACTGACTGACTGACTGACTGACTGACTGACTGACTGACAGATAGACTGACAGATAGACTGACAGATAGACTGACAGATAGACTGACAGATAGACTGACAGATAGACTGACAGATAGACTGACAGATAGACTGACAGGGGCTCGTTTAAGGTACGAAGGAGATAAAGTATGGTCGCGTCAGCCAGACGAACTCGCGCGTGAGAAGCAAAATGAAAGAAAGAACAATCCCCGGCCCGAGAAATTGATGATGTGATCTACAAGAGGGTCTTTTGTTGCGGGCCCTGATAGAACAAGAGAACAAGCTTCTGACTACTACTACTACTACTACTACTACTACTACTACCACCATTGTATTACAGGCCAGAGCACTTGTGCGTGCAGCAAGTAATACAAAGTGTCATCGCTGCTGCTGCAGCACCACCACCAATATTTGTGTTGCATGCGCTTTTGCCCGCTGAAAAAGGTTGTGCTCAGCCACACGAGCGTCGACGCAACACTGACTGTAACACGCTCCGACAGATCCGGGAATGATGATTGATGATTGAAACGAGTTTCGAGTAATCCCTTCAAGTTTCTTTTTGTCCACACGGCACTTGTATATGTGGCGATGCCTGTGGTGATGCGTGTGGCAGGGCTTGATACTTTTTGGCTGGTGCTTCACAGCCCCTCTTTTGCGTGTGTGGTTGGTGGTGATAGTCGCTTGTATCAGTCAGTGTAATGAGAATCCATGTACCAGCAGACGATCAAGTCTAGTGCGCGTGGATCGTTTACGCAAACGCTGTACTGAGCCACTCTGAGTTCTTTACGCTAGTGCGGCCAGTATCTGGCGCAGTGCCGAATACTGGGGAAAACAAAACGTGGGATTGGCCGTTTGGAAATATTTCGGCCCAATCGTTTGAGGCCTCCAGGGCTCTGGTCGCATCGATCTGCCGTTGGGGGGTGGGGTCACCCTATTTTATCAGCATTAAGCGCGTTGTCGACGGAGAGTAGATGCAGATCTGTTCGATTGGACTGATGAAGAAAAGGATCGCACGTTGTGGGGATGTGTGGTGATGTGATATTGCGATGGATGTGGATTGCTGACAACTGCGCCAAAGTATACAAAAAGGATGGGAATTTGGTGAGGTGTGGAGGTTGAACCCCTGGCAACTTTTTTTTTCTCTTTTTTTTCTGCAACATCGGCGTGTCACCCAACCACAGACAGGCCTGGTCGGCAATGTCCAGTCGGAACAGATCTGTGGATCAGTGGCACGGCTCGCTGCTGGGTGGCTTGTGACGAATTAGATGCGGTGAACCGCTCTGTGCCCGTCTGTCCGTCGCTAGAGGACCGGCCACCCATGAAATCTCTCCATGACCCGTGACACTGACACCCTTTAATTGATGGACGATATTGGTACCGCAGGTTGTTGTCTCTTCCCCTACGTCTCACAGCGCAACGGGAACTGACAGACCCGGACGGGGAAGATAGCAAAGATGTCCAGCCACACGTGCCAGAGTATCTGTATCAGCATCCAGATAGACGTCCGTTCCAAGCCAAGGGATACGCAGTTTGCCAAGACGAACCGTGATGCAGGGGGGGGGGGGGTCATAACAAGAGACTCTTCCAAGTTTTGTTCTTTTCTTTTTATGTCTTTCCCAAAATCGTCTGCGAACGGTGGCATGACATGGGCTGGTATGGTAGTATGGGTAGTATGCAGATGATATGGTGACCTGATCATGCCGGCTGGCGTCATGATTCAGCTGTCAGTGTGTGTGTTGTCCAGTGGCCCAGTTGTGTGTGGTGTGTTTTCCTGTCTTCCATTTTCCCTTTCTGGTTGCTTTTTTTGTTTGGACGGTGAAAGAAATCTGGATTTGGACGGTGCCACGGTGCAGCAGTAGCGCCCAGAGGGAAAGACAAGTGGCAGCGGTAAAGCCCACGTCATGGAGCCATGACGTTAGCGTAAGACCTTGCCCGTCGAAGCTCTAGGCCCATCGCTAATCTTGCTGTATGATCAGTGTGTTTCTCTCTTCCTCCCGCTTTCCTGTCCCCCCCCCCCTTTTTCTCCCTCGCCCTTTTCTTGTCGGCCGCCCTGCGACACTATACCCTGCCAACATCCGTTCTTGGTTTCGATGATGATGATGATGATGGATGCCGCCTTGTTGTGGGTGCAGCTGAGTTTTTATGGTCACCAGGGCGGCGGTCACAAACAACAGCTGCTGCAAAAGAAGGGCTAGGTTCTCGCCAAGCTGCAAGCGCACGCGTCCGTCCCCTGCACAGGATAGCATTTAATATACCGTTACAATACGGTAGTATTATTCATTGTAGTAGTATTATTATTATTATTATTATTATTATTATTATTACCATGTGCAGAGTTTTGAGTGCTTGGTATGTTGCAAACGAGCTAGTATCCGTGCTGTGGGGGCAAGGGAGATTGCAGCGCCATGGAGCATTGCGTATGTCAGAATGCCATCTGCAGTCTGGGCTTACGGTGCTATTTCAGTGTCTTGTATCGTTTGTCTGGGACATAGTAGGGGGTCGGGGGACAATGTGCACTTACGTACGTACTGAGAAAATGTACCCCTGGTCCAAGTGGCAGGAGTTGTGGGGAAGCATCGTGTTCTGGAAAAAGAAAAGAGTAAAAAAAAAAGTACTGTAGGCATAGTAAGCGTCCCAAATGCAGCGTATAGATCTCACCTCTAAATATACCTAGTAGTAGATTCTCACGCCCTCCTCCTTCTCAGCTACACATGAAAAGAAAGGAAAAAAGGGCGAAGTGTTGGGTCAGGATTGCGGTCGCTGGCAGCTCGCTTCCTCTGGCCTGCTCCTGACCGCATTATGTCTATCTATTTGCCTTTACGCCCCCCCTTCCGTCCCCCACCTCTTCCCCCTTTCGAATGTCGCTCTGCTCATTCGCACTTTATGTCCTGTAGTTGGAAGTTAATCCACTACTACATCCCAAAGATGCAAGAGACGTTGGACGGCATTGCCATTGTCATCAACAACACAACCATGTTGAACAAAAGCAAAGCCAGACTTGATAGAGGGGCCAGGAGGGGAGCGCGGCGGCTACTGCTATGTGGGTAGCAATCGACAATGCAAGGGGCGACGACGTGTGAAGTGGCTTTGGCGTCAATGTTGAAAAAGTCGGGAGGCTTGAGCATGCAATGCAACTCTAACCTGGCACATTCAACGGTGACGGGGCAGCCAGTGAACTTGGCGCTTTGGACAATAAACGAATGATCAGAGAGTTTCTCATGCAAGTTGCGAGGGTATAGAATCGGTAGGTACTGGTTGTGGCGAACCACGTCTCTGATTGTAAGGGGGAAATGGGCACAATGGAGTACCTCTCGATCGCTGTCAACTCCCCACTGAGAGCCACTTGTGCAACTATGATCCCCTGTGGGTTGGGGGGGGGGGGGCAAGGGACCAGGGGCGGGAGGGAGGTCTTGGCAGTCAGTCAGTAAGTCAGTGGCATTGGCAGGAGGCCTTCCCAGGCAGTCAGTCCTGCCCTTGCTCAGTTCACTGCGATGGGATGGACAAGAGATCGCGTCTTGGCATTCTATTCATTTCAGGAGCATGTAAAATCCAGTAAAAGACCACTTGGTCCTTGACTTTTGTTTTCTGGGGGTTCCCCTTCCCGTTCTCTCTTCTTACCCTTCATTGCACGCAGAACTTCTGTCACCGTCTGCCCTTTCTGTCTCGCCACCAAAAGATTCGCATCATATCGCTGGTATCATCACCGCCGGCTGTGAGCGAAGTGAGTAGAGGGCCGTTTGACAACTCACCACCAACAACGACCGGACACGAACGCAAACGCACCCACAACACACAGGGGGGGGGTCAATCTTCCTGGTTTTATTTGCCTTCTTTTCTTCCATTTAAATCTCATTGTTCCTCCTTCTCTCAGTCAAAAGCAAGGCGCAAGAAGCAACCCTTCCCGAATCACGACTACCATTGGACCAGACGCAAAGCTCATCGCATCGGCTTCGGCTTCGGCTTCGCATGACCCAACGGAACCCGACCTGAGCTTTGGTGAACCGACACGTATCCCATCAACGCATTGGGAGTCAGTTGGGCGTCGAGATCAATTAACCACTCCTGACCGCTCACTGCAGTTCAGACCAGTCACAGCCTCATCGACCTGGTCAAGGATAGCCAACCAAACATCCAACCCGCCTATCTTGTCAGCTTTCTTTAAGCAGCCAGCGACAAGCAACAGCAGCAATATCACGGCAAGCCTGCATTATCCCTTCCAAAAGGACGATCCGATAACCCACAGCACCAACGACAGCCCTGCCACGGCAACAGCGTCAAAGAAAACGCCTTGGTCCCTTTGGAATTCCCACCCAGGCCCAACCTAAACCCAATCGAACGACTCCAAGCGAAAGGGGCCAGCACCAGCCAGACGAAATTCGGGTTTCGACGAGACACTCCAGGGGGCGCTTGTTCAAATTTACGGACCCTCAAAGCGAGATCGTGTGGATCGACATAGAAACGGGGACCAAAAGACTTGCAATCGACCAGTCAGCAACGTCAAGAAACTCACCTCTCTTTCATCTCCATCCACTCATTCCATCCGCTTTCTCTCTCTCCCTTGCCAGGACGGCAGTGAGAAGAAAAGGAGAACAAACCGAGGTTTCGAAAAGACGAGAATAGACATCACAAACAGAACCTGACCATGGAGGGCAGATCACCACCACAGCAATGTAAGCCACAGACTAATGAGCCCGTTTCCCCCTTCTTACCTGATGAGTACACCTTATCACATCCACATTTTATCTACACCACACACACACACACAGAGAGAGAGAGAGAGAGACAGCACTTGAACACGGCCCCATTTTCTCACGGGAGTTGCTCCCGAAGAGTCAGTCCATCAGCGCCATGTGCAGGGGATTTTGCGTCTGACCACAAAACCGGGCACTGCTCAACCCCTGTCCCCTTCTGTTATTTTCCCTCTTGTTTTCTATTGACGGTTATTCCTACCACCTACGCACTACCGTTTCCGTTTCCGGCATGGGTGCTTGCTGCTCCAATTTTATAGGCCGGTCCCTCCCTCTTAACCCAACCCAACGCTGTTTGTTCTCCTTCCTGCCTTCCTTCTCATCCTAGCCCCAAGGCTCTCGAAACCCCCCTGTATCCCTGAGCCGCCGTACACACGCATCTTGTTACCCATCATTAGCTCTGCCTGCTTTTTCTGCTTTGACACACTCTACAAACAGCACCCTCTCTTCCTTTTAATCCTAGTGGCCGCTCTGCCCAACGCTGCCTGTGGCCAGCGTCGCCATCATCAGTTTCTTGTCTCTCCTTCTCAAAAAAAAAAAGAAAAAAAGACCCCTTTCTATCACCTTGCCTGTCTATCCATCGAGCAAGCATTCTATTCATCATCTCTTCCCCCTCTCAGGAGTGACAATGTGTTGTTGTTCTTGAGCTCTTTTCTTGTCACATCCCTCTTCCCTTGTTCGTGGAGGACAGCGTCGGACTTGGCGTCACGCACGCGTGTCACCACCCCTCTTCTCTCCCTCCTCTCTCTCTTTTTCTTCCATGCTCTAGTCACACTGTACCACCTGCCGAACCCCCCCCCCCGGACACGCTTGCTAAGCGGCCTGTTTTTTCGACCACCGACCCGTCACGTCTCCTGCCACACATGCTAATATGGAGCGCGTCAACTCAGTCAATGCTTTCCAGATCAAGCGAAAGGCACATGCTGTCAGCCGGAGGGAAACGACTCTGGCCAGCGACCGATGGAACCCCTTTCGCCATGTCTGGGCGAAGGGCCACGAGCGCAGCCAAACCTGGGATGCTGAGGCGCAGAAGTCGAGGAATCCAGATGCAGAAGGCAACGGCTCGCCCATAGACCATGTCCAGACCGCACCCGCCCGCTCCACAAACGGGGATGTGGATCCCGAGGCCTACGGCAGGTCGAGCAAGGAGCAGGAGAATGTATCGTCACAGGACGCAGGCGGCTCGTCGGCAGTGGATGGCGGCCAGCTGCGCAAGAGAGGCACAGCCGATAGGGAGGCGTCCCTGACAAAGAGCAGCGAACAGGAGATGGACGACAAGCCTCCCACGCAGGAGGAGACCGACGACAAGCCTCCCAAGAAGTCACACCGCCTGTTCAAGAACGTCCAGCCTAAGGAGCCCTTCACTGTCGCCAATCAGCTGCAGCGCACTCTGCTGAACTCGTGGATCAACGTCCTGCTGGTGGCCGCTCCTGTTGGCATCGCCCTGGGCGTCATACCCAACATGAACCAGTACGCCATCTTCGTGGTCAACTTCGTTGCTATCATCCCCCTGGCGGCCATGTTGAGCTTTGCGACCGAGGAGATTGCGCTGCGGACCGGCGAGACCCTGGGAGGGCTCCTCAACGCCTCGTTTGGAAACGCCGTCGAGCTGATCGTAGCTATCATCGCCCTGATCAAGAAGGAGATTGTCATCGTGCAGACGTCCCTGATTGGCAGCATCCTGTCCAACCTGCTGCTCGTCATGGGCATGTGCTTCTTCTTCGGCGGCCTGCGGAGGCAGGAGCAGTTCTTTAACACCACCGTCGCACAGACTGCAGCATCGCTGCTGGCCCTCGCCATCGCGGGAATAATCATTCCGACGGTCTTCGACCAGCAGACGACCCTGAATGACTCCTACATCGCCCAGCTCTCTCGCGGGACCGCCATCATCCTGCTTGTCGTCTACGCCGCCTACCTGTACTTCCAACTCAAGACCCACCACGAGGTTTTCTCCCAGGAGAGCCAGAAGGTGCCTATGCGGCCCAGGAAAAACTCCCTCGGTGCTCACGCCGTCAAGCACGGCATGGTCGGCCCCGTCGCCATGATGAGCCTCCCCGGCCGCAACGATGAGGGCGGCAGCAACAGCGAGAAGCTGCGCAAGGTGGTGAACGAGGACCCATCCGAGGACGAGGAGGAGGGCGACGATCCGCAGCTCTCCTTCCCGGTTGCTATGGGCACCCTGGCTGGCTCCACGGTTCTGATCGCTTTTTGTGCCGAGTTCCTCGTCGACAGCATCAACTACGTGACTACTTCTGGCGGCATCAGCCAGGAGTTCCTTGGCCTGATCTTGCTGCCCATCGTTGGCAACGCCGCCGAGCACGCTACCGCTGTCACCGTCGCCATCAAGGACAAGATGGACCTCGCCATCGGAGTGGCCGTCGGCTCCAGCATGCAGGTCGCCCTGTTTATCATTCCGCTTCTCGTCGTCATTGGCTGGGGCATGGGCATGGACGACATGAACCTCAGCTTCGATATCTTCCAAGTAGCCATCCTCTTCGTCTCCGTGCTGCTGGTGAACTATCTCATCGGGGATGGCAAGAGCCACTGGCTCGAGGGGATGTTGCTGATGTGCCTTTACCTGATAATAGCGACATGTTCATGGTGTAAGTTCTTCAAACAAGCGGACAGAGAGAGAAGTTCTGGGACTACAAAAACTGACAAATTGTTCCCAGTCTACCCCGTCAAATGATCAACTGGAAGAGCCTTTGACCGATCTTTTCACGCTGCCTTCTACCACAGGACAAATGATAGTAAAAGAAAACAAAAAAAATCAACCAACCGAAACATCAAAATTTAACGAAATCGGTGTAATTGTATTTTTGATGCTTCGAACTCGATGTATACCTCTACCGATTGTTACATTTACCTTACTAAGCATGACCGACTGCTTCACTTCACGATATTGCGTTCGCATCCTTTTTTGCACGTCTTGGGAAATTACATATACCCCCTTTGGAAGACATTGGCAAATGCCGACGCAAGCACAATAAAATCGACCGGGTTGATCTATTGTCTGCCCAGCTTCACAGCCTCATATCGGGTCTGATCCATTACTCTACAAAGTTCATTTTGCTCATCATCCAGTGTTCGGGGTTTTCTGACTGGAGCCGGGCGTTTGATTTACGACATTCTTCAGTTTTTTATTCTCTGCTGGTGTATGCCGCCCGCTCTTCTTCTTTCTAGTGACCTGTAGCATACACTAGACCTATTGTACTTTTTCACTTTCTTGTTCCCATTTTCCAACTCTATTTTTTCTTCTTCTTTTCATCATCAGCCGGACTATACACGAAAGCACTTATTGATTCTTTTTACCCAAATACAAATTATGAGATGGTTCCGGTGCTAGGGAACAGGAAGATGGGAGATGGGCTCTCGAGCTGGGGGAGGGGACCGAGCTTTCATCGAGGGGATGAAGTCTGGGCCGGGCGGCGTGAAGCATTGGTCCATACCGAGTGCTGTGATCTACGAAAGCCTCATTCATACATATCATATGAGTGCGGGAGAATGAGGGGGTAGGTAGTCTGAGAAGAAAAGGGAATGGTTCACTTGGGAAGATGTCCTGGCAGAAAGGGGCTGCTGAGAAGAGAACGTCGTGCTGGCTAGGCAGGATAATATAGAAGGAACGATTTTTTTTAATAATGACTTCAAACAAGATATGATGATTTATGAAACACCTTGATCAGCAATAGCATGGAACATGCACACAATACTAAGAAGGCACTGCATGTCATTTATTACCACGTTAAAACAACGATGAGTCTGTAACCATGACGCTATGAAGTGAAGTGAACCAGACAGAGCAGACTAAATAACGAGACGACGAGAAAAGAATGCGGCTTTGCTGGATTCAAGGTGAAGAAGGAAGGGAGAAGGCCATGCCTAAGGTACCCAAGGAAGAAAGAAAGAGGAAAACGCAGCACGCAAAAAGTGGACCGGCTCCTTGTGATGTGATGATTTATGCATCCCCCTCCTCCTTTTTTTTTGGGGGGGGGGGTGGGGGGGGGTGTGAAAAGGATGCATAATTTTCTAAGCACTCGCGTTGCGGCGCTCAGCGTCTCTTACTGATTTTTCCCAGTCTGAGCGGTAGAGGTAGAGGAACTCGACTGCTGATACACTGTGGGTTTTTGAAAGAGAGAGAGAGAGCCGGTCAGTCAGCATGCCGGTCACTTTTTAGATTATGATAAGAAAGAGAGAGAGAGAAAACTTACAGTGTCAACCCAACACTAACGCCAAACCACAAGCCATAAAGTTTCCAACCCAGGCCGAAAGCCGTCCCAAATGCCAGAGGCAAGGCAACCACATAATAACACGCCAGATTGGCATAGCCGCCAAACTCCTGTTTTCCGGTGCCCCGTAGCAGGCCGTGACTAATGGCAGCGAGGCAGTCGACAAACTGCATGATGGCGCAGACGGGCATAACGTTGGCGACGAGGGCGATGACGTCCGGGTCGGAGGTGAAGAGGAAGGCGAGCTGGTAGCGCAGGGTGGCGAGGAGGGTAACGTTGAGGATGCCGACAGCGACGCCAGCCCAGAAGGCGACGCGGGCGCAAGTGCGGGCCGCATCAACGAGGCCTGCGCCGATGAGGTTGGCCACGCGGGTGGAGGAGGCGATGGCGATGGGGAAGGGGATCTGGAAGGTGGTCGAGGTGATGGTCATGAGGATAGACTGGGTAGCGAGGTAGGTGCTGCCGAGACGACCCGTGGCCAGGGTGAGGATCTCGAAGGCGAACCACTCGGCCTCGACCATGATCATGCCGGGGATGCTGAGGCGAATCATGGGGCCCCAGTTGTGTAGGGCGCGGCGGCTGAAGCCACCCCAGCACTGACGGCCGTCTACAAAGTAGACGTAGGCGGTAAGCAGGATCGGGAGGAGGTTCTGGGTGATGACGACAGAGACGGGGGCGCCGATAAAACCCCAGCCGAGGTGCCAGACGAAGAACCAGTTGAGGAAGACGTTGAAGGGCGCGGCGATGAGGAGGACGTAGGTGGTGGCCTGGAAAAGGCCCTGGGCCTGGACAAAGCGCTTGCCGCCCTCGAAGACGATGAAGGCCGGGACGCCGAGGAGGTAGATCCGGAGGTATTCGCCTGCCAGCTCGGCGGTGCGGCGTTCGGGGATCATAAGGGCGAGGATCTCGGTCGCGTTGAGCCAGACCGCCACGAGCGGGAGGAAGAGCAAGAGGAGAAAGCAAACCATGCGCTGGATCTGCAAGCCCACGAGGTGCTTGTGACCGGACCCGTAGGCCTGCGCGCAGAGGGTATCGAGGGATGTGGCAAGGCCCTGGAAGGGTGCTGAGCAGGTAATGTTGGCCGTCATGGTGGCCACTGGAACCGTAGTTTTCTTGTCAGCATCTTGCTATCGCAAGTACGTCGTCTGGGTTGCGAATTTAAAAAACTCACAGCTGATGGCGCCTAATTCAATTTTGCCAATGTGGCCGACGGCGAAGATGCTGGCCACATTGATCGAGTACTGCAGCATAAAGGTGACAATGAGCGACCTCGAGTACACAGCGATGGTCTTGGCCTCGCGCTGCCACGTCGTCTTGATCTGGCCCGCCGACACTGCCGCCTCCCACTGCTCGTTCAGCTCTTCAACCGCGAGCGGAGATGCCTCGAGCCCGTTCTCGCCACCGTTCCCAAGCAGCAGGGGCGTCTGCTCAGAGGCCACACGTGACAGCGGTGCGTGGTGGTGTTGGCTCTCGTCGTCACCGTTGTCGTAGTCATCAGACCCGAGGGGCACCTTGGTGGAGAAGAGCCTCTTGTACAGACGCCTGAAGAAGGACTCGTGTTCCGGGATGGGGTGCTTGGGAGGCAGGAGGTGGTTGTCTCGCAGAAGGCTCAACTCCTCATTGCGCGACTGCACCCACTCACCGCGGGTGAGGACGGGTTCATCAAAAGGGCGAGGTCCGACGACGGGGCGCGTGGTGCCGTACGCTACACCGCTGGGTCGTCTGTACATGACGACAGGCTCCTCGCCGGCTGCACCAGGGAAGAAGTCGATATCAGACGCATCGTCGTCAAAGGGGGTTTCACCGTCGTCGTTTGGATAGTCGTCCTCCTCAGCGAGATCACGGGCCAGGGCCTCCTGGGCGATGGGTGAGCCAGGTTGGAACGAGGCGGCGAGGGAGGAGGCGAGCTGATCGCGAGCAGAGAGAGCGGGCGATTCTGCCCTCCTGCGGGCGGAGATGGACCTGGGCTGGGTCCCAGACATTGTCGCTGTTGATGGTGATGAGTTGGTAGAAGAGACTGCGATGACGACGACGATGATGTTTGATGATGATGTCAGTGGTCGAAGCCGCCACCCTATTCCCCTAAGAAAGGCGGTGGCTTTTCTCCTTCACGAGATGATGATGTCTCGTTCTCAACCAGCCCTTCTGCCCTTCAGCCTTTCAGCCTCTTGATATCTTTGGTTTTCCCTCTTCTCCTTTTCTTGATCCTTGAACAAACTCTTCTCCTTCTTCAAGCCACGTTCCCTCCCAAATCTGTCACCAGGAGGGCGTGTATATATATCAAAAATCAAATATATACCCGTGTGTGTATGTAGATATATAATGATGTAGGAGGTTTGTGTTTTCAAAACTAGCACATCACCCTAGATACGGTGAGATTGACTCAAGCACACGAGCAATGACTGATTGCTATGCAATGCATGCAGGAAAACGATAGAGAAAAAGGCGTGATGAATGGTCAGTCACAATCACTTGCTTGATTTATATGTGTAAATAAGTAGATAAATAAATGGAAAACAAAACAGAAATGGTCAAGTCTGTGAGATCAAGGGTCGTACGCATACAGAAAGCGAAAATCAGCCGGGGTAAGGATTGAGAGAGATAGGCAAAAGAAAAAACCCTCCCAAGAGGAGAGGCCTGGAACGGGCTGATGGATGACTCTTGCATTGCCGTAAGAGTTGTGGAGCCACAAGGGCAGCGGGAGGGCAAAAGATGGTCTAACCAAGCCATGTCGGGCTCTAGCCTTCTAGCCCAATGAATATGTGAAAGGATGGGAAAGAGAAGATACCTGAAGGGGATCCTGAAGAGCCATATGACCTCTTCGCGAGGATATCTAAATGTCACCAGAGACTTCTTCGGTCCATGGCAGACCAGCTAGATCTCAACAAGTGTTGGAAGGCGGCACAAAGTCATCGTGTGCGTGCGTGCGTGCGTGTGTGTGTGTATCTTCTCTAGATGCCCTGTGCCATGCTTGAATGAATCACGATCCTCGTCCACGGTGTGGCGGTAAGAGTACCATAGAAGGTCGACACCGTCTGTCCTCACCGTGTCGTAAGGGGGGGGAAGGCAGAACCTTGCACAGTGGCACAGCAAATCAGAGAGGGGGAATAAAGAAAGAGGGGAAGAGAACACATGAGGAGGGGTAAGTAACGGTAAGATTTGGATGCAATCTTGTCTGGAGAGGGCCGATCTGGTAGTTGAGGTGGCTCGGGCATATTGAACCATTCATCGTTGTGCAAATCCCATGCATTCATTCATCGATCATGGGGTGAGGTTGAGGTAAGGTGAAGTTTAGATTGCGTGCCTTTCAGCCTCAGAATGCCTACTTAAGAAGAGACAACTACATAAAGGAAGTAACATGGGATCTGGATGGAGGGAAAGAGCGAGTGAGGTGTGGGTATGATTGAGGAAGCGGGTCGTCGGAGGGAAGGTGCGGCACGGCGCGGCACAGGAATGGAAAGAACGGGGTGAATTCTGCAGTACAAGTCACAGTCAGTAATTATTAACGAATGCCCACGCTTCAGCCCAGCCCAGCCAGCCTATAAGTAGACAGAGAAAGCACCATACAACGCACCCCACGAAGCCCCCATTCCCACCACCCCCCCTCTGCCCCCCAAATATCACCCACTGCCCCAAGCACGCCATCAACCCTCACACCCCAATTGACCAACCAGAATGGCCCAAACCATCCCAGACAGGCACAGTATAACAGTGGAAAGCCCCAGTGACATCACTTTCTCGATTCAGCCTTGTGACGACCTCAAAAATCAATGAAACTGCTTCTGAAGGGATGATGGACAATAGTTCAAGAACCAAGACGAACCCCGAGAGAAACGGGGGAAGACCTAGAATCTGGTAGCCCAATTGCCCCTGTCCCCATAAATCTGTATCTCCTGATAGGCCAATCTTCGTTTCCCGGGGACAAGTGTGCCAGGGAAATCGAGGCCGACCGAGACCCGGCCGAAGCCCGCCCCGGCGTCACCTTTTTTCTTATAGATTTGCCCCGGGCGGCTGCGAGCCAGCGCATCGGACAACTCTCGATGCATAATATTAGCACATGTCACTCATGGTCGTGTCTGATGATCTCCTTGCTCCCTCCTCCTCCTTTCTAATTGTTCTCTTCTCGTGAGACACAGTACAGAAGAAGAGCGACTCTTCTCCCATATATGCATACTACTTGGTGAATCCTCCTTCGAGTCGAATCCTTGCTCACCTCAGATACTTCTAAACAAAGCAACGAACCGGTCCTCCTTCCTATGGGCTTGCTCTCTTCTTGAGGCTCTGCGCTACTATAGAGCTATTGATATTGTACCTGTTGAAGCCTACTACTCTCCTTCTCTCGCTCATAAATAATATCGTTGCTGCCATTCTGTCGCTAGAGCCCCAGAGGGGAGGATATACCGTTCCCATCGACCGGGTGCCCATCATCGACCCCCAAGTTGGTGCTCGTGTGCCTCTTTCTTGCAACGAGACACAAGGGAAAGAGAGACAGGGAACGAGGCAGACGACAATAATATTAAATAAGAGATGGCCGAGATCCGCGACGAGGAGGATGGCTCATTCCACGCCGTGAGCTGCTGCGGATCTGCCGTCGCCAGCCTCCGCCAACCGGTCGAGGTCGAAGACCTTTTCGAATCGGGATACTAGTATGTCCACATCTGTCTCTCACTCACTCATTCATCACTCATTCATTCAGTCATTCAGTCATTCACTCACTCACTCACTCACTCACTCACTCACTCACTCGCTCACCCACCCTAACATCCCACCCTCTCCCCACACTGACAACCCCTCCCCAGCGATGACCTCCAAGACGAAAACCCCCTCTGCGGCTTAGCATCCCCCTTCTTCCTCTGGCCCGCCCTCTTCGGCCCTCTACTCTTTGAAAACCAGACCTCGGACGCCCGCGACCACTGCGCCAACGAGCGCACGTTCCTCTCCTATCTTCGCCTCAGCATCTACATGGCCATCGTCGCCGTCGCCATCGTCTTGTCCTTTCACCTCAAGAGCCGGCCCAGTGCTGCCGAGCTCGCTATGGCACGGCCTCTGGGGGTGGTGTTTTGGCTGTTGAGTGTGGCTTGTCTGCTGGTTGGGCTGGGGAATTATATTCGTGAGTTTTGGTCCCCTTGGCTTTTGGCATTCTTCTCCGCCACAGGGTCCTTCTTTCTTTTTAGCTAACAAGGTGGTCTCTTCTTCCTTTCTCGTGCATAGAGACGGTGAATAAGTACAGTCGGAAGATAGCCATCGTCCAAACCGGTATCAAGACACAGCTCGTGAGTACAGCCACACTATCTTCACACAACCCCTTTCATCTCTCCTGGGACGACAAGACTGACACCTTGTACAGATAATGGGAGTCGTGTCAGTGTGTATCTTCGCCACGTGTGTGGCCTTACTGGTCATAAATAGGATAAGCGAGGACACTGGCTAATAGCGTCTGGTTCTTCATACCAAAAGAAAAAGCGTCCATTTGAATAGTACAAGCAACTGTTTTCTCTGTTTTTAAATGACCTTGACCCGTCGCCCCATCTCATGTGCCCCTTGGCTTTTGTGCATGCGAAGCGTATGGTATATACAAAACACCTGAGCCCGGACCAGCCTCGCTCCTGGACGCCCTACGATTCACTTAGCATTCCCCTCTTCGATTGTTGCGCTGTGCCTAATCAGATTCCATCATCACGTGCGCAGAACAGAGACGTGGAAGGTCTCGAGGCAGCTTCCTCATCACAGCCACCAGCCGTCCGCCTGAACTGTGTCGCGTAGAGTATCGAAGCCTCGTCAAAATCCCCAAGCCCGGCTCTCGAGCCATCCCAAGCGAGAAGCGGCATCTCCTGGAAGCTGGGGAGGAGCCCATTGTTGGGAAGGCTGTCCACTAGGGTCGTACGGTGGATGACCACTTCGTCCTCGTCGTCGTGCTGCTGCTGCTGCTGCTGCGGGGCCGGCCCGTCGCTCTCGTATTCTTCCGGTGGGCGGTAGAGCTCGTTGTGGACTGTCGCCAGGTTCGCTGCCAATTCCGCGCTTGGGTAGAGTGTCCAGTATCCTCGACCCCGACAGAGCCGCAGGGCATGTTCCATCCAAGCCGGATGGCCCTTGCTCACCACCTTCTCGGACAAGATCGCCGGTGGGGTCGTACTGCTGTGCTGCACCTCTAGGAGCTGGGACACGAAGCCGTGCAGCTCGGCCCACTTTTCTCCCGTGAACAACATGGCATTGCTGTTGGGTGCTTGCCAAAGGAAAGATGTCGGGCCCTCCGGCAAGCCGGGCACTTCTGACCCCACAGGCATGTTCAATGGTGGAGTAAACGGGCCAGACCCGCTCAGATCTGTCGACGGCAGGTCGAGGCTGATGCCGAAGAGCCTCTGATCCCAGGCTCCACTGATGGCGTGCTTTGAGTAGCGATACTCGAGAATCGCCATCTTGAGGTAGTGGAAGAAATTTGGCGAGAGCTCAGCTTGCGGCGAGAGTACGAGCACGTGAGACAAGCGCGGATTTGCTGGCCAGAAGCCCTCGAGGAACCGCGCCGAGCTCTCCTCCTCGGTCATACCACGCCTCGAGACACGATGCCTCAGGGTCAACTGGTTCGCACTTGCTGGTTGACGCGGATCCCGAGGCGGCCACTGGAAATTTTGAAGAAATCCGCTCGTAGGTGGGTCGACATGCTCGGGTAGTTCGATGGTGAGATGAGGTATTGTGCAACCAGTATAGTCTGCAGCACTCAGGGACTTGAGCAGCCTGATGAGGCTCCCAGATGCGTCCGTGTGGGCGTGGATCAATATTTCCACGGTAAGCAAGTTCCAGGGCAGAAGAGATGATGCATCGAGCTTGGTGATCCAGCCCAGCCGCTCCTCGGGGTTCGTAGGCAGTTCAATGACGGCTGCTTGTATCCCCATTTTCGACACTGTTTGTCGCATCGACTTTAGAAACAGGGGTTCTTCTGCATCTGACGAGTCCACAAGGATGGCTTGTGGGTGCATATAGTTGTTTATATGGTATAACGCTCGGCTGACACATTTCTCGAACCTCTCATCCGTGGACAGGGCTGCAAACTCGGGGCGGGCATCTGGTGCATTGTTAGAAAGCCAGGCCTGAACAGAGTCTAATTCTAGAGACTTGACTGCTCAAGGAAGAGAGAGAGGGGGGGAGGGAGAGACTCATTACCATGGAAAATAATGTGGCAGTCCTCGCCTATACCGTTGACATCCTTAAGTTGCTGCACTGGTATTTCATCCCTGGACATCAACGCAAAGTGGACGTAGGACCTCAGCTCTCGCCCCATCTGGCATGCAATGGGGAGTAGGTCATTCGCGCTCTTCAAGGTTGACGCCATAAACAGCACGTTGAGATTTGACACAGAGTCGCCCTTTGTCGCACTGATTGCATGTAGCGTCTCTGCCAGCTCCAAGAACCTGACGGCACCATTGTAGTTGCGAGTGGCCGACGCTGCGGCAGTGTCTATCTCGAGGACCCCATTGGACACAGGAGGTCTAGGCTGCTGGGGAACGCCCCCGGGAGGCACAATGCCATTGGAATAGGTATATACGGGGCGTCGCTTGTCCTGCGGGCCCAGATCGGTGGGCATGTGGGCGATGAAGACGTAAACCGCAACGGCCAAGAGGATCAGGAGGCCGAGACGTCGGAATGTCTTTCGAGGAGGTATCCGGGGAGCGTTCTTCACCCTCCACCCAGTCGGTGACTTGCCATCCTTGACGAAGTGATCGTCGTCCTTCTTAGCGACGCCGAGCTCGGGATCAAGCCTGGGTCGCATCGTCCTCAGTGTATCGATACGCGCCCGATAAAACCCGACGCACACTGACGTTCTGGGTTCACGGCGTTCTGAAGGATCAGAGTGACCGTATCTCGAGTATCGTCGGGTGCATCTCGGGTGCCAAGGGTATCACAGTTCTTGACCTCGGGTATCGAGGCATCCGGGCTTGCGAACGGATTCGCTCTCTCTCTCGATCTGGGAAGGCTCTGAGAACGAAAGGAGGGGTCAGTAGTGGAAAATGTGATGCTTGGTCGAGGGCATCTCGGGTCCAAAGGTGTGTTGACGTGGGAGGTGAGAGGTTCAAGACTCTGTGTCTTCCCCAGAAAAGGGTTGGAGGACGAGGGTTGCTAATGTAAATTTGTGTTGCCTCTCCATCGTTGGAACGTGACGACGATGCGACCAGATGGCGTCAGCCCCTGGTCCCCTGTAGCAGGTGTGCTATGGTTGGGCAGTAGCGGCCAATTGCTGAGGGGTTCAGGGGTTCTGCTGTCTCCCTATACCCTGTACCTGACTTTAACTTTCCACAGGAGGCATGCTAAGCTTGACCAGCCCAGCCCAGTCCAGCGCTTACCCCACGATTTCACTTCCTCGGGCCCTGCATGCCTACCGCAGTGCAGGTGGCGGGGATCCGCAAAAAAGTTCTGATCAAGGTATTATCGATATCCGATCCCATTCCATCAAGGTTTCGACTTCGATAGTTTGACCTACAACATACAATTACTTATAACAGTTCACGCCAATTTCTTCCCCTTCAAAATTCTTCTGTCCCATTGCCCGAGACACAACTGACTAAACTTTGGAATTCTCGAGCTGCAGCCCTCAAGCCATCAGGATGGGCAAGTCGCGACGTAACAAGGCTAATGGGCATCGAGCCGACCCCATGGCCATCAAGGCTGTCAAGCCACCTACAGACCCTGAACTTGCTGCTCTGAGGGAGAAACAGATCCTGCCTGTTATCAAGGACCTACGAAGCTCTGATCTCAAGGCTCGAGGCTCAGCTGCCTCAGCCGTTGCAAATATTGTCCAGGATGAGAAGTGTCGGAAGTTGCTTCTCAGAGAACAAATCGTCCACATTATTCTCACAGAAACCCTGACAGACGCAAGCCTGGACAGCCGTGCTGCTGGCTGGGAGATCCTTAGAGTCATTGTCTCTGAGGAGGAAAGTGATTTTTGTGTTCATCTCTTCAGGCTTGACGTGCTCACTGCCCTGGAGCATGCCATCAAGAATGTGAGTACACACCTTATCCCTCCAGCCTACATTGATATTGTGGCTGATCATTTTAGGTGATCCAAACAATCTCAGACCAAAGTTTCTCGAAAGCGGCCAAGGCTCAGCAACAGGTGACATGGAACATCACCACGGCATTGCTATCTTTAGTGGGCGCCCTGGCCACGGCCCGGGATGAGATTGCAGAGGCTATCGTGTCTAACTCTCAGATCATCCCTTTCCTCTGCTTCGTCGTCAATCAGAGCTTCACTCCACCCGAGATTCTCAACGAGACGATGAGCTGCCTCATGACTCTTTCCGAGGACAATCTGAAAGCATCACAAGCCATACTTGCGGACCAGTCGAATTGCTTCCGAACTTTGACCAAGTACAAGGAGCTGGGAGACTCCAAGGCAGTATATGCTTCGGGTGTGCTCCACAATATCTATTCTGCCCTCGAGTGGCATGACGGTAGTCCCGGCCAGGACGGTGCTACTGATGCCAAGGTCATCCCAAGCCTGTGCCGAGTTCTCGAAAAGACCAAGCAAGATCCCAAGACGTACCAGATTGGTGGTGTCGAAATCGAGGCCGTGACCCAGGCACTCGAGATCCTAGCTTCGATAGCAACAGATCTGCAGGCTTCCATAACGAAGGGCAACAAGACAACGGCAGAGTGGAATGGATTCGAAGACGACACGGCGATGGCAGGTGCCGATGGCGAAGACGAAGCCATGAAGCAGGGAAGTGATGAGGATGATGAAATTGGAGATGGTGCGGAAGAAGATGGCGCTGACGAGGATGACGTCTCGATGGATGAGGACGAGATACTCGCCGACATGGATCTTGTGACTGGACCAGATTCCGACGCCGAGGACGACGCGGGTCTCGAAGACTTACCGAGCCTGCGAGAGTTCATACAGAAAGCGACGCCCCAGCTTATCCGTCTGGCTAACTTTGCCCCAGCATCAGATGAAGCAGTTGCAGTCCAGTCGGAAGCCCTCTCTGCCCTCAACAATATCGCCTGGACCATGTCCTGCTTCGACTACTCAGAGTCTGGCAACGCTGGTCTCCTCAAGGCCTGGTCTCCAGTTGCCAAACGCCTCTGGTCCAAAGTCATCGCACCTGTTCTTGCCACGGACACCGCCGACGTGTCTCTCGCCTCGCTCGTCACCAGTGTTGCATGGGCGGTGTCCCGGACCCTCAAAGGTTCCACACCACTTGTAGGCAACGAGCAACAAAAGTTCATCTCCCTCTACAAAGCATCCAAAGGGGTGGCAGCCAAGTCGGACGAGCAGGGAAAGCAGCAAGAAGAACAAGAAGAAGTCGAGGACCCGTTCCAGGCACTTGGCGTTAAGTGTATCGGTGTGCTGGGGCAGCTAGCCCAGGACCCGGCCCCCATCGACCTCAACCGCGAGGTCGGCATCTTCCTCCTCACCGTACTCGATGCGCTGCCCGAGACTTCTCCGGCGGACACAGTCGAGGCCCTGAACCAAATGATGGACATCTACGGCGACGAGAGCTTTCCCTGCGACAAGGCCGTGTTTTGGAAGGACAGCTTCTTGCAGCATCTCGAGAAGATTGTCCCAAAGGTCAAGACCATGGTGAAGTCTATCGACAAGCGCGGTGCGACCAGTGAGCTGAGAGTTCGCGCGGACGAGGCGGTCTTGAATCTGACCCGGTTCATCGCCTACAAGAAAAAGCATCCGCCTCGGCCCTGAGCTCGAAGGGTGCATACGTGATGAGAAATAGCGGCTGCCGTCAGAAGGAAACCGTAGGCCACGATATTGACGACTATTTTAGCGTCTTGGATTTCTGAATGAGTATCTTCAACCAGCAAATGACTGGGCGTTGGGTTTACGGACAGGAGACTCTTCTTGGCGCACATGGTCAGCCAGACGGACGCTGTGGCATCTCGGCACGGACCAGCGAATTGCGCAGATCTTTCAGTGAATCAAAGAATTGAATTTGCTTTGCATACTGCAAAAGCCTAGCAGTGTAGGGAAACCCATGGTATCTATCGTATGGCGTGTCCGCGGTGCAACATCAAAAGTGACACCGAAATCCGCCCAGCGTTGCTCGGATTCGCCGCATATGCTACGTAAAATCACGCCTGTAGAGTAAGCAAATGATCTAGCCATTCAAGCCTTCTCGCGTGGTCTCTTTCTCTCACTCCCTCTCGCTCTCTCTCAGCCAATGGGCTTCATCTTCTTTTTCTTCTTACTCGGGCCGTCGGGGCCTCCGGTCGACTTGCCCTTTTGAAAGGCCCTCCACGAGCCAATCCTCTGGTCCCTGGTGGCCTCCCAGTCCTGCTCGTGCTGCCTCTTCCTCTTCCTCTCCTCGAGCTCGGCGTCTTCCTTGCGCTGCTCGCGGCCCTCCTCCTGCATCTGTGCCTTGAGCTGGCGCCGCCGCCTCTGCTCGTTGTCGATCAGCACCATCTTGGTCTTGTCCGCCCACTTGCGCTCAAATTCGGCGTCGGGCTCCTTGGCCTCGGGGCTGTCGACCGTCAGCTTCAGGTCCCGCAGGACAAGCATGCGCGCATCGGCGATGGCCTCGTCCAGCACCGCGCGGTGTTTCTCGTCCATCAGCTCCGTCTGCGCCTTCTTGAGCCGGTCAAAGGCGTCGGGCGCACGTGGGTTCCTCGTCTTGTCCGGGTGGATGAGCAGGGACTTTTTGCGGTAGAGGACCTTGATGTCCGATTCGGGCACGCCGGGCTTCAGGCCCAGCACGGCGTAGGCGTCGAGCCGGAAGGCCTTGAGGATGCGGTCGATCTCGGCATCCTGACGCGGTGGAGAGTCAGCTTCGTAGTCTCACATAGGTAGAAAGATAAAAGGGCGGTAAAATAAGAGAAGGATGGGGAAGCGGGGAGGCTTGGCTTAAATTGGACTTGACTTGCCTTTTCCCATTCCTTGCCCTCCGCGTCGAGGATGTCGGTGACATCTCTGTTGTCAACGGGCTGATCTTCTTTTGAAGCCATCCTGGCTGATCGATTAAGAATTCCTTACCGTGTTGGGCCTCGCTGGGAAGGGGTATTGTGTAGGCGACGCGAAGGAAAATGGGAAGCGAGATCTCCCAGAATGAACCGGTGTCGGTTATCAATGTACACTTTAGGTAGGCACGGAAGCACGTAGAGTAGCCCAGCGCTAGAAGAAGCCCCTACTGATGACTAAGTACCTACTGTATGTCCACTGAGTGGGAACCACACAGTAGCTCCTTCCAGCGCCGCGCGGGTTGCATCGGCGCTGTCAGCCACTGAAACTAGACGTTGAATAGCGACTTGCACAGGTGCTTTGAGATTGTGAGAGAAACTTGAAATTTGAGGAACTTCTACTCCAGACCTTCAAAGGCTGTGCAGATTTTTGTTTCGTAGACCACCTTGCGCTGCTAGGTATCCATCACTTCACTTTGTTTCTTTCACTGAAGCTCCAACTTTCGATCTGCCGGCAAAGAAATATTCGACCGTGATCATGGACTTGGACGATCAAGATGCCCCTCCTGACCTGGTAGAGGCAGGCGACAACCTGGATGGGGAAGAGACGGTTGTCAAGGTTCCGATCACCATCGTGACAGGTGAATATTCTTCGACCCCTTGAGCAGACGCCCGAGAACATATTCGAGCTGACTCAATATGTCTTCCCCTCCCGGCTACAGGATACCTCGGGGCTGGCAAGACTACGCTTCTAAATTACATTTTGACTGCGCAACACGGCAAGAAAATTGCAGTGATTATGAATGGTCTGTTGTCCCTTTATGTGTTGGTCTATAAGCCAGACGTGAACTGACGTGACTTGCAGAATTTGGTGACTGTGAGTAAAGTATTCAGGACGAGGTACGACACTTGCTTGAAATAACAATTCTCAATGTAGCGTTGGATATAGAGAAATCCCTCACGGTGAACAAGGACGGCGAGTCGGTCGAAGAGTGGTTGGAGGTTGGCAACGGCTGCATATGCTGCTCTGTGAAGTAAGTTTCACACCATGACACTCCTGTGCGGGTCATGAAGTGCTCACAGTCACCATAGGGACACAGGCGTCAACGCGATCGAGGGGCTCATGGCGAAGAAGGGCAAATTTGATTACATTCTGTTGGAGACAACGGGTCTGGCAGATCCAGGGAACTTGGCGCCCCTGTTTTGGGTTGATGAGGGACTGGCAAGCACCATCTACCTGGACGGTATCGTGACGCTGGTCGATGCCAAGAATATCTTGAAGAGCCTGGACGACCCGACAGGAAAGGTAGAAGGACATGAAGGAGATGAGCATGGCCCATTGATGACCACAGCGCATGTCCAGATCTCACACGCCGATGTCATCGTCATCAACAAGACGGACCTCGTTTCAGGACAGGAGCTGCAGGCGGTCCAGGACAGGATCAGGTCTATCAACGGACTTGCTAAGCTCCACCTGACCAAGGAGAGCGCAGTACCCCAACTCGAAGGTTACCTTCTAGATCTTCATGCATATGACAACGTGGTGGAGCTGGACAACTCGAAGGGCCACAGCCATCTCGACCCAGTCAGTACCACCTCTTGTGTGGCGGAGCTTAACGGACTGCCCCTGATTGACCACACTGTGTGGCATTGCTAACGTTTCACAGACAATATCGACGATATCAATACCGCTGCCATTGCTGGAAGGCCACCAGGTGGACAGGGTCGACAAATGGCTCAGGACGCTGCTGTGGGAGAATGAGCTGGCTGGTGATGTTGCCGAACACAAGGCATCCTTTGAGATACACCGGTTGAAAGGACGTTTGGCAGTGAGGAACGGGACTACAAAAATCATACAAGCTGTGAGAGAATTATTCGAGATCTTCGATGCACCATCGTCAGACGGGGAGGACGAAACCAAGACAGGCAAGGTAGTGTTGATTGGCCGTCATGTCACAGATTTTGATTTTGAGAAGAGCCTCTTGGCGGCCATCAATAAAGAATAGAGATATTGTGAGGGAAAGGATATTTAACAGAAAATTCAAGAGAGAAAAAGAATGGAAGAAATCGAATAGGAAAAATGATACAGAGAAAGTGGAGAGTTACACTCAAGAAAACATTGTCAGAGTAATATTTACACTTGAATCATAAGTAGATAATGACCTGACAAGAGGTGTGTGGCTAATGAGGTAAATCTGATATGAGGCGCCCAACTGAGGTCAGCTGGATCTAGCGAACGAAAACGTCTTAGGGCGGACCCTCTGAGACCATCCCTGTCCCACCCCCCCCAACTGGAGGGACTTGCAGCATTGGTGGGGGAGAGTCCGTGCGTCCTCTAGCATGCCTGCCCTGCGGCAATCCTCACTAGAGTTACACTGTGAGCCTCGTTTGGAGGGAGCACGTCAATGACCTCTGTCAACCGGACAATTCCTTGCATACCCTCCGCCCTCCAACCTACCGCACAGCTATCGAGACCACATCCTACGAACCGTATACGTTTTTGCGAACCAAATCGAGCGTTACCTGCTCACATGAGAAGGAAATAGGGAACCAGACAGATTCTCGCGACGATGAATAGAACAGGTACGATGGCACACGATCGCCCTTCTCTCGCGTCCGAGCCTGGCCCTTCCGCACTTCGTGCCCTACAATCGGTAGTGTGGTTCCGAGCGAGGAGGAGATTCCCAAGTGCAAAACTTTGCCACGAGCTGGAGCATGTCGAGGATACTGGATGGGAAGTGGGCTCGTTCTGAAGAAGTGCCCGGCTCGCAGTTGGGAATTGCGACGGCGTGCTTCTCTCAACAGACTTCTCCCTGCTTCTAGCCGGCTCTGAATCACTGTCATAAGGGATGGGGCCAAGTCTTGTCGCAAGACGATAAGCCCTCGGTCTGGCGCTGGAACCGCATGCGCATCGCGTTGCCCGTGGACTGTTTGTCGCTGGCCTTTCAACCTTGGCATTGACCGTTGCGCACGCTTTCTCTCTTTTTGCTGCTGGATGATGCTTTGAGCTGTAGCTAACAGGACTCTTTGTTGGTCAGGAACTGTACCTCAGTCCCTAAGGGGGGTACCTGGTGGTTTTGGAGGAGGCCAACAGACACAACATACAGGAAGAGTGGGAGCAAATAGGTTACCAAATGGGAAACTGGGTAAGGGGATGATGACACCACTGTGTAGTGCAGTGTGTTCATGTGTGTTGTTTGTTTTGCAGGAAAGCTGATGCAGGACCTGCAGCTATGCCGGTGAATAATGGAACAGGCTGGGCATTTGGTGGTGTTGCTCCCATGGGCTCTGGCAGCATGCAAACGCCAACAAGGCAGCTCGGAGGGGCCGCAACTTTTGCACAAAGTCTCACGGGGTCAACGCCTGCAACACCACTCGATTTATCGTAGGTGCACACCCAACCCTATCTCGACAGCCCTCCCTCAATCTTTCTGTGCTACTGCTGTAGCCACTGTTTCTTGTTCTCCCCTTCCACCATTTCACATCGCCAGGGCTTCTTCACCTTCACATATCACTTCCCTCTTCTGTCCCGCATCACTGCCTCCCAAGTCTCATCTGCTTGTCTGGGTCCTCTTTCTTGGGAACCATGGTTTTCCCTAGGAAGTCTGCCAAACTCAAGTTGGTGCAGAAGAGGGCTGGGCGACAGCATCATCAGCAGCATCAGCAGCAGCAGCAGCAGCAGCAGCAGCGGCAGCAGCAGAAAACCTCACTTCCACGACAACCCAGCCCTGACATCCAAAAGTCTTGGTCTCAGGTGGTCCAGGGCAAGAAGCAGCAGCAGCAACAGCAGCAGCAGCAGAATGCTCAGCCATCTCAAGGCCCCGGTGGTCGCATCGATCAGGCTGCCTTTGATTGGTATCGTCAGAGATCCCACCTCCTCTCTGCCCTGACACATCCACTGCCCTCCTCACTGTCCTAGTCGACATTGGACACCCACAGCACACAAACTCGATTACCTGATCTGTGCACTTGGATGCATGCTAACTGGTTGATTGCAGCGAGTTCCCTCAACTGAGCAATAATGCGCAAATGTCAGGTGCAGCTCAACCTTCGATGTGGGGCGGCCAAGCAGCAAGAAATCTGGGCGGCCCAGCAAGAAATCCCAGCGTTTCCATCCCTCAGCAAGGTCAACAGGAGGACCTCTTCTCTCCCGTCTCGCGAATTACTTCCAGCCAAAATTCATTTCGATTCGGCAGCCAAGCAAACATGAGCCAGTCTCAGCAGCCTCAACCGAACAGCGGCGAAGAGTTCCCACCCCTGAACCGAAATGGCAATGGCGAGATCGGACAAGAGCGAAACGCGAACCTGATGGCTGGCCTGGGTGGCTTCGGCTCCCAGGGTGCCGTCACGTCTCCCCCGAGCCAGGCAGGCCGGTCTGGCAACGGTCTACTAAACGCAGTCACAGCAAGTGCGCGTACCTCCGAGGCCCGCTCACCAGTTGGTATGTGGCTGACGCGTCTGTGATCTTGGGTGCGCACTACTAACGCATCTTCAGGCACGCGTCCCTCTGACAGCATCTCCTCGATGACCGAGGATGACTCTCGTCGCAAGTCTACCTTCCGTGAGGATGGTCCCTCCACCAATCAGGCCGCTCCCGAGGCCGCAGGTCCCTCCATCGACATGCAGAATTCTTTAGGCGCCATTGGAAACGAGGGCTCGGCCAGCAAGCCAAACGACCCGTCTGGAGGAGGACCATCGTCATCTGCCCAACAGGATCTCCTCCCTGGCATGTCTGAGTCTGACAAGTTCGGTATCAAGGGCCTCATGGCCATGATGTCCAAGTATCCTGCCTACAGTGCCCTTGTCCACGGCATGAACCCGGCCGAGTTTGGTCTGGATCTGAACAGTGACGTGTAGGCATCTCATCGCCCCAGCAGCCCATTCCTCTCATCTTGCTGACTAGCGACAGGCCCTTCTCTGAACAGGCTTTTTCCTTGACAGACCACGCTCCCCCCAAGCCTCCCCAGCCCAACTTCAGCCTGCCTGAGTGCTACACCGTCAGAAATACACAGCCCATCGAGCAGAAGGTCACCAACTTCACTGAGGAGACGTTGATCTATATGTTCTACGCCAACCCCCAGGATCGACACCAGTTCCTGGCTGCTCAGCAACTGTGAGTTGCACCTCTTTCTTTTACGAATGTATGTGACCTGAATCGCATCGGCTGATCTTTCTTGACACTGTAGCTACCTGCGGGGCTGGCGTTGGCACAAGACGATGCGCTGCTGGTTGACCAAGGACACCGAAATGCAGCCCGTATTGATCGCCCCCGATACCGAGCGCGGTTACTACATTGTCTGGAACACCACCACGTGGAGCCGTGAACGGGTGAGTCATCTTTTGTTTCTTTCCTTGCCCCTTTGATAAGTCTCACTGCTAAGCATTGTTCCAGCGTGAGCTCGTTCTGGTTTACCAGGATCTTGAGAGCCTTCCCGACGCCAACGGTTCCCCCCACCCGTAAGGATTCAACTGGGCGTTGTGTCTCTTTGTTTTTGGTTTCTACCGGGCCAACAGGGGTTACGGTGTACCGCGCGGCATCGCGGTAATGTTTTGTCGGCTCTGTTCTTCACCCAATCCAGTGGGTTTATTCGGCATTTGAGGATCTGAGGGTCGGACCCATAGGAGCTCGGACGGCGTCATTGGTCAAATGGAGGTCATTCCGGAGCAATTTGGTCTGCGCTCGGCCATGTGATCGGTATTGTGCACTTTTCTCACACGGGTTATCCAGGCCTGTGTGCGATGAGGACCTGGTGGTACTGGCAAACAAAACTGACATGAAATGATGAGAGAAGTCTGGACTATGGAGCATCTGTAGGAGTAGGACCTAATGAGAAAAGCCCAACTACCTCCTCTGATGCATTTAAATTGTTCATAATGCTGGATTGCATCCGTATCCTGTGACGTTCGGTGATGAAATATAATGTACTTGTGTACTTTTGTATCTGCGAGACTGTCGAACCTTCTCAACCTGAACGTCAGTAAGAAAACCCTAACCCTGTAGATTGAGGTGCACGGACACTTGCTTTGAGGGCTGTTGAAGGTGCTGCGGCTGCATCGGCCTCTCACATATGCTGAACGTTGACCGACCGACCTAGAACCCGTCCGTTTATCTGCACTTCACCTCGGTCTCCCAACCTAACTTGACCAGGCCACTCGCCTCGAATACATCCAAGGCGAAGCTTACAAGACCGACGCAACCGACCAAGCGAGCAAGGCCAGTGCTGCTACGTTTCACCTGAGACGGGATATCTCGGGACCTCCACGTGTGCACCACATCCAACCAACTCACCAACCTCAGACCATTACCCCATCGCGGCGTCTCCTCTCCGAATCGGAGCCAAATCCCCATTCACCCACCAGACAGATAGACAGGGCGAGAGAGAAGAACCATAAAAACAATGGCCAACGATCAATACGGGCTACCGTCGCTGGTGGTCATCATTGTGCTCGGCGGGTTGCTGTACAAATGGCTCTCGTCGCCGTCGTCATCCTCGTCGTCGCCCGCGGGTGCTGGGGGGCGGGACTCCCTGTCGCAGATGAGGCAGCGCGAGGTTGCTGTGGAGAGGATACAGCAGATGTTCCCGCAGTATGACAGGCGGACAATTTTGTGGGATCTACAGCGGAATGGGGGTAGCATTGCGGCGACGACGGAGAAGATCCTCTCGGGGAGGATAGAGACTGTATGTTTTCAGCCCACCCCCATTCTATTATTACCTCTTTTCTTTATTGCTAGAAAAAAAACAAAAAAACAAAGGATATTCTTTCGTTTACTAACGCTCCGTGTGAACTCCTAGCCGCCCATCACCTTCCAGCCTCCTCCACCGCCGGGCTCTAACATGGGCTCTTCAACATCGACGACACAGTCCAACCCTGCAGCGAGGCAGACCGCCGAGAAGCCCGCGCAGCCGAACTTGATACAGAGATATAACCTGCAGGACAAGATACAGCAGCAGCAGCAGGAGGAGGAAGACGCGGCACAGGCCAAGAAGTGGAGCACCAACAAGGACGAGAGGCAGTCGCTGCTGCAGAAGAGGCGGGACGAGATGATCCTTGCTGCGAGGAGGAAGATGGAAGCTAAGCTCGCGGCTGAGAAGAGTGCTGCCGGGTCCTCTGCCTGAACTACGAGCTAGGAGGGGCAGGATTCTGAAGCTGGCTGTCTTTGGTCCGGTCAACACACGATTTGGTAGTGGCGTGATGATACTGGAGACGGCGGTTGGAGGCTCTACAATGCAAGGCGTTCCTCGCGCGTACGTACTTACTTGTCACATGATGGTTTGTTCTTTTTTTTGGACTAAGGCATAGCATATCGGATAGCAACAAGCGTTTCGGCTGGTGGGTGGGCATGTTGGTACGCTCCTGGGTGTATTTCGAGGGGTGGGGTGTGTGGTGGGAATCAGCATGTCATACTGTCAGGTTGGCTTGCTCAACAATTTTTTTCCTTGCTTAAGGGGGAGGAAACAAAGAGACTGTCTGCAGATGGAGGAGAAGATTGTTTCCCCCAAGGTCCTGGAAGGATAGAACTTTACTACAGAGGTATCTGGAATACAGAATGATTAGCCTCCTCTCTGGATTCTCACCACATGCTATTACTTGAAGTGAACCTCACTAGGTATGATATACATATATGTTTCTTAGTATTGTGGATGGTCTGAACATTGAGGCAGCCTTTCATTAGGCTTTTGAGTATGGCAGATCGGACGACTATCCCCGTATGTCAGGTCAGATATTCACAGCTCGTCCAGAATATAAGAGTTGTCCTTCCCCATCCTGGTTGGCTCCATTGAGGCTCTGGGGAAACACTCCCCGGGCGGGCTGGCGGGGGAGATCTTGTGGAAAGAGGGGGTCTAGGGGCACACTCCCCTGCCACAGACCCACTGCAAACTTTGGTACAGGTGAGCAGATGAACCGGTAAGACCCAGGTCTAGACACTCACATGCTTTTCCCATTGCAGGGTCTCGAGGAATTGGATTGCAGATGCATGCAGCTTGATAACCACCAAATAGACAATAAAGAGAGAACTTCAGGAGCAGGAAGGGGACGGGGCTTACAAAAGGCCTAATTCCTACTTGAACCATCGAAAGGCTAAGAAGCACACTTGGCTGAATACAATAGCAGAAGTGCTGCGCGTGCTTCTCATTTAGGGCATACAGGTCGACCGGTATGAAACTAGCTGTCCAAGCGCACGCTTCCTCTTACTATCCTATATTAATTACATCTCCTGTCTCGGCCTTTGTCTTGAGAGTTCTCTCTCGGGTCTGTTTCTTTCTAATATGCCCTCTGGTCCTATTTCTCGTGGTTACTTTCTCAATTCGTCAAGGTGTCAGGTGGAATGTTCCACAGTTTCTTGTACAAGTCTAACTCACACTGCACGATCCGGCTCCCTAGACATCTGGTTACCTCTCCTTTTTATTTTCAAAGAACGTTCGAAGCTCATGGGATCATCCCATCTAGGTACTCGTGCTGCTTGACGTGAGAACGTGGTTGTGGCGGCCTGCGTACTTACATCAACTCCTCAGGACTACAGTACCGCGACCCATGGCAATGGAACCCACGGATCAGACTTTACATGCAATTGCATCCCATCAACGTCAAATGATACCGCAGCCATCTGACCAGGGTATCATGAATGGGGTTTCAATGGCAATCAAGAGCTGTCTCGGCCGTCTGGGAATACTAAGACGTTGCGTCAGCACCCGCAGCTGGGACTCGTACTTGTTCGAGGCAATATCGAACCCATCCAGTCTGCTGTTGAACGGCGGCATAGTATCACAGGAAGAGCAGACTGCGGCCATCCATCACGATGCGTGGTCGCCCGGCATCGCCACGAGCTCCGAGATGCACCAGCAGCAAATGGAGAGCGTCCAGAGGAGGCACAGGATAGGGCATATGGGGCAAGACTGGGCAGCTGGGTTTGATCAGTTCTGTGCGATGCAAGGTAAGTGCAGTGACTACTATCCCTGTATATCATGCATCCCTGCAGTCCATGAATGTCAAGTCTTCATGTTCATACGCATCCACAGGCCAGATGCTTATGAATAGCGCCCTGTCCAGTAACCGGCCGCATCATCCGGGCCATGAGCGGGGAGAGCGCACAGCTTACGTGCAAGGCGTAGCATGGTTCCTCGCAGCGTTGCCCAAGGACCTCGACGAGCATGAGCACGCCGAGGTGAGGCGGTGTCTGCCCTCCTCACTGCTTAGTCGCCTGCGAGAGGAGGACCGAGAAGAACAGATGAGACGGCGCAGCTTCCTACGCTGTGCCGCCGCTGCTGTTCTCGCGCAGTGGTATTTGATATGGAACTGGTTCGTTTCCCTGGTGGAATTTCTCGTGCGGTTTGGTTTGGCCTGCAGGTGCGGAGTGGGTAAGTAAGTGCGAGGAGTTAGGCGGCCGAGTAGTTAGGCGGCCGAGTAGTTGGTAGTGGGCTAAACTGAGTGTTTGTGATGTGAGGGGCAATTAGGTTGTATATTCATGTATGAGATCAGGGTTAGGGCTGAGATAGGTTGCACCTTGCCTGTATCGTGGGAGACAGGGATATGGGATACAAAACTTATCGATAGGACAGGATTTTCGAAAAGTGCTCCACCTAAAACTTGAGTGTTAGTGCAGTTGCGCCTCCCCCCAAAACTTTGACTTGACCCTTGACTTTCCGATAGTGGTGAATTATCAGGAAAACTCTACTACCACGCGACAAACAAGCTGATCTTGTCCAGGACTGTCCAGCCACCTCGACATCAGTTCTCTATCCAGCCTGACCTAATTGATAACCTGGTCTTTTAGCCGTCACTGTCATCTTGTATCCAGCCTTGACAATTGTTTCGATTCAAGATGCTCAAGAGACAGCTCCTGCGACAAGCTCGAGCGTGTCGCGCTGTGCGGCCCTCCTCTTCTCCTCTCTCCATCCTCACATCTGGTGCCGCCTTGAGGCCTTCTGCAACATGCAAGCCAGCTGTCTTGACGGCCTCGATTGGCCGCCAGATCCTTGCGCGTGCCTATTCGAGCGCTTCCGCCGAGGCCCCCAGCAGCAACACCGCAGGCTCGTCTGACCTGATTACCCGCTTCGACGAGCTGTCATCGCTCGGTGTGCACCCAAATATCCTCCGCGCCATCACCGACGATATGCAATACGTGAACATGACGGATGTCCAGGCCATGAGCATCAACCCCGCCCTGCAGGGAAAGGATATGTACGTGTTGTTGTGTTGAGCGGGCGTGCTCGTGATGCGTGTTCTCCTCCTCGTCTTGTCTGTGACAGATCATACTGACCATGTCTTCTTCTTCCTCACAGCGTCGCTCAGGCTAGAACCGGTACCGGCAAGACCCTCGGCTTCCTCCTCCCGACCATCCAGAGAATCATCCAGGCCGACCCGCAGCTTGCGACCCGCGGTGGCAGCACCACCAGGGCCAAGTCTGACGACATTCGCGCCATCATCATCTCGCCGACCCGCGAGCTGGCAGAACAGATTGGCGCTGAGGCCAGGAAGCTCTGCCGACACACGGGCGTCATTGTGCAGACGGCTGTTGGTGGCATGAACAAGAATATGATGCTGCGGAAGACCAAGTTCGAGGGCTGCCACCTGCTGGTTGGCACCCCTGGCCGTCTCAACGACCTTCTCAGCGACGAGTACAGCCAGATCGACGCCCCCAAGCTGTCCGCCCTTGTCCTTGACGAGGCCGACCGCATGCTCGATGTCGGTTTCGACAGGGAACTGCGTGACATCGTGGGCATGCTGCCGAACCGGAGGGAGGTGCCCCGGCAGACGCTTCTCTTCTCCGCCACCATTCCCAAGGATGTCGTGTCGCTTGCGAGGACATATGTCGACCCTTCCAACTTTCAATTCGTCCAGACCATCAACCCCGATGAGGCCCCCACTCACGAGAGGGTACCGCAGCACATCCTCCCGGTGGCAGGTTTCGAGCACTTCATCCCGGCCCTCCTGGAGATCACCGAGAAGGCCCAGGCAGGCGAGCATGGGCCCGAGCCCTTCAAGGCCATTGCCTTCTTCAACAACACCGCCATCGTGCAGATGTACAGCGAGCTCCTCTACTTCCTTCCTCGCTACAACAAATCGCTGCCCCCGACCTTCTCTATACACTCGGGCCTGGACCAGAGGGCGCGCACCAGGGCTGCTGATGACTTCCGGAAGGCACAATCTGCCATTCTCATTTCCTCGGATGTCACCGCTCGTGGTATGGATTTCCCCGGCGTCACACACGTCCTCCAGTTTGGTGTTCCTCCGGAGCGGGACCAGTACATTCACCGACTGGGCCGGACGGGTCGGGCCAACAAGTCGGGCCAGGGCTGGCTGATCGTGCGCAGGGATGAAATCCCCAACGCACGCAGGGTTCTGCCCGGCCTGCCCATCAAGCGCAATGACACCATCGAGTCAGCAAGAATCGACACTGCGAACCTCACCAAGGAAGACATGCCTCCGCACTTCCGTCACGTCGCCGATGCTTTCCGCCGTGTCTCGCCCCGCAAGATCGAGGAATCGTACGTCCGGTTTGCGGCCGACAGGAGGCGCGACCTCCTTCACAGCAGTGTGGCAGCGGCCAACCACTGGGTCCAGACCCAGGCTGGCCTTCGTGAGCCGCCTACGATCCCAGCCAAACTCGCAAGGGGCACACCCGGCCTGGAGCGGATCCCGGGTGTCACGATCGGGGCGGAACGCCGGACGTCTGGCAACAAATCGATGTCTCGAGGTGGCGGGTTCGGAGGCCGGGGAGGCTTCGGAGGCCGGGACAGCTCGGACCCCTTCTCTGCCATGTCCAGAGGCCGCTCCCGCGACGACCGGCCCTCGCGAGGCCACCGTTCTGCTTTCTAGGTGTGGTGAAGAGCACAGGGAAGGATTCAAAGATTTGCCCCATGAGAGCAGCTGCAGATATGGCACGTGCTTCCTGCCACGCACGGTCTTTTTCCAGCTTGTGGGTGTCAACACCTACCTAGGCGAGCAACCCTACCTGAGCGAGTGGGGAAGCCACACAGATCTAGCAGCAGGATGACAACAACCGACGAAGAAGAAAAAGAGAGAAGACACGTGCGGAATGAGCATACGAGATTTCGATGTCGGCAAAAGTGCTCAACTTTTATTGAGGGTCTCATGTTTCCCATGCTGCACGAGGCTGGCTGCTACGGGGAGCTGTTGAGGGCTATGGGGAAAGAGAAGCGTGCCTAACTAAAAGAAGGGAGAAGGAGAGGAGGGGGGAAAAAAGGCACCTCTATCTTTCTCCTTGCATCATGACGGCGTTGGTCTTGTTTTGGTTTTCCTGCTGCACCCCCTTCGTTGATCTCTTCCTCTCTTGCTTTTTTTTTTTTTTAATTGGGACCTCGGCTGGATGGAAATCTCCCCTTTATTTTCTTCTTTCAATTCTTCTAGAGTTCACTGTATCATGATAAGTTGGAGATGTAGCGGAAGGGGTCAAGAAAGGGAAAGAATGAGGGAGATTATGACGAAGAAAATTAGATGGCGGATGTCCTTGGTGTGTAGTATGTAGTTGTGTACCAGAGGAATGACAAGGAAAGCAAGAGAATTAAAGAAAAGATGAGTTCCCGCAATCTACTGAATCATGAATGTGTATTGGTTGTATCCTGGATTGGATGTCATCATCATTATCATCACTAGGTGCAGGTTTCCGGGTCGTCTTCAGTGAAGCAGAAGAATGCTTTATTGGTTGGTCCCTTCTGTTGACCTGCTGGCAGACCTCAAGACCCCCAGCAGCTGAGAACAGATAAAACTGATCTCAGGTTAGATGACCAATAAGTATCAAGAAGGCAGAAAACAAAAAAAAGCAGAGAAAGGCAACCCCCCCCGCCAGCTCACCAAAAAAACAGAATCCCTATCCTCATGCACCAGCACCAGACCATCCTCTTCCCTTGCCATCCGTCTGTGCAAAACAAAAGATGAAGAAGAAAAAAATTACCCCACCTCCCGGCCTCAGGATCCAATATGTTGATAATCAATAAGTAAAAATCAAAACAAACATGGCCGAGAAACCCTCCCCCCCCTCCCCCCCCAAAATGCGGCTCCCAGCCGTGAAATCGGGAGGGGATGGACCTTGGGGGCTTGGCTTATCGTGAGTAAGTACACACGGGCTCGTCCTATATATATACTTGAGAAGAAGAAGAAGAAGACGAAGACGAAGAAAGAAAGAGAAGAAAAAAAAAAGAAGAAAAAAAAGACACGCAATCTGCCTCCCCCCCCCCTTCCTTTCCCCCCTATTCGCCTCTGCTACTGATGCTGCCGATGCTATTTTTGATGATGATGATTGTTGTTCGCTGTTGATCCATACCGTCAAGGCAAGACAGTCGATGTTTGCCGCCTCCGCCGCCCACCACCACCATCACCACCCAGTCATGATTGGTCCGCCTGCTTGAACACCAAAGTCATCCTTTGCCCACTTTCCCCTGCCAGTATATACATATATGTATGTATATGTAGAAACATATATATGTACACAATATGTATATGTCAATAAAGGTATTTATCATCGTCAATCGTCCCATCCATCATCCCCTCAAATTTCACAGCTCCCCATTAGCACCACCCATTCCCCCATTCCCCTGCTGTCCTCCTTGCCCCCCCTGTTGTCCACCAAAGAAGAAACCATCAAACAAGTCATACTGCTGCCCATCACTAAAATCATGATGCAAGCCTTCCCACCCCAGCCCAAAGCCCAGGTCCACATTCGCCGCATTCTCGTCCATGTCGGCACCGTTCAAGCCCGTGCCACCGAGAAATCCTATCGCGGACAGGTCGCCAAAGGGCCCTAGGCCGCCTGCTCCGCCGCCCCCTCCCATGGGCGCCGCTAGTCCCGTGGAGATGGGCGAAAACACAGCCGGCTGCTGTTGGGGCTGTGACGCTTGCGATGCCGCGACCGCCGCCGCTGCAAGATATGCCGCCATGTTCTGTGCCGTGGTGTTTGCGTTAGGTGGTGGCGGAGTGCGCATGGCGGTCGGAGACGGGAGGAGGGAAGGGTCGATGGCGGAGGTTTCGGGGCTGCCGGCTGATGCTGCTGCTGCTGCTGCTGCTGCGACGGCGGCGGCGGCGCTGATATTGTCGCTGGCGTTGCTCCGCGTTGGGGCTGGAATATTTCGCATCATGGAAAAGCCGTCCAGCTCGGCCTTGAGGTTGGGAAGGGAGTTCATGCGGTAAGGACCAGGGGGAACGGTGGTCTGGATGGGCGGGAGTTGAGGACCGGGGGACGTGTGGGTGGTGTAGACGTCGCTGATGCTGGGCAGGCCATGCTGATGTTGTGAGGACGGCCTGCGGGTCTGGGGGGAGTCACTGTTGCTGTTGTAATGGTGTTGGTGTTGGTGTTGGTGATGCTGATGGTGTTGTTGATTGTTCTGATGGTGATGATGAGGTAGTGGCGTCGGTGGTGCGCGGTAGCCTCTGCTGCTGGAAACGCTGTCGCTTCTCTGCGCCCAGTCACGCTGCTCGGACAAGCTGCCACTGGACCTGGGTGGGACCACCTGGCCGAAGCCACCTGTTGAGTTGGCCATCCGGATCGTAGCCTTGGCCGTCCTGTCGATGGCATCACGACACGCCTCGGCTGGTGGGCACTTCTCGCTGAGGTCTCCAAAGACGGACGTGGCGGCGAGCACGGTGAAGTCAACCTCATCCAGAGTCTGCCCACACTTTTTGTCAGCAAACCGTTGGCCGTCCAAGATGCCGAGGAACAAGAAAGAGAGAGAGAGAGAGAGAGAGAAAGAACTTACGAGTCGGCTTCGCACGATGGGAGAATGCCAGATGGCGTACAGGTACGAGATGCCAGCCATGAAGATGTGGTGAGTGGCCAGATAGGTATAGTTGAGCACGCCCGCGAGGTGCAGCTGTCTGTACAGGCGCATGATCTTTTGTCCTGCCTCGGCCACCTTGAGGTACACCCTGTCCTCGTCCTCGCGCAGCTCACCAGTCACTCCCACACCACCGCCACCATTACCATTACCACCGCCGCCGCCGCCGCCGCCGCCGCCGCCGCCGCTGTTGGGTAGGTTAGGGCTGTGCTGCATTTCCATGGAGGTGTTGTACTCGCCCTCAAACATGGAGGGGACACTCAGGCTCTGGCGGTAGAGCATAACGATGGCCTGCCAGTAGTTGAGGTCGAGGAACTCGGTGGAGAAGCCGACGCCAGTGTGCTGCTTGGTCGGGGCGTTCATCTTCCACTCGTACAGCCTCTTGTCGATATCGATGCGCCAGGAACGGAAGGACTCAAAGCGCGAGAGGAAGGGCGAAGGCAGGGTGGTGTGCATGTAAGGGTTTCTGACGTTCTGACCCGAGGCCCTTGCGGCCTGGGCCTGCTGGTACTGCAGAACCTGGAGGATCTCGGACTGCAAGAGGCGCAGGCGGAAGTAGTGGTGGGCTACGAGTTTGTACGTGGGCTGGCCGACCACGTCGGGGCCCGGCTCTTGGAAGCCCTCGGGTGTGATCAGGTCGTCGTCGAGAACGGAGGGGAACTCGGTGGTGATAACCTGGTCCGAGATGCCAAAGGGCCGTCCGACGCAGATGCTCACGAGCCGGTCGAACGAGTAGGTGGACCACCACAGGCGGCGTCTGAGGTCCCTGACGAACTCCCTCCTTCCTCGTTCCCGCTGACGGCCGTCGTCGCCGGCCTGGAGCGCCGACTCCCTCCGCAGGCCGTCATCAACGTCTTTGCCGTCCTCGTAGTGCAGGCCGAGGTCGACGGCGAGGCGCACGGCGACACCGACAATGTACCAGAGGCCTGGGGGCACAGGGCGCAGCAGGGCAAAATTGGCGAGGAGGAGCACGGCCTGTAGCTCCTCGAGGCCGCCGCCGCTGTTGTTGAGGCAGGCCTCGAGGTGGACGATGGCGCTGGCGTGGTACTCCTCAGGCTGGGCCTGCTTGGAGGACATGCGGCCCTCGCCTGGCTTGGCGGCACTGTTGCTCGTGTCGGACCTGCTGCTGGCGGTGGCGCCCATGATGATGCCGCTGCCGATGGCGAAGACCATGTTGAGCATGTAAAGCTCCCTGTGGCCGCGCCGGGGGTGGTCTGGGTCGTAGGCCTGCTCGAACATCCTGCCGAACTCGACCCTGTGCAAGATGGGGATCTGGGGATTGGCGTGCTCAAAGTACAGGCTGACGAGGGCGGTGGCGACATCCTTATCAGGGAACGGGGCCGGGTTGATGGTGGGCTTGGTGTGCAGGCCAAAGAAGGAGTCGCGCATCGTGGTGCCGCCTCCAGCCGTCGCGAGGGGTTTCGAGGGCCGCACGCCTGCTTTGTCCGAGGTCGACTTGTTCTCGCTGACCGAGGACTGGACCGCGGCGAAGACGACCCGCGCAAACGAGACGCCCGAGGCCGAGCCCAGGTAGCGTGGGTTGGCAGTGACCTCCTTGCCTTGGGTGATGTCGGCTCTCGACACAAGCCTTTGCAGTCTAGCCTCATCGCCGCCCCTCTCGCTGCCAGGCACGGCCGGGGTGCCGTCCAGGGTGTCGGAGGCCGCCGGAGGAGGGGGGAGGGCGGCGGCGATAGAGGACTCGGTGGGTGAGCGGACTGAGACGGAGTCGGCAGCGGCGGCCATGCGCGAGCAGTACTCGAGGTTATCGGCGGACGGGAAGGGGATGTTCTTGGCCCGTAGCAGAGACTCGAGGTGCTCGACCCTGTTTTCGAGGTAGAAGACGTAGCTGTTGAAGGAAGATATAGGTTAGTTCATATATTTGCTGTCATCTTGCTTTCTCCAAGCTGCTTCTTCTTCTTCTTCTTCTTCTCCTCCTCCTCCTTCTCTCTCTTCGCTTTCCCAGCAGCAGCACAACAGAACAAGCAGAGTTTAACTCATTACCTTCGTGGTATCTCCCTCTTAGTGATGGCATCATAGCCCACACACGCAACATTAGCCTTCTCACAGCTCGCACAGCTGGGCAGCTTCTGGTCACACCTGTTCTTACGCAGACGGCACCTGTTGCAGGCGCTGACATTGCGGAAGCTGCTGCTCTGGCCGACCTTGGTGGGCGTCGACGCCCCTCCGTCGAGCCTGGCAGCACCCCCGGCGGCAGCGGCAGCAGCAGCTCCACCAGCAGAAAATGCCATATCCTGCTGCTCGCTGCTAGCGGCCGGTGAGGGGCCTGCCGTGATTGTCTGGCCTGGCGAGTCCTTGTCCCTATCTCCTCCTGTTGCGTCTCTCTCCCTCTCTGGCGACGACATCCTTGGCCGCTTGGCCGGGTGCATGTGTGGGGAGGGCGGCGAGCGGGGCGACATGGTGCCCTCTCCTATCTTTTGTGTGTGTACGTGTATGATTTTCCTCGTCTTGTGCCTTTTTTTTTCTTCCCCTTTTTGTCTTGTCTGGCCGTCCGTTCCTTGGCTGTTTAGACCCGGCAGGTTCGGTAGGACGGAGGCGGACGGGCGGGCGGGGAGGAACGGCGGTTCCGGTCCCAGGGCGTGGGTAGCCCAACCGCAAAGGGAGAAGGGGGAGGGCCGGGCCAGGCACCAGGAGGTGGTCCTGTTGGCGATGATCTTCTTCTCCTCTTTTCCTTTGGTGGTTGTACTGGAAGTCTAGGTGAAGGACCAAAGGACGAGGAGGAGGAGGAGGAGGAGGAGGAGGAGGAGGGGCGGATTATAGATTGACTCGGTACGAGGCTGAATGAGCGTCTGTATCGAACCCGTTTTCTTCTTCTCTTCTGTTGCCCTTTTCTTTTCCCTTGTATATTTCTCTCTTCTTCCCTTCCTGCTTCAGACACCAGTAATCGGCAACTCCACTTTGACCTCGACGTCGGCGTCACGGCGTGGGCGGCAGGGCCTGCAATGACGATATCGATGGTGATCCTTGGACCTGGGCTTGACCTTGGGCGGCTGTGACCGGGTGCGTTACGTAATTTGGATGGCTGTACTCGTAGCAGTAGTAGTGGTAGTAGCGCTGTGGCAGCGTTTGTGGTGGTGGCCCCAGTGTTGGCCGTTGTTGTTGGGGATATCGCATCGACGACCTTTGGGCGGTTGTTCTCCCTCTTCTTCTTTGACTTCGTCTTCTGGTGCTCCTCTTCGCCTCCTCTTCTTTTCTCGTCGTCGTGTCGTCTCTTTTTCTCCTTCTTCTTCTTCTGTGTCGAGGGTAGGATTGAGTGCCCGTCTTTTCGCGACCTGCATCCCGCCCTGTCGAATGTGATTGAGCGAGCGAGTGAGTAGAGTGAGAGCGTGTGTGCTTGTTTGTGGTTGTTATTGGGCGGCTGCTCTACTGCGATTGCCAGGGAGAGGGATATTGATAATTCGCATATCTATCTTTATCCGTTATCAACAACCGACGATATCGATAATCCGATGAATGTCGTCTCTTCTTCTTTTCTTGTATCTCTCTCCCCTCCAATAAAAAAGCTGGAAGAGAAGAGCAATAAGATCCTAATTATTAATAAAACGAATAAACTATTCAGGGTCCAAAGCTTCTTTTGCCTTTGATCCTAGTGTTAATCTTCTTCCAGGGGTTCGTCGTTCAGCTGCACGCCGAAGTTTAAATACTGTGGCGAACGTTTTCCTTTCTCTTTACTGTTATCGCAATGATCATGACTGGTGATGGACCAAGTGACCAACCCCCCCCTCCACCTTCCACTTCTCTCTCACAAACCGTGAGGAGAGAAACTGTCTACCCAAAACCCAGACGGAAATGGCGACCCGCATCCATGTACATGATATGTAACCACAGGCTTGGGTCTGATTGGCTGCGACCGGCAGGCTGTTTCCGTTTCCCCCTGCACAAGACAGCACACCCGGCTGGCAGGCTTGTTGGGGCGGGAGGTGCCCATCTCCACAGCCAGAGGGAGATAAAAGATGTGATAGATTCCAGAGAGAGCGCGAGGACATTACAGCATAGCATAGCTGTTGCAGACGGCTATAGCAGCACTTGCGTTGGGGCGACCAACCTAGCATGTGAGTAGAGTAGAGAGAGTGCACGGTGGTGCGTACTATGCAGTACTGTTGTACTGTAGAATAGCGGATCATGTCTGTTAGTGTGTACCTACACTATAGTGTGTATGGCTTATCACCAAGAGACTCCTTACGAGCTCAAGATAACAACACACATGACCACCGTAGAAGCTGAGATTTCGTTGGAGAATAAGTGTAAAATACTGAATTATAGAGATTTTCTTCTCAAGAAACGAAAAACAAGAAGGGGGAAACCAGAAGAAGTACACCTGTCCCAGTTGACGGAATGGTCTTCCTCTGCAGGCTTGAAGCTGCCGCCCAAGACCTTCACTCACCACTGTAAAGACCCGTAGCCATAGAGAGAAACGATGACATGGGAAGAAGAGAGAGACTGAGGAAGTGAAAGAAAGGGAAAGAACTGCCCGAACCACCAGCTCAGTTACATCATGCCACCTAGCCTGCAGCTCAAAGCTCTCCTTCCCTCCTTCCTTTCCTTTGCAGCCGACACGAAGCGCCCCCGCTGTCCACCTCATTTCCACACAACCCATCAAATTAATGGCAAACTGGCAATCCCCACCAGGCTCAGAGTGTCACCACCACCTCCTCCACCAAAACCTGCCCGCCCTGCCATGTCCTCCCCCGCCTCAATTCGGATTCTGCGCGTCTGGATGTTGTGTGTCTCGACGTGAGAGGGCACACCGGCTCCTCCATGATCATGGAAACCGGAAAAGAGAGAGAGAGAGAGAGAGAGAGAGAGAGAGAGAGAGAGAGAGAGAGAGAAAGTCAAAAACTAAAACGGAATCCCGTAGTGGGATGCGGGGTGTTTCTTGAGGGAGGGACGGGATGGTAGGGAGGGTGCGGATGTGCCTCTGCCCAACCGTCCGACCCTTTTGTGCCATTTTGTCTGCCTGCCTGTCTGTCTCTCCTCGGGTTTCCCTCTTGGATTCCATTGAGTCTTTTGGTCTCCCACTACGTACTATCATGTACCATGCAGGACGACCTCGCCTGCAGGCCTCTTGCAAGTACAAGTACCACATGCAGACTTGGCTCACCGGTCTACTCCTCCCGGAATCATAGTAAAATGACACATCACTACGACCGGAGATCTCCCCGACTTGCTTTTTCTTTCTTTCTTTCTTTCTTTCTTTTTTTTTGGGGGGGGGGGGGGTTTGGTTTTTTGGTTTTTTGGGTTTTTCCCTTCTTCATCTTTTCTTCCCTTTCTCCTCTCAATCTTCGCCTTGTCTCATGATGGTGCAAGAATCTTCACGGCGGCTTGAAACCCGAACACAGGACGACCAAGTGCGACAGACACATCATCTCCTGGCTTCCCCTTCCTACTATGGCTTGGCCTTGGGCTTGGACTGCAGCAGAATGAAGAGGCGATCGACACCACGAGAAGTACCATCTCTGGCGCTGGTGGAGGTACCGCTCTAGTCGCATGTACTGACCAAAATAAGGACACCTTTTTTTTCCTTCTCTTTTCGCGGGCTCCCGCGTCTGCAGTGGACTGGTCTTGGAAGGGAAGACTTGGCCAGTGACCGTCCATCGGGCTTGATTATCCCCGTTAGAACAACCCCTGACTATCTTTCTAGATACATACAGCATCATCGTATATGCGTATACAAGGCATATACAGGACAGGGACTGCAGAAGAGAAACTGAAGAAAAAGCAATAACAATCACCAACACCGCCACCATCGGAGACATCCCGACCGCCCCATCTCGGTACCCTCTCTCTTTCTCTCCCTCTCTCTGTCACTCACCATCCGGCAGGCGCCGCCAAGAAAAAAAAAAAGAAAGCCTGTCACCGATGTATGATGGTGCGTTGTCAAGTGCCAATCAGGTCATTCATCAACGCCTCAACAATTTTCTTCTTCTATTTCTTTTACGTTTCTACTCCTGTACTCCTTGCTTCTGCTGCTTACCGCCCCTTGACCTCACCTGATGGCGCCTCCGAAGATACTTTGACTAGCCAATAGGTCTCACCTCGTGCCGCTCCCCCCTTCACCGTTTCTGGACGGGAGAAGGCTCAGGGACCAGGGAGTAAGGATGGGCATCAAAAGGGAAGGAGGTAAAAAAAAATTGGCTCGGAAAGACAATCTTTCGGGTGATACATGTATCAATTTTTGTGAAGGAGGGGCGGGATGGTGTTGATCATCTAAGAACCAAGTAGTAGATGAAGATTGTACTGGGAATTATCGCTGTATTCTCCGCCCTGACCTAATTCGACGATGCTGAAATATATATATATATATATATATGTAAATAAAATAAAAAATTGCCATGCCATGCTGAGAGTTGGAGGGTTGGAAAAATTTCAGCTCTTAAGGGACGACTCCATTCCTGTGCTCCTTTTTCTGGTATCATAATGGACGTCTCTATAAGGGGGGGAAAACACTATAACAAAATTGAACATGCAGACTTTGTAAATGACCTGTTTAGTTCTGGGGAACCAACGACACATGATGGAAAAAGAGGAAAATGAGACCAGTCATATCCAGAGAGGGAGGGGGGGGGGGGAGAAGAACAATGCCCCCCCGAAAAAGGTAGACCCTGGTTGCTGCCGATCGCCTGTATGGCTCCAAGGAAAAAGGAAAGAAAAAAGAAAAACAAGAAAACACCAAAAGGGGGGTTAGAGAGCATAAAAAAAAATTACCAGAAAAAAGAAATGTGCCCATAACCCCAATTTCCCGTACCCTGCCGTATTCCCTTCCAGTCGTCGGTTGCTCGACATGGCGCCTTGCTGAAACCAGACCCTCCCAAGCCAAAAAAAAAAAAAAAAAAAAAAAAAGGAAAAAAAATATGGAGAAAAAAAAAAAGAGGAAGAAAAGAATTAGTACACGTCCGAGGAAGTGAGTGTCTAATCTCCGTCTCGACACAGATCATCGGTTCTTTACGAACAAACTTTTTCTTTTCCCCCATTGCCCGGGTTGCCCTCCGCCCGTGCTCCGTTTGGTTACCCATATCCCAAAATTTCCCATTGATAGACCTTCCAAAGAAAAAAAAGGAAACCAACAACAAAAAAACAAGAAGTTCAAACTCTTCCATAGACTTCTCTTCCCTTCTTCGTGTTCGGCGACAAACCACCAAAGATTTCTTTTTCTTTTTTTCTCACAAATCCGTGTCACTGGTTGGGGCGTCGTTGTCGTTGTCGTCGTTGTCGTCGAAAGGCCGGGTCAGGCACCCCAGAAACCATAGGATAGAAGAAAAAAAGTCGGGAGATGAACCCGTGATAAGACCATCTTTGTTGCACCATGCTCCAGATCCCAGCCAAAATAAAAGGAGGTAATCGAAAGAAGACCAAAAAAAAAAGCCGAAATCGCGTCAGTTCCAGCCGTGCAAAAGTTGAACGCCACCAAGCGAAGCTCCATCAATGAAACTGGTCCGGGTCGAATGTTCTCGTGGTGCCGGAAAGAAAAAAAAAAAAAGTATAGAAAATTCGTGAGTAGGCGTGAATAACGGTTCTGTTCCGTTCCGCGGTTTGGTTCTCGTCATCATCTGGTTTTCCTCTGCTCAAGTTCGGCTTAGGGGCCGTTTCACATGTCCACCTGGCTCGCACGTCGGACAATGTCGATCGACACCCGGCCGGGGACCATCTCGGGCTGTAGCTCGCGCGCCGCGGCTACGGCGGCGGCCTCGGTAGCAGCCTCCTCGTCCTCGTCGACCTTCTCGTCCATGCGGCCCTTGGGCTCCGTGAGTTGGAAGCTGACGAAGGCACCGGCGATGGTCACGAAGCCATTGCACCACCAAGCCAGGCCACAGTAGCCAGTGGACAGGCCCATGGCATACAGGAACCCAGAGATGGTCGGCCCGAAGGCGCGGCAGAGACTGGCCGTCGAGGCCGCCACGCCGTTGATGGTGCCCAGGGTCTGTAGGCTCGGCGCCGAGTTGGTCAGGAGGATCGCGTTGCTGGGGTAGGCCATGGACGAGAACGTGCAGCGCCAGATGATCGCGGCGTACACGCCAATGATGCGGACATTGTCAGGGAGGAGGACCAGGTAGGGTGTGATGAAGTAGAGGAGGAAGTAGAAGGCGGCCAGGATGCGGAAGAGGTTCAGGGTTCCGAGACGTGACACCACAAAGGGAAAGAGGACCACGGTGGCGAAAAGTTGGTAGATGCCCTGCACCGAGAGGATCAGGCCGATAGTCTTCTGGTCAAAGTCGAAGCCGTCCACGAACTTGAAAGGCAGCTCGACTGGGTGTGTTTCCTTGACTGATGGTGAGCTGAGGAACACAGGGAAGAGCTGATCGAACGTCATGGTGTGGCTATCAAGGACAGGGTGTCAGCAAGTAGATTCTATTCTTCCCATCCAAGTCAGCTTCCCCTCCAGAGGTACGCACAAGGCCAAGATGCCGTAGGAAACGATGTTCATGATGACGGGCTTTGTGAAGGCTGCGCCGGCAGATATCTGTGCCTTCTCAGCCCGAGTATTGGCTGTTCGATCATCGGCCGTGACTTTCATATCCTCGTGGTTCGCTCGTGTCGTTGTGTCGTGAAGCGAGTTGTTGGTCTGGTAGCATGGAGGGTATTGCTCGTCGTGGTGGAGGAGAGAGGCAGTCTCGGAGGGGTGGTGGTTGTCCGAAGTGGTGCGCCATGAGAGGCGACGGATGATGCTCTCTCCGAGTGCGAGTCCAGGGTCGTGTCGGTCCTTCTTGTCGATATGAGTCTCCTCAAGGAACAAGATGCCCACAACGACACCAAAGACACAAGTCGCCGCACTGAAGAGGTTGGGTAGGAGGTAAGGATATTTAGCCCAGATGGTGTCCTCGGGGAACAAGCTTGGCATGTTCCTGCATGGCCGTGCAAGGTTGCCGCCAAGAATCGGTCCCACAATGGACCCAAGACACCAGACAAGAGGCATGATGGTGTAGGCGCGAGCTGCTCCAAGAATTAGCTTTTTGGTACATCTATCTGTCTCCATGGCTAGGGAAGATAACTCACGCTGATGCTCCTTCACAGTGACGAGCTCTGCCACGGTAGTCTGTAGGACACCGATGTTCCTATTGTTGGGAAGCGAGTTAGCTTACCTAACAATGAGAAGAATTCAGGGCCACGTGTGGAACTTACCCATTCAGGAGACCACCGAGCGCTCGTGCGATGAGAGCAACCCAGATATTAGGCGCAAAACCGAAGATCAAGACGCTGAGAGCGGTTCCGGCCAGACCAGTCAACAGAACGGGCTTGCGCCCAATCTTGTCACTCAGTCGACCCCAGAGCATACCCGTGGAGAACTCGGCAAAAGTGAAGGCGGACGTGACCATGCCCGCGTAGAAGGAGATGTCGTTCTCAGGTACGCCGAAGTCTCCCACCATGTAATATATGTAAGGGAAGATCGACATGAAAGCTATGGGCTCACATATACGGCAGAGAGCTGTATCTTGTCTATCAGCAAACCAACGCCTCGAGCATAGGAAGGACACGGGACTCTTCTCTCTTTTTCTGAAGAGGCTGACATTGGGTAGAGAAAAGGCGGGAGAAGGAGGAGAGGGGAAAGACATACCCAGGACAAGCATCTGTCTGGCAGGAAAGGAGGGTCTGGGCTTCATAGCCCTTGGAGATGGAGTGAATCGTCTCATCGTGATTGATAGGGGAGTGTGAGTCAAGAGAAGTCTTTATGTTTTATGCTATGGTTTTCGACAAGGCATTCGAGTGCGTATGTGTGTGTGCGTGCGTGTGTATAAGGTCAAGTAATTGGGAACAAGAGGACGGATGCAGTCGGGCGGCGACGTGGACATATATCGTTTTTTGAAGCAGTATGTAGGTAAGTAGGCCGGACTAGTCCGCCTTGTCTCTGATGGACAGGGCGAAAGTCTTGTGTAACACCTGGGTGCAATCAGGATTACAGATCGATGGGAGGGAGAGAAGGAACAAAAGAGACGGCGAGCAGTAGTAATGGTGGCTGCGGAGCCGGAAGGTCTATAGAGTGTGAGTCGGTCTGACGGGACTGGATCCTAAGGAATGTCTAGACGCCGGCACGAGAGGATGCAATGCCAACACACAACAGGCAAAAGCAAAAAGCAATGGAACGGGCCTCTTGGGACTGGTCGGAAGGATAGAAGAAGAAAAGTAGCAATAGCAATAGCACACAAGATCAGCGAGGAGGGGGGCATGACAGCAGGAGGGTCAGAATAAGTATGATACAGCCAGGAGGAGGAGAGCAGAACGGTGGGGACCACAGACACACACAAGTACCGCCAGACCCTTTGGACAGGGCTCTGGTACCTGGTGAGAAACACTTTATTTCTTCGGGAAAAATATCTGTGCTAATTGAAACAGGCGGTGACTGGGAGCGTGAAGTGACAGGCCAGCGCGAATGATCATCCTCCTGGGGGAGACAGGCTATGGGCTGGCGCAGCCTGGCAATGCCAGGGAGGGGGAGAGCAGGTTGGTGGTGATGGGACGGCTCCGGAATGATGGGAGAGAGCATGGACAGGGGACCGTCAAGCACGGTGGAAGCAACTGTGAGAGGGACATGGGAAAGAAGGGAAAAAAAGAGAGAGAGAGTCAAGATTGAGAAAAAGAGGGCACAGCAAAAGCATTGACTGTGGATACACAGTACCGCTTGCGTGGATCCGGGCCATGGCGATGGTTTCGTACAATGGTACCTCTACTTCAGCTTGGATGAACTTTCTCTTCCCTGCAACGGCGCCTCCCCTCCCCCCCTGGCAAAAAAAAGGAAGAACGAAAGAGGAAAAGCAAAATGAGAGCAGGCTCTCCTTGCACATGGCGCTCGATGACGGCTATTCCTAGACCAGGGGGGAGGGAGGGGTAGGTGCGCAAGGGAGAGAGAATTGTGAGTGAGTGAGTGAGGTAAGGCTATGACCATTGTGTCGGTGCGTAGTACGAGAGATCCGGGACAAAGTTTGCTGCCCTGAGGTGGAAACTCTCGGTTCAGTTTTTCGTCTTGGGTTGGACCATGTCTCCGACGGTCAAGGCCAAGTCGCATCCCCAGCTACCCTTTCCCCTGTCCAAAACGTGATATTAGAGCCGGGATATCTGGCCATCTCTTTGCTGCATACGCTAGCAGGGTGACATGGGTTCGAAGATCTTGGGCTCGGATTTGAGAAGTACTCGACAAGTACCGGTGTACCTTGGGACGGCCCCACCGTTTGGGCTGGCTGCCCAGGTGTCATTACCTTCTCATGCGCACAGCTCCCTAGTCCCGTCACGGAAATGGTTGTGAGAGTGAGAGAGAGAAAATGAGAGAGGGGTGAGAAGGTACGTACTCAAGGTACCCAGCCGGGCCGTATCTGACCACCCACACCATATTTCTTTGACTGAGAGTGTGGGCGACGGCCGCAGTATGTCAATGGGCGGAGCTCCCAGGACAAGTCGTCACAACGCCCAAGGCGGGTTCCTTCTCCACGTCTCAGCGCCAGTCGACCCTGACTGTCGTCCATCCCATTCGTCGGTAGTTATCCGCCCTCAACCCAAAATTGCTTCTTTGATGCGGCGATCCATCACACCGGTGAGCTGCTTCAGGCAGCACACGGCAACCAGTCTGCTACGTGGGAATACGAGCCTGGACCAAGGAAAAGCAGAGCCGAGAGAGTCCACGGGTGGTTTGTTGCCAATAAGCAAAGTCGTGGGACGGGTCATGGGAGCACGACGGAGCCCATGGTTAGCAGCCGTCGATGCCCATGCTTTGCTGGCCACATGTACCCCATCAGGACGAGCAGCCTGCAGCCATGGTAGAGAGGACAGGCACCCCCCTTCGGGACACATATCGGCTCGGAAGGATGAGGCTGCGTCGCTGCAGAGTGACAGCATCTAGCCTAGCTTGGTGTGTGAGAGTATAGAGTGTGCATGGCATGCCGTCAAGGAAGCGCCACCCTGCACGTCGATATCAAGCGAGAGGGCTCCACGAGAGGAGGGGTGATGGTTTGCTGTCCATGGGCCTCCGCAGCACTTATCGCGGAAGATAACGGTCCAAGGCTAAGTGCGCTTCCTGTGGTCCACGTATCGTCGATATTGCATCCACGCTGTCGTGCCTTCTCCCCAGGTTGGCTAGCAAGTCTGGAGGAATCGTGGTGACGAGTATGTGGGTCGGAAACTCATGCACGAAACCCCTCCCCCCCCCCCCCCGTCTCTACTACTTTGTACTATTGTACCAGTGTAGTATGTACATGGACCGATTTTACCTTGACCAGATCGACATACGACAGGAAGGCGGGTCTATTGTGTTTTTGTTTTTTTTGTTGGTCAGAGCCTGGGTGACTTGAACACACATGTCGCGATACATCTCGGTCAGGTTGTGTTTGCTTCGCGGTGACTGCGGCAGGAGGCGGTGAAGCCTGCGAAAATGATCATAATATCCGCTCTTCATTGGTCAGCGGTAGCATATGTGTATGTCTCAGTGTGCGCATGCCAACACTTGAGGGGATGAACGAAACCATCGTCCGATTTTCATGCGCGCCTTTCAGAAATAACCGTTTAGTCTGTGAGGGTGCCCATCTTGGAGCAACCAACGGTGTGTGATATTAGTTTCCTTGCAACGTAGCCTTGCCCACTTTAGGCATACCGACAGTCAAGGGCTTACCAAGTCGCCGGGAAAGACGGATGTGGTGTTCAGAACGCATGACCGCAGTTGGCTGTAGCTTTGGGCATGCCTGGAGGATGATGCCGCCGTAGGGAGTCACAGAAATTGTTCATTGTTCCAGTGATTGCGCACGTTGTCGCCTTCTCTCCACACTAATTTTTTCCTTCGAAAAAGATCAGGAAAATGCAGCTTTTCCCTTTTCCCTCGTACGGAAGGACCGTCACAGTGGCCCTGGACCGTGGGCAGAAGATCATGTATGACGAGGCGACTAACACTGAGGAATGGCTCGAGTACCCTGCAGGCTGCAGCTGCAGCTGTGGCTGCAAAGAGCCCGAGATACCAAAGCGCCCATGCGTGAGGTCAGGTGGTTGTTCCCTGCTGGCGCGTGTGTGCTTTCGGCGCCAGACCCGTAACTCTCGCTTAGCACAACAGCCAGCATGTATTGTAACCTGCCCTCTGCTGGATTTACCTTCGACAAAGACGGGGAGGAGAAAAGCGGGATCCCCATTCGTCCCTCAGGCCTTGCTCACGTCAGATGGACCTTGATTTCTCCCCAACCCAACAGGTGCCGCCCAGCCCAAGGTACGACCCGTGCCGTTGTCCGTGGATCCTGACTGCGGCGTCGTACAAGGGGCACAAACATTGTCGCAGTCAAGCCTTAGCGACAGGTTAAGAGCCGAACGAGCTGGTCGACCTGTCTTTTGCAGCAATAGATCTTGTTTGACGAATCTTGCAGCATCGAGACGACTCGGAGGGTCGACTGCAGCACTGGCGTGTCAAGGTCTCAGTGGCTAAGACATGACCGACACCCTAAATTGCCCGGGCGCTTCCTTGTCATTGGTTGCTAGACTTTCGTCTCACAAGAGAGAAGCAACTCTGCTGTCACACCGAATGGGACGCATACGGCGGGTGGACTGATTCCGCTCGACAGCGGATGCCACCGACAAGGTGGACAAAAGTTGCCCGAATCGCAGGGCCCAGCAGAAAAAGAAGAGGAGGGAAAAAGGATCGTCCAGCGACTCGGCTGACTACAGTGATTGGGGGCGCAGCCACAGGTGCGCCAAGGTACGTGGACGCGCTCGTCGCGCCTACACGGCAGCACATGCCGTGCAACAGAATGCCCCACCTATATATGTCATGAAAGTCACGGAAGAGCATGTCGCAACTGGACCGCCCTGTTGAGGCGGTGGTCCGTCCAGGGAAAGATTGACACGAGCAGAAGTAGTCGTGCCGTATCTTATAGGTCAGTGTCCATCCAGGTGGTATGATGAGGCCGAATCGCATGGGCGAATTGCCTCACCGGCTGCCCGTCGTCACACGGTCGTAATCATCGGGCTCCGGCGCCTGAGACATGTCGGGCTGACGGACGAGTATCTCGTTTCCATAGATGGTTAGCACCTAACCACCCTTTCCTTTCAAGAGTTACGGAAGGATGGGACCTTGCGGCCGCCATTTCGGGTGGCAGCTGGGTTCCTCCCCGGGTAGCAGAAGCGAAACGCAACATGTTGACGAGAACGTGCAGTTCAAGGATCCGCAGTAGACGCATCGCTGGCTGGTTGGCACACACCACACAGAAAAAGAGAGAGACGACCAAGACGAGACACCGGCTGGCGAAAAGTGACGAGCCGCCCACTCGACAGTCAGGGGTGGCGCAGATCGTGTGTGCCCCAGGCTTTGATGGCGAGCCGCATGTATCCTGGTAGACCCTTGACAGGCTCACCCCATCATTGTACAGCCACTGGGTTGCGAGCGTCGGCATGCTCGAAATTGGTTGTGGGCCTCTCGAAGACCATAGTACATAGATTTCTGGGGAATCGGACAAGCCGTCAGGACCCAGATAGCCGTCATCGCCACAGTGCCAACATCAATGGGTCCTTGGGATGGGGCCCGGAGGCGCGAATACTCCACCCGGAGGGGACCCGAGGGCCCGGAGAACCTGGCATGCTGACACGACGGGCCCCCGTGTGGCTTCTATGGAGCCCCAATGGAAGCTGTGGAGCCCTG